AGATACTGTCTATTTTATCATTTTGATAACCTTAAAATTATAAAAGTAATTAATAGTCTATTTTATTAAATTATAATAAAAATTTGTTTTGAATTTACTGTTTCATTGTTTTTATTATGCAAACACTATTCAACTATAAATACACTGTTTATTTAATGCATTACATTATGCAGACAAAAAATAAAAATATTGTTACTTTATTTTTAATGAATGACTGCTTTTATCTAACCTTTTCAGTTATATCCGTATTTATATACTGTATAACATAAAACTATTTCTATTAATATATTTATTTTTAATTGTTTGATCAAATATTAAATTTTATTATAATAAAAGTTATTTACTAAAATTATTATACTTTACAAATTCTTGTACACTTTAGTTGAATTCAAAGTTTTTTTTACTGATAAATTACATTAGATTTTACATTGAATATGTTTTATTACAAATAACTTCCGTAATACAAATATATAGCAAACATATTAATCTTATTTTTAAAAGATATATATATATATATATATACATCAATAAGTTATTAAAATTCTATTGATATTATTAAAAAAATTCTATAATATTATATTAGATGATCAACAATAATATATAATTTTATTTTATTATTCACAAAATAATTTATAAGTTAGAATTGTAGTTTGTATTAGTTGAAAAAATTTTAAAAATAGACAAATACATACAATCATAGTAAAAATGGTTTGCTATAGCAATATACTATATACTAGTATATATGTATATTGTTTACTTATACAGTATTAATAATAATTATTATTGTTAATTGTTATTGAAATTAATTTTTCTATTGTACTATAATTATTGCGGAAATTATAATTTTCTATACCTTATTATTAGTATTTATATAAAAATAAACAATAAAAGAACCTATTTAATTTATTTTATTATAATTAATTATTATAATAATTACAATAACATTTACTATCATCGTAATTAAAATAGTGATAAGCTATATACTGTATACATTAATCAATTTTGTTTTGTAGTAAACACGAGTTTTATTAATAAAATTAAATATATTATATATTGTTGGCAGAGACTTATGTACGTTGAGAAGCGTATTATACAGTATAATACATAACCAATTTTGCATACAAACAAAATTTGAGGACTATGTTTAGGACATAGTAGACAATGTTTTATAATAAATATATATTTAATATTAATTTTTATCGAATTTATATTTTTTATTTTATTTTTGTTATTTAAAAACAACGATTATAATAGTTATTTTTCTAGAAATTACTTAATAATTTTTCAAAATAGTAAATATTAGTTTTAAAAATTGTGTAATATAAGCAGTACATTGTATTATGCAAAACCAAAATTCAAAACCTTTTATTTTTTTCAAACTCTGTTGTTTTTAACTCTGTTGTTAATCTCAAATTGACAAATAATTTAACTATAATAATAATAATAATAATAAATTTAGATAAAAATTTTAATTGCAAATGTGCAAAATTTATAATAAAACTAATTGTTGTCACATAATAATTACAATGTAAATGTTATTAAATTTTGATAATAATCTGACAACAAAAATTAATATTTTATAATAATTAATTTTTAATAGAATTTATGTTTATTTGTTTAGAATCTAATGTTATATCCTATTTACTTAAAATTTAATATAAAATATAATTTAAATTCATTGAAATATTATCTCATGTTTATTATTTAAAAAATATATTGTATTGTAAATAAACAATAATACAGTAAAATCAATACAATTTAGTTAAAATAAATGTTTTCATATCTGTTATGTTAAAGTAAAAATAATTTTATTTTCTATTTTAAGATATTAATAAATAATAATAACTTAATTGAATATAATTGAATATTAATTATTTTCACTTTATTTCCTTTTATTTTTTAAAGTTTAAACGTTTCATAATTATTAATAATATAAAATTTATTTCAATACAGTATATTAATAGAATCGCGTATTTTAACTGAAAAAAGCGTAATTTAATAATCATTTTTAATTTTTGCTTAAAATATTGTTGTGTTTCGGTTAGAATTGAAGAATCATTTCTAAAATCATAGATATTGTCTAATCAATTATGGATCACTTTCAGTGACAGGTATTCACATAATACCCCCTTAGGGGGAGGGGGTGTCAACGAGGACGAGAAACAGTTTAATAACAAATTTTGAATAATAAATATTACTTTAATATAAATATTTTTATTTACAGTTTTTTTGAAAAAAAAACTTTTTAAAAGTGAAAATAATTTTATAAAATATTCGTTTAAATCATTATTTGTTTAAATTAATTGATGTCAAACTCAAAGCCATCATCATATTAGGTCTTCATTAAGGATAAATGATTTAAAGATTGATTTAATTTTAATTTGATTATTAATAAATATTGTGATAGGTTATTTTATTTTTTAAGGATAGGGATTAGGGATATGCAAACATAATTTATAAAATGACTATACTTGCGAACATAGAAGGGGAGTGAGGTCTAGATTTCTCAAAAAAGTTCGAACTTAATATGTGAATCATCCCTATTCTGAACGTTCAAAAATAACAAAATCAAATATAAGGATTAGAATCATTTGAAAATGGATTTACATTGGAATCTATAAATAAATGTAAAAACAAAGAGATTAATAATAATTAATTTAAACGTATATTTGAGATGAATATATTCACAACAATATATCTATTATAACTATTGATTATTTTTTTAAAAATAATTTTGTTTTCAATTGAGACTTGTGTTAAAATGTTTAATTGAATTTTTTGTTTTTATTGATTTTTTTTATGAAAACCTTGATTTTGCTGAAACAACTTAATTGATAGTATTATTTTAAGTATATATATATACAGTATATACCGTATACAGAATTTTCGATATATAACTGTTTATTAAATTTAGTATTGACAGTAAAAAGCATTTTTTTTTATTTTTTATCATAATATTTGTTTGTAGTGTTTGCTATAATAAAACATATATACTGTATATAAAAAAACTGCTGCACTAAACACCAAATTATGTCTAGACCTTATCAGACACATTGAGTTACATAACATATACGGATAATTGACAGTAATTTGTTTTTATATTTGCCAATAGTTTATATTCAATCAATATATTTATATATATATTATTATATATTATTATTATTGATATAGTACTGTATATATTATTATTAATGCATATAATATAAAATATTTGCCGTCAAAACCGATGACAAACTTAATTTAAATACATATTTTGCCTAAAGATATATTTATATAAAATATTAATAACTATTATATAAAATATTAATGACTATTATATAAATATTAATAACTAATTTTTAAAAGCCTTAAATTGATTAATACTAAACTATAATAACTGTGATAAAATCCAATGAACCTTCATTACTGATAATTATTTTAAATATAATGTTATAAATTGTATTAATTTAGTATTTACACAATTATTACATGTATTTAGTTATTTTAATATAAAATTTAAAAATTATTTTGTAATTTAGTTATGAAATTATTTTTAAAAATCGACAATTTTGTGTTCAAAAGAGCTATTCACATGAAATTTCATAAAAAATATTTTATAATAATTTTTAGTATACTATTACAAATCAATTTAATTAATCACAGTTTTAATCATTTACTCAGTTTGTTTTTTAAAAATTATTAAATATATTATTTGATTTTAAAATTTGCAAGTTTTAATTATAAATTTTATTATTCAATTAATTTGACATATTTTTTGACACAATTTATCATTATGGCCTTAAAATAAAACTTTAATTTTTTAATTTAAAATATTGATAAAACTTGTAAACAACTTAGTAATATACAGTTTTAAACTTAATATTAATTAAACTACTAAATAACATTGTTTATTAGATACTAAACATTGCTTTAAAAATACTATTAATAATATAATCTTTTTTCATGTAAACAACTTATTTATTGTACAAATAATTTTTGTAAAAAGATTTAGAAAAATATATTAAACGACATTTTTTTATAGATATTAAAATTCAAAATATCATTTATCATTGAAATGAATATTTTAACTATAAATCAATCATCTATTCTAACACACATACATACATACAGTACATAAATACAGAGAAAATTTAATTAACAAATAGAAAAAAACAAAAAATATTTAACATTTAGCAGATATTTTATTTATAATATATATGTTGTTTTATTGACCTATTATTATTATTATTAAACATCATGTTATATTGTGCTATAAGTTATTTATATAGTACTATATAATATATGGTTTTAATTAAGAGTATAAATAATAAAAGAAAAGAAATATTTTTGATGACATCGATAAACAATTATAATCAGCAGATAATTAGTTTTATTGCTAACAATAGTGATTACGAGTTTGATTATTGTTTACTAATAATTGGCTAAATATTGATTACTTAATATACAATTAGTGTAAAGCGTTATAAATGCTTATATAATAAATGCAATACAAGATTTTTAATTTTATGGTTGAAATGTTAGGTTTTTTTTAGCTATAAGAGATAATAAATATGGTTGCCATCTGTTTAATATCTTAACGGAGATTTTATTTATTATGTATAAATTACAATTTTATCTGTACAAAATTTATATAAAATTTAGAAATATATTATTTAATATATATATAATAGTTTAGAAAAAAATCTCGTATATTTTTAATATATTATAAATGTATTATAAAATTAAATTTCGGTATGATATTATTATTATTATAATATTTTTTTTAAAGTTTTAATTGTAATGTCAAACACACTATAAAATTAAAAAATTAAAATTGAAAAAAATATTCATGAGCTGGCAATCCTAATTGTAATGCACTATCTTTATATCGATGACAAATAGATAGATTATAATAAGAAAAGTTTAATACTACTGTATATTATGATATCTAAATATATTTATTAAATTGCAAAACTTAGTATTTATATTATTAATTTATTTTTGTTGTTTTTATCAATCAGATACATAGCAACCATACATTCATTCAATTGTGCCAATCATTGGTTCAAACATCACACAAACCTAATGTTGATAATCGGCTGGATTTTTGGCGCACTGTTAGGCAGTGTCCAGTGGTGGCACTCGAGGGCAGTTCCGTTTAGCTACCGAAACGAAACTTATGTTGACTGTCGCGAGGAATGGGATGAAGCGGGAGGAAAGGCCTACACTGTTGTCATATTTTTGATGACTTTCCTGATGCCTCTTATTATGTAATTTAATATATTTTTTAAATATCTATTACTTTAATTTTTTTGTCATTAAGTATCTCTTAATTAGCGTAATTTAAATAAGAAATTTTTAGTTAAGATTATTTTCACAGTTTATTTTAAGAATAAAATTCCAATTAAGTGTTAATTTTGTACTTTATTTTTTATTTCTCTTTCTATTTAGATATATATTATATATATTATATTTTTAAGTTATTTTATTTCAATTAAAATAAGTTAAATATACTTTTGTAAATTATAAACATAGATTATAACATTAAAAAAAAGATTAAATTTTTTTAGTCTATGTACCTTATAATTATGTTTTTATTGCTAATAAAATTTTAAGCTATAGTAAGCGTTTATTTAATTTATTAGTAATTATTATGTTTATTATTTTCTTTCAAATAGATAGTTTTTATAAATTATTTTCCTAGTAATAGTTTTATCAATTAATATTTTTTAAAAAAAACATTTAAGTATTTAGCACTTTTACAATATATCTATATATATTTTATTTTGTTTTGTTTAATATAGTCTCGCTTATACTTATGGCAATATTGGATATAAAATATTTTACTATAAAGCGCCCAATAGTTCACAATCACTACATTCACAGGCAAACAACAAATCTAAAGCAAGTGTTTTGAATTATGATATCTATTAGTATAAGTAAATGTTATTGATATATAAAATACAGTATTATATATAATATAGTGTATTGTTCACTATATACTGTACATTATATATAAATTCTACTGTTTTTAAGATATTTAAGATCTTTTTTTTAAGATTTTACAGATTTATTATTTATCGATTTATATAATAATGATTGATAGATATTTTGTTTAGCTTAAAATTGTTAGTAAGTTTTATTTTGAAAAATAAATTTAAGATATTTTTTATTATTATTAATTTCATCAGTTAGTCTAATTTTATATCTTTATTAACATAAAAAAAATCAATAAAAAAAATAGACAAATCATTTGATATAATTATTCAATACAATAATTTATTTAGTGACACATACTTTCTACCAATTTTTGTAAGTTATTATAAGTTATTTTGGATTATTTTTTGAAGTATGCTTTTAAAAGTAAAGATTATATTTTAAGTAAGATTTATAATTTTGGATTTAAATGGTTGAGAATTGTTAACTAAACTAAATATTAGTTTTATTACAGTATTAACGTTAATAGCTATATATTTATAGTCTATACATATAAGATTTCAAAAGATATCAAATTATGTAATAAATATGATATGAGATTATTTATAGTTTATTAATTGACAATGTAGGTGGTTATTATACTGTATTATTATATATATATAATTTATATTATAAGTATAACTAATTTCTTATATGTAGTGTATTTATATATTTATAAACTTTGCAGTATTATTATATTTGTAATGTTAATAATATTGATATAATTATTCTTTTAATCAACTATTAATCTTAAACAACTAATTGTTACATACGTGTAAAAATAATCATTAAATTTAATACAATTAAAAAAACAAAAGTTTGTTTTTTGCAATTTTCACGATAAATTAGAATTTAATAATATATTATTATTTAACTAATAATATTATAATATATAATACAGTATTATATAATATTTACAGTATTTTATTTTTTAACATTTATATTGTATTTATTTAACAGATAATCAAAATGTTATTTGCTGTGTGGATACTATTTGTGTTGTGTTGGTTTGTATATAATTTAATTCAAATTTTTATTTAATCTTATATAACATAAGTGTCATATTTATATATTTCGATGAAATAGACTTAATTTGTTTATTTATTTCTTTATTTATTTATTACATAGGCTTCCGATGCATATATTTTTATTATTATTAGCATTTCGTCCGTCAATATTATCAAATCCCAATCCATTACAGTATTACCTGTTTGTTGGTTCATATTTTGTCATACATTGGATAGCAATGGCAAACTCGTGTATTAATCCTTTTATCTATTGCTTTATGAGTGCAAACTTTAGAGTAAGTTATAACTTATAAGATTTATTTCATTTTAAATATAAATTTCAGTTAAACTTACATTAAAATTATATATTTATATGATATAATATATATATTAGTAATTATATTTAATGACTAAACTATATGTAACAATAGTGTAAAAAGACAGAGATTTTTTGTATATATTTATAGCTTACAATTTTTATTTTCAAACAAACATTAAATGTGTTATATTGTAGTAATTTAAATATTAGCAAAACATAATTAGCACAATTATTTTTGTTAGTAATAATTATCATTAAAAATTTTAATAGATTAATAATACTGTTTTCTATGTGATTAAACACCGAAAAGTTGTTTTATTAAAATCATTAAAATAGAAACATTGCTTTTATTAATGTTGTTACAAGTATGATAAATTGTTAAATTTTATATTAAAATTTTAAATATAACAATGTCTATTTATCTAAATTATAATTATTACTTATTTAGTAATTTAGTTATTGAAATGTAAATTAAGCAATCAATTCAATTTTTTAATGCAGTTTTTTTTTGAAAAACTTGTCTCAAAATTTGATTTATAGATTTATAAAAAGCTATTTTATATATGATTTTAAATTATACTTAAGAATAACATACTGTCTTATACAGCAATCGATTATTAAAGTAAAATAATTTTTTTAATATAAGCACAAAATCATTTACAAACAAACAAAAAATTAATACATTTTATTATACGATTGCTTTTATACTATTTATTATATGATGAAACAATCGTATAATAAACTGTACTAATTTTTTGTTTGTTTGTAAATGATTTTGTGCTTATATTTATTATATTATATAATATTAGTTTTAGTAGATATTAAACTATACGTATACGATGTCATCTCTCTAATGTTGGCAAAAAAGAGAAATTTATAAAATAATAGAGAAATTTCTAGAAAGTTTCTAAAAGAAATTTCTATCTATGGGATCCCCATGGTTAATTTTGTTTTTCTCGATATATGTTATTATGTAACAATACATTGTTTTTACAAGTAATAATTAAATATTAGTATTAATATTTTAATTATTAATTAAAGTAACAATTAATTTATTTAATTATCTTAAATTCTTATATATATATATAATAAAATGATTATTATTAAATAATTATAATTATTTTACATATAGGTATCGCATTTTTTATAGTAGTGTATAGTATAATGTTATATGAGTAGTAGTTTATTTCTCATTATTTATATATTATTAAAATAGTTATAGATATGGGGATCCCATAGTATAACAATAAATTTAAATTTCTATAGAAATTTATTTCAGAGAAATTTTCTAGAAACTTTCTATTTGCCCATCTCTACATCTCTCTCTCTCTCTCTCTCTCTCTTCTCTCTCTTTCTTTCGTTTACTTATTTACTCATTCACTGAATTATTATAGCATAAAATTAAATTATTTATAATAAAATCAAGAATTTATTATTGTTTTACTTAATTAAATAACAATTTTGTGTTTATTATACAAACTTTTTATTATAATTTTAATTAAAAAAAGACATAAACCTTGATATTTTGTACAGTATTATTATTATTGTAATTATAAACTAAGTGCTATTATTATTTTATTGAAAATGTGGGCACCGGTAGTACATTATTTAAACACATTAACTCATTTATGAGTTAACAACTTTTTTCAATAGCAGTAGCAACCAATCAATAATTTATTACTAAATTAAATTGAACATGCTTAATTTATAAACTATAATTAAATAGACAGACAATAATATCTCAAATATATTTTTATTTTTATTTTACACTAAATATACAGTATTAAGAATTATTTTTTAAATTAAAAAAAACTAATTTAACTAAAAATCAGTATTTTGCTAAAATGATTGTAAATATAATTATTTTTATATTATAACTATTTATTTTAATATTGAATACCCATTAATTGTAAATAGTCATGATTAGCGCTATAAAAATGATTGTAATTAATAATATATTGTAAATTATATTTTTTTAACTAAGAATAATTTAAAATAAAAAAGCTAAAAAACATTTATCAAAATATATAGTTTTTTAAATTGAATTATCTACAAGATTGACAAAATTTTTACATATTATATGTTATAAAATAAATTTATATTAATAGTACTTTATATGCCTAAATATATATATATATAAATTACAATACATGTAGATATTATAATAAGTTACAAATATAACTTTACAATTAGGGAAATTTCAATTGTTTTACAATAATTTGTTTTAAATGTTTTTTTTTAAATTAATCGGTTGTTTTGTTTGTTTATTTTCGTTATCCTGTATAGTATTTTCTATAATATGTTATTAAAACGTCACTGTAATTCATTTATCCAGAAAAATAATGATCATATAAGTTATCGCTAACCAGATATACAATCTGTAAATTTTGTTAAACAGATGAAATGTGTCGGTTAGCAAATCTATAGTTATTTATATATTCTGTATATATATATAGTAGTATATATAAACTGATATAATATAGTAGGAAATTACTACTATTGTATACAATAATAAAACTGTATATATATATATATACTTTTAGGTATCGATTTTATCGATTCAGATTTTACCACAAAATTATTTACAATAGTAAAACAATTAAATATAGGTTTATAGTAAGATATACTGACATTTGGTATATAATAGATTTAATAAATAAATCATGACATTTGATTTATTTGATAATATAATTTTGTCTCAATTTTTGATATAAATATGGTATCTAATAATTATTCTCATTATTATTAGATGTTATTATGATTATTATGTCACGATAAAGAGTTTTTTATTTAGTCAATTAATTAATTTTAACATTTTATTTATTACTTAAGTATATAATATGGTACAAAACTAATAAATATAATGTATATCGTACTTAAATAATACAATATTAGAATATATATAATTTTTAAATAAGATAACTTAAATATTGAAAAATATATACTTATAATTAATAGTTTCTTAATTTAATTTTTAGTTTCTTTAAATTTTTTGATTAATTACATAAATAATTTAAGTATTTTTATTAAATTATATTATTTATTATTATTATATTTAACAAATATAAAACAATAATTTAAAAATTTTCTTATAATATTGTATTTTTTTATTAATTCTACAAAATTTTTATTAAATTTACTTATTTTTTTATTTACAGAAAGATTTCATTGATTTGAAAAAACTAATGTACAAAAAGTTATTTACATTAACGACAGTTAATACGGGAATAAGTGATGAATTGTAAATAAATTACTAATACATAATATTGATTGACAATTAAATATTGTTATAAACATTAACCATATAAAACATTTAATCAATTAATACTAAAATACGGTATTCTACTTAAAAATGTTAAATTATTATTATTGATAATATGATATACTATTATTTTGTAAAAAGTTTTGTACATATATTTATTTTTTAAAATTATTGTAAATTATTGTAAAAATTTTTTAAATATAAACCCGTGAGATTTAATGTGATTAATTTAAAATTTAGTAATTTTTACACACATTTTGATGTATAATTTTTTAAAAGTTAATTTATTCTCTAGAGTCTAGACTCTAGACAATATGTCTCATTAAATATTTAAAATATTAAGAATTAAAAAAATATTTGTTAAAAATTTTCTAATATTTTTGCTAATAGTACAAATATTTAGATTAAATTAACATAAATATTGAATTGAATTTGTTTCACAAAATTAAATTTTTATTAAAAAATAAAATAAATTTTTCAAAAAAATGTGATTTATACTTATTATTAAAATCATAATTTATTGTATTTATAGTTTATTATACAAAATTTTGATAATAAATTTATTTTATTGAAATATTTTAGCAATTTCTAAATAAATTAAACTATCAAAATCAATAAAACAGCAATAATACGATGATAAAATATTATAATACACTATACTATTTATGTTAATCAATAACTTCAACAATTTGTATTAAACATTAGTTTTAAACTATTTTAATACACTGTACTTGTATTGAAATGCAATTTTACTATTTACCTCTTACTATTGAGAATTACCGGTAAGTATTAAATTATTTTAATATAACATATAGTTTTTTTATATTACCGTAAGTACCGGTTATTTATAAATAAAAAAAATATTGAACGAATAAAGTAATTGAAAAATATTTTACTGAAATAAATTTATTTTGAATGTAATAATACTTGACATGGCTTAAAATGTCAGGGTTATTTTAACCATTATTGAAATATTTCTTTTATTAGTTACAAATTTATACAACAATAAAATTACAATTTATTTATTATATTTTATTTTTAAAATTTTTTTATATATGTTAGATTACATAACAACTAAAATCTCTAATAATATTTTTCAATAAATACACCATTAAATTCAGTATAAATTATGAATAATTACAATCATGATTAAAGACAAAACAGTTGCTTATCAATTGTGGGGGCAATAACTATACCAACATAATCGGCCAATTCTAGTCGGAACCGGTAGCCAATAACCTGTGGTCATCACTACTGTATATTTGATATCACTTTCAACAGTTGACAACCATTTTTTTGTTAACATCAATGAGAGTCTAAATTATTCTCTGAGTTTAAGTCGCGACATATTTTTGTAGAAGTGATGCGGAAACGGAGCGTTAATAAAGATATTTTTGCCATTTCTGCCGATACCAGACAAACAGTACTGTCGTGCGTGTAAATGCATGGGTATGTGTCGTACTTTGGACTGTCGCACTTTCAACGCCACCAACATATCGGACGTCAACTTTTGAGGCACTATTTTATCCAAATGAGAATATTTGTGGTCACCTAATATTGGACACCGCAGACCAAAGCCTAAATGAACCCGAATTTGATGTTTGACTCCAGTTTGTGGCCATACCTAACAATTCAATTATAAATTTTACTGTAATTATAGTTAATATTATTTAAAATGTAAATCACTTGATAATACCTCTAAAAGAGCCGCATTATTATTGTGTGCCATCACTTTATATTGAGTGACAGCACGTTTGGCATATTTAAATGACTTAACAGTATTTCGATACTCCTCGAGAGCCTGTGGCCTCAAAACCATTCTCTCTTTACCGTCACACTTACCCATTTCAATGGGTATATCGATGATACCCTCGAGTTGATCGGGAACTCCACGTGTTATACAATAGTATCGTTTGATAATCTTGTGTTCGGCAAACAATTTATTTAACAAATTAGCCATTGTCTGTGTTTTGGCCAATAAGAGAGCACCGGTAGTGTCTTTATCCAACCGATGAACGGTATATAACATATCGCAGCCAAGAGTTTCATATAATTCAGGCAAATATTCTGTCAAAACGGGTGTATACTTGCCTTCACACTCATGAATTGACATTCCGTAGGGTTTATTGATGGCCACAATATCTTCATCATTGAAGAGAACTGACCGAAGCAACAGTTTTACAATGTCTTCTTTGGTTAACTTTGAATAGTCAAATACCTGTCCACTTAATACACGATATCCTTAAATTTGACACAAATATTATTCAATTAGTCATACATTCATATAATATATTAACAATTATTAAAACAGTAATACCTTTTGAATCTAACTTTTCAATTCCTAAATTCATTTCTTGGCGAAAATTTTTGTTTACATCATTACTAAACCCTTTGGAATATTCAGGCATTTGTTTACCCGATTGAAGATCAGACAAATATTGAGCAGCGGTTCTAGTTTTTGGTAGATATTGAAGACTTGGTTTCACTACTTCATCCAATTTAATGTCTTTTTGTTCTTCAATCTTAGCATTTTCTAGTTCTTCTGCTATCTTCTCTTCGTTGGAAACCAGTTCTGACTTATAATCAAAGTGTTGGGTAAATAATTCAGATTTTAGCGGAGATTCAGTCAATAAACTCTTGTCGAAAGGTTCGGCTGTTATCTTGTTTTGTCGATTAAACTGATCCATATCATCGTCGCTGTCGTCAGTGGCAAAATTTTGGCGTCGATTTTGACGAATGAAATCAATTTCCTCTTTTATCTCTTCTTTGTTTTCCTTCAAATACTGATTAAAATCTTGAGTATACTTGAAGTCAATCGTCTTTTTAAACAACGGCTCGATATTAGTATTGTCCACAAAGTATTGTTTATCAATGTATGATAAATCAGATTTCGTGGTATCTTTTTCGGTGACCTCTGCGGTGTTATTGCTGTCTCTTACTAAAACCGAATCAAAATATTGGTCTTCAATGATATTATCCTCAGATTTGTCCGCTATTTCGGTTGAAATATTGTAAAACAAAATTTATAAAAAATATAATATTAAAGTAAAACTAAAGTTTTATATAAATCTAAAATAAATACATAGATTTTGACTATTAGTTTCATCGGTTGTCTTCAATTGTTTCAGTTTGTCCTCAAACTCAGCCATATTAAACCCGGCGCGAGTGTTGGTCGGGTCGTAGTGACCGTGAAATTTGGGCATATTTTGTTGGTCGAGTCTCACTCTGCCGAAAGTGGTCAACATATACTTTTGATCACTTTGTCGACTGTTACGACCAGTGGTCAAATCGCCGTACGTTTCGTATAGAGTATCGGCACTGAAGTTCGAGTCATACAAACCGGCCGAAACTCGGCTGTTGGTCTCCAAGACACCCAAATAATCAACATTACTATCGACGACAACATTTGATGTATTTTTCTTATCGGCAGAAGACGACTGTCGACGCCGTTGTCTCGACGATACACCGGTAGTGGTCAGACATCGGCGGCAACTGTTAAGTGGACTGCGATGTGCTGATAGCCATCGATAGAGCAATTGATGTCCTTTTGTCGTCAACATTGGTCTCAAAGCGGTGGACGACGACATCATCGGTCGTTCACAATATCAATGTCTTCTTCTTCTTCAGCGATTAAAACAAATGACATAAAAAAAAGTTTGTAATCAAAACATAAAACAATTCATTCAATCATTGATTCGGCAAAACATGTGATAAAAAAAATATATTGCAATCAATTGGTGTCGACGTCTGTCGTATTATATCTGAAATAAATATATCATTAGACATATAAATACCAATCATTTGCCGGTAATTATTAATATTAATAATAAAATAAATGATAATATCATCAAAAAAATATATATACAAAACGTATATAAATCTTATTTTTATACATTTTTTTTAATAACAAATAATTTTCCAATGAATCAAATTTATTGACGTAAATATTAAAATTGATTAATTTGTTGGATTATTGTGAAAAATATTATGTATTATAATATGTATACTTAAATACATTATGTATTTTTTTTAAATACAAAATTAATTATTGTATTTCAATTGATATCAATTTATTAATAACAAATAAATCAATGTATAGGTTAAAATCAAAAACATGTTTTTTTAATAATTATTTTTTTATGAAATTAAATGTTTTTACAAAGAATTATATTTCTATTTAATATTGAATTAATTTTTTTTAAATTAAATTTTATTAACCACCATATTTAAATGAAATTTTTATATTAAAAATTCATTTATTTCAAATTATAATCAAAAAATTACTAAATTATTTAGACCTCAAATATATATATACAATAAAGTATATTAGTTATTAATCACACTGTTGTTGAAAGTATTTTCTTTAAATAAAATAATGATTGAAAAACTTTTATTTATTTTGCATACATTATAACATATGATTATTTAATATATAAGAACCTCTGAAACTGGTATTTCTAGATATATAGATATTTTCGAGACTTATAATTAAACGGAAATGTTTTTAAAATATTATAATTTTCACTAATAAAGGCCCGGGAATGGGATATATGCCACAAGAGTTACCAGTGCTCTACTACCTGTACCAAAGTTGGTTTTAAATTATTTAAAATAAAATTAATACATTTATTATTATATTAGTATCAGGGTTAAGCAATGAATTTGATTTTAAGGGGGTATAAGATAGGATAAAATGAAAAGATCTCGAAAAATATTGGGGGTGTGGTATAGGGTGTGGGGTATATGTTTTATTGCATGTTTTTTAACTACAATTTTTTCACATTAATTTATTAATTATTAATGAAATTATTTCAAAATTGAGGGGGAATAAGAAATATTTCAAAAAAATATGACCCAAATTTCTGATAATTCCCATTTAAATGGGAGGAAATTTCCAGAAAATTATTAGAATTCCCGAATGTTTTTTTTAGGAGATATTTTATCTACATTTTTTAAGCTACAATTTTTTTTATTTACTCAAAAAAAGTCTAGGGATCCAAAAAAATCTTGGTCTTATGGGGGGAGTATTTTCGGCATACCCATCCCCTCCCCCCAAGTGCAACTCTGATTAATAGATACATTTATTATCATATGATTTTTATGATTTTGATTTTATATTATTAATGTACTACATATGTTAATATTAATCCCCTATATATTTACAAAAAGTATTTATATTTTATTTTCCTCCGTTTGGCTCTCTTTAGTAGAAAACACTTGTTGTTTAAAACATTGAAAAACACTTATCGACGCAAACTCTATGAGCTGTTAATTTTAGGGACTGTTAAGCAGTGTCTCTGTGTATATGACTGTGTGTTTAGTATTGGGGAGAAATACAATCACAACTTATGTATTAGCATTTGTATCCCTATATGTTTGGTTCAGTTAATACCAGTGCATACATAGACACACACACACTCATTGCTAAACTATATTATTGTGTTAATCGCATGAATGCTATACTTTTGCATATATAAAAAAATAGTGTTAATCGTAAGCTTTTATTATTATTATTATTCTTAATTCATTCATTCATTATTGACAACTAGTGTTTGTATGCAGTGTTCATAAAATTGAGACAATTATGTCAAATGTTTAAATAAATAGTTGACATCAAAAAAATATATATTAATAATAATAATAATAATTAAAGAATATATATATATAAATAGCAATATATATATATATATATATTGAAAATCGCAAAAACCAATGGAGATAAGTAGTATAAATAACACTCAATGCGATGGTGTGTTTGTCCAGAATCTGTGTTTCGGGTATAATCGGCGACAAAAACCCGAGATATCCAACGCCAGCCTACATGTGCCGCGCGGTGTCATCTACGGCCTGTTGGGTTCCAGCGGTTGCGGCAAAACAACACTCTTGCGGTGTATTATCGGCCGATTGAAGCCCCGAAAGGGTACCGTCAGAGTGTTTGACACAAAGCCCGGTATATTTTCATCTTTTATTTTAATTAAAGTATTGTTTTTTTTAAATTAGAAAAAAAACTTTTCTAAAACTATTAATATATGAGTCATTATGAGAGTTATATTAGTTATTAATTATCGCATAGAAAGTAATGTCTGACAAATGTTTTTTTGTGTTTTATTTTTGTTTCAATTTAAAAAAAATGTCATTAATTAAAGCTATTAAAAGTATATAAATTATATTTAAATTTATATACACAGCAATTATATACATACATATATATATATATATATTTACAATATTTTTAATTATATTATTTGAATGTAATGTGAGAAAATATTTAGCGACAAAACGACAATTTTTATTATGCAATTAAATCATTATGAATGCCATTGAAAGTGTGGTTTTTTTCTTATTTTACATTTACTCCTTTATTTTTTTTAAAGTATCATATATTCAATATAATCCTTGGTGTAAATGCACTAAATATACTATAATATGAGTTAAATTTTTATGTACAAACAAAATCTTATATTAATCGACGACATAGTATTAGCTATAGATTTAAATTGAATATAAAATTTGATTTTATATTTGAATATTTTAGAAAAAAATATTAGTCTTAATTTGTTAAATTAATTAAAATTTTTACATTACTATTATATAATCAGCTAATTATAATTCATAAAATCCGGTATCCCGGTAGCTATACCATGACCTACAGGATAATCTCATAATGTATTTATATTGTAAATGTTTTGTATTGTATTTTAACATCCGGTCATTGGTGTTGCGTAACTGTTTAACTTGCAATTAAAACTTATAGTGTATATATAACTTATATATAATTGCACAAACATAATAAACAAAAATTTATTTAATAAAATTTATTATTAATGAGAAAATTTATTAAAATATACGAACATAATAATAGTATAAATAAATCATTGAAATCAATTTTTATTAGTTTTTTTTTTGATAATAATTCAAAGTTCAGACAAATATTTTAATTGTTTTATAAATAAGATTTAACTATAAATTGTATTTAAACTAACAATTTATTTAGTTATATGATTTCATATGTTATGCAAATATTTGATTTAATATTTTTATCAATGTTTGCGGACAAAAGCCAAAAATCATAATATTATAAATTCAATGATTATTCAATGAGTTTATTGTCTAAAGTCTAAAGGTTGTTGTTGTTGCTTAAAAATTAAAATTATAGGCAAAAAATTGGGTTAAATACACTGTCTATTAAATACATTGTGTGAACTTATATTTAATATTGATTTATATATTTATTTAATAATCAATGAATTTTATTGCCAATTAAGGGCCATAAAATATTTCATTATCTGAAAAAATATATCATTAGATAAATACCAGTCATTGCCGGCAACTATTAATAATAAAAGAATCGATGATATCATCAAAATATATATAAATCTTAATTTTATACAATTTTTTTAGATAACAAAGAATTTTAATAATTTCCCAATGAATCAAATTTATTGACGCAAACATTAAAATTGATTTTTGATGGGTTATTGTGAAAAATATTATACTATACTTATATTATATACTAAAAAATACTAAATGAATTATTATATTTCAATTGATATCAATTTCAATTCATTGATAGCTACTGAATCAATATATAGTTAAAATCAAAACATGTTTTTAATAATAATTTTTATTTATGAAATAAAATACTTTTACAAATAATATTCTTTACATTTAATATATAATTAAAATTTAATTATTAAACCTTACTTATTGAATTTTATTGAACGCCATATTTAAATGTAATTTTTATATAAAAATTTATATATTTGAAAATTTAATCAAAAATAAATTAATTAATAAAATCTCAAAAATACACAAAAAACATATTATTAATTACAGTGTTAAAATAATCTTTTTATTAGATTAATAATTTAGAAAGATTTATTTATTTTGCATGCATATAACATGATAATTAATATAAATATTAAAATAATAAATAATTATCAAATATTAACCTTTTGTTTTAATTAATTTATTTAAAATATAGGAACCTCTGAAAGTGGTATTCCAGGTATAGATATTTGTAAAATGCTTTTAATTTAGCGGCAATTTTCAAAAATGTTATATATTTTTTTGACTAATAAAGGCCCGGGTATTGGATATATGCCACAAGAGTTAGCACTGATATCCCAGTTCACCGTCAAAGAGACGCTCCGATACTATTCAGGCTTTTGTAATACCGATTGCACAATATTTCAAAAGCGTATGCATTTCTTACTACAATTACTAGAGTTGTCGCACTTGGAGAACAAGTTTGTCGACAATCTGTCCGGTGGCCAAAAACGGCGGGTCTCGTTGGCCATTGCACTCATCAATAATCCGCCGCTACTGATCCTCGACGAGCCAACAGTTAGTATATTAGCTATGGTTTTGCAGGAGGTGTTAAACCTTCTCATGATTTCCCTGACTAATTGGTTTTGTATTTCTGGTGCACCGGTAGGTCGGTGTCGATCCCATACTCAGGGAATGTATTTGGAATTATTTGGTTAAGATTAGCAAAGAAGGACTTACGGTAAGAATTTTTATTTTAAACAATTGTATAATAATTAAATGATAATATAAATCATATATAAATGTTATGGCAATGAAATCTAGTTATCAATTAATTGCTTAATTGCTGATTATCTCGTGATTTTCGGAAAGAATAAGAGTTTTTATTTTATTTTAAAGTAAATTTATATACAAAGTACTAGATATATGAATTAGATTTATTGGCAGCTATTTTGATGAATTTATCGGCTTTTTTTTGATGATATTTCACAACAGATTCACACACACACACATACATACATACATACATACATACATACATACATACATACATACATACATACATACATACATACATACATACATACAGTACATAGTTTTTGTATGCAAACTGGATAAATGCAGTGATATATCGTCTAATTAATGACCTGTGGCTGTCATTTGAGTAATTATTAGATAAGATTGTTGTGTTAACTTAATTTTCAGTTTAATTTATGTAATATGATGCGTGTAATAACTTTATTTATTTTTTTGGCAAACTAACTAAATTTTTATATAATATGACACTTATTATCAGCGATTCTTGTAATGCATGATCTCTTGAAAAATCATATCTATATTTATTAAGACCTTATTGTTAAAAAACAACATTATTAGCAAAATAGAGGTTAAATTATGTGTGATTTTTGTGAGTGCCTGTGAAAAATGCCAAGAATTGAAATAATTAAACCATTTATATATTATTATTATTATTATTACTAAATGTATGCGCAAAGCACACAGTTAAGTGTTTTTGTTTTGTTTATATTAATAAATATAAATCTAAGACTACAATTATTTATATACAGTATATATTATATATATAAATGATAAATATTTTTAGGAAAACTAAATTTATATTAAAAGGCTATATAGTAGTAGTAGACCTGACTTTAGTGGCGTTTACACGAGTCATACAAATGAACATTTAGTTATAGTTAGTTAGCTAAACAACCAGTTGAAGATATGTCTCTCACACATACATATAGTGGAGACGACAGGTTTGGGATGGGATCCGCTGGGAAGTGTTATCTCATTGTTTACACTAAAACCAGTGCCGATATATCAAAAAATTGCTATCTGTTTCCATGCACTCGACATCTAAAAGAGAGGATTCAGTTTATATTAAGGGTGTCTTACAATGAGAGCATTATTTTTTTGTTGTCATTAAATAATAAATTCAATTGACTTCTGTATGCAAAGTTCATCTCATATATTAATATTTTTTTACAAAAAAAATCATCTATCAAATCACATATGTATTACTCAATAAGTTTTAAAGTACTAAAAATCTGTACTCAATTTGAATGAAAGTCATTGAATTAAATTTATAAAATTATATCTAATAATTTATACATTTATATGTATTTTTTAACAAAAAAAAATATTTTAAGGCATTAATTATTGTATATATATATATATATATATATATATATATGTGCAGTAAGTTATGAATATCACATGAAATAAAAAATGTAAATAAATTCATGGAGTTGTTTGACTGATGTGTTAACTCAATCGTGAATTTTGACCCAAACTTTATTTATTATTTCATTCACTCTTATAATATTTTTTTATTTTTTTCAAAATTGATGATAATTTTCTTAGGTTCATATTTCAATTTAATAATCTTATATAAACACTTATATATAAAAGTTTTAAATTTCTATGCAAACTCTTATATATTACATATTTTTATTTTTAAAAAAAAAATTAATTTAAACCTAACAAATAAATTAATAACATTTTATAAAAAAAGATTACAAAACAATTAGTATACATTTTATAAAATAAACACATTTTTCATCTAAACATTGAAATAATAGAGAAAAATTAAATATTAAATACAAGTTATTAATACAAATATTAAAATAACAAAAAAAATTATAAATTGTTTATAAAAGAAAACATATTACATATACTTTGGCAAACATTGTTATGTAATATTTTGCAATAATTATACGGTTTTATGCATTTACATAATGAAAATATTAATAGAGATGTAATATATCTAAAACATTAGGTAATAGTGACAACACATTACATAGAGGAGGCGGGTTCGGCCGATATGGTGGGCTTCATGAGATCCGGCAAAATACTGGCCGAAGGAAATCCGCACGCATTGGTGGCCCACTATCGGGTCAATACTATGGAGAAGTTGTTTCTGATGTTAGCCAAACAGGACGACACTATTCAACAACAAAACGACAGTTCCCTTGCCATCGATCACTCATTCATCGACCAAACAGACAATATGAATGAATCACATAAGAAATTAGAGATACTGTTGAACGAGCCGTTGGTCTGCAACGGAAAAGCCAACAGTTTGTCTCAATTAGACGCCAAAGCCATGTCTGCAACGGCAGCGTCGCTGTCGCGGCGCAGCGCCGGACACTACGCCGATCACAACAGTCTGTTCTCCACCGCCCGCAACAACAAAGAAGTGTATACACAGATAGAGCCGGACATCGAGATCGTCAACAACGTGTCGGCGCGTAATAATAACAACGAATTAGTTAACTTTAGGACCAAACAAAAGGTGCGGTCCGTCGACCGGATCAAAGTGTTGTGCAATAAGAATCGGCTGCGACTGTTCCGGCGGATACCAGAGCTGTTGATAACTATGTTGTTACCGGCCCTCGAAGTGGCCCTCTTTGCACTTTGCATGGGTCGCGATCCCACCGCTGTCCAGTTAGCCGTCAGTAATCAGGAGTTCCCACCCGTATTGAGTCAACTCTTTTTGCAATCCATTGACAACAACTTTATTGCATTAAAATACTATCCAACTCCCGAATCGGCCATAGATTCGGTTCGGAATGCAGACACCTATTCTGCGCTTATCATATCAGATAACTTTTCACTGGCGTTGAGAAATCTATATCGATCGGGTGACCAGATTGACAATCAAACAGTGGACGATAGCACCATTAAGATCTATTACGACGGATCCAATGCATTGCACGTCAATATTATCCGTCGGGAGGTATTTGGCGCTGTGTTCAAATTTGCCGAAACGGTTGCCTACACTTTCGGTGAAGACCTGTCCCGATTCAAACTGCCCGTCCGTTTTGAGCGACCCATCTATGGCTCAGAAAAGGCCGATATGATTGAGTTTGTCGGACCGGGACTTATGATTTTTATTGTCTTTTTTGCCACAATGTCCATCACTAGTATGGCTTTCCTATCGGAGAGACGCGAAGGTAATTATAAATAATAATTATAATTATTAGTATTTTATAATTAATAATCATTATTTGTTTAATTAATTAAGTTAATTATTGTATATTTAATGAATAATATAAATTTTATTTGTCATTACAATTTTCAAAAGTGCTTATAATAATATTGATAATAGTGTTGCCCTTAATTAGTAATTTGAGTTCATTTCCTATATATTTTGATGATATATCTGTGATTTAAATTTCAATTCAATGAATATGGAAATGATTTCTTCAATTGAATAGTGAATCTATTGAATTGATTTAAATTATTTTCTATATTGTTATTGTTGTTGTTTTACTTTTACTTTGATTTATTGAAAATATCAATAGAGAAACGAGAGAGAAAAATAAATAAATATAATAAAATACAAAATAAGTTTTATACATAAGTTTTAATTTGAAAATAATTTTGAAAATGATAATAGATGATTGTAATATATTATTAAAATAATAATTTTAAAAACTTTAAATGTTAAATAGTGTATATAATTTAAATAATTATAATATATATTTATATGTAAACGTAGATATAATTTTTTAGTATGCGTGTACTACAGGTATAATAAAATAAAAATTAATTTATTATTCAATGCATAATATAATTGCAACAAAAAAAATGAATTCTCAGAAAATGTAAATGTTTTGATATTTTGTTGTTTGGCTTCAAAACTATTAATGATTTATTCATTGCATACATATTGACAATTATTTTTGAAATTTAAGTTATGCAACATATAATATATATATTTTTAAAAAGTACCAGCTGAATTTGTTTAACTATATAAATAATATAAACTGATTAAGACTAATTTTTAAGCAAATATTACACTAAATTATTATAATAAAAATTATTGTACATTTAAAAAAAAATAATTGACAACAATATTACAGTATTATTATTATTATAAATGCATATTTCAAACTGAAATAATAATTGATATTTTTAATAATAGTTTGCCCTTCAGTTTTGTTCAAACATAAACGTAATTTTAGTTTTATTACAATAATTTAATCAATCATTCATAAGAACTAATAGTTAAATAATATTTTTTTTTGTACAGTAAATGTAGTTTCCATTGTATTAATTATTTTTTAATATACTGTATCTATACATACGATAATATTGATAGTATTATTTTAAAATGTTAAATTTGTTTTTTATAAGTACAGATACTGTTGAAAGAAAATTAGTTATTTTAAATAAAACATTGATGTGAATCATCAATAAAATAATTTATCTAAAAAAATTGAAAAACTAATGCTAAATAATCAACAATTAAAATAATATAACTGATTTATTAAATAATATTTTATTTATAATAGGTTCTCATATATTAAGTACAAATTAAATTAATTAATTAATATCATTATTATTGAGTCGTTTATTAAACTTTTTATATATATATAAACTGCTTAAGAAAGTTCGTTATAAACAATTTATTTATAAATATTAATATTAGTAATTAATCTTAATATATGAATAGCTATCAAAATTTGTACATTATATTATACACACAAAAACCCTATGACATTGCTAAAATTTAATTGATTGTATTTTATTAAATAATTGGTCAAGCACCTTTTGATTTTTATATAACTTAAATCATGAACTTTAAGATAAATGTATTTTTAAACTTAATTTTCTCTCTCTCTATTTCTCTCTCTCTCTCTCTCTCTCTCTCTCTCTCTCTCTCTCTCTCTCTTACAGCACATTTACTTTTTAGACAAATAAGTCTATAATTTTTTTTATTATAAAAAACAATATTTATTTATTTAGTAGTTTTTTTTTTGTATATACTTTGATTCACATTGTTGTGCAATCAAATAATTAGTTTGAATAAAAAAACACATATTAGAGATTCTGACTGTGACTTCAAATATATGTTTATGACTTTCCACTACTACTAAGTGTATGACTAAACAATTGACGAGTTGTAGTGACCCGAGAAAAATCCAGTAATAGTTGTTAAGCTATTATGATATGACTACTACTTACTATACATTACACTGTGTACTGAATTATGATTATTAAAATGAAACAACAGTTTAGAATAAATAGACAATTATTAAAATACTATATTTGCTGTTATTATTTGATATATTGTTAATGTTTTATTACTATTTAAAAAAACTTCCTTAAAAATTATTGTTTTAATGATTTACATATTTTATATCTTTAAAACTGATACTATCTCTCTCTCTCTCTTCTCTCTCTCTCTCGATATATATATATATAATATTAATTAATTGTTTTATACCTATTTTTATAGATATTAAAAATAATATTTCACAAATATTACACATAATATGAGCAATTATCACATGTTTAGATTTAATTAGTTTATACAATTATTGTGAAACAAATTTATTTATCATAAAATAAGCTAGATGATAAACTAGATAATTAATATAACAACAACAAAATACAATAATTATATACAATATAATAAATATGCATTATATATATATATGATAATATAGCAATTGAAGCCCATGTAAATGCATGATAGCACTTATTTGATGATATCTCAGTGAATCCTGATGACTATATATATATATATATATATATATATATATATATATATATATATATATATATATAAAGCTACTGTTCCTCTAAAATAACAACATGTATATGTCTGTCCTAATAATAGGTACATTAGAGCGTTCAATGATCTCTGGTGTGACACCGACTGAATTCATAGTCTCGCAGATAATTAACGTCACTCTACTGTTAATATCGCAAATCGCACTGACAGTTGTGATGGGCTTCTGGATATTCGACTTCCCAATGAATGGCTCATACATATTGGCCATATTAATGATGTTTCTTCAGGGTATATGCGGTAAGTCTTTGCTTTAAGCGCACCGGTAGCTCACAGTCATACAGTACCATACATACAAACAGGCAGACAAACAACAAAATATATGTGTCATTAACTCATTACACAATATCGCGAAAATGCCATTCACACTGACATTTCCTCCAAAAAAACATAACCAACCCTTTTATACATACAAACAAAATTAAGAAAAGCCATTTCTTGCATTAAATCATAATTATCTACAAAAAAACATATTTTTTTAAAAAACAGATAATTATTAAATAATTTAAACTAATTTTTCAAAAAAAAAATATTAACAATGAAATACATTGTCAATTACAATCAGCAGCGGTAGCAGCTCTTTATAAATCAAAAAAAAGCAAACAAACTTTTTTTTGCTTAAATGAAAATAAATTAATGAATTATTACGATAAAAGTCTTGTGATTGTTACATAAGAAATAAGATTATAGATACAAATAATATACAGTAAATTATATACAGTATATATAGTTTACTAATGAAAAAATAAGATTTATTGTAAAAAGATTTTTTTTTATTGAAGACATTGAGCTTTATGTTTGCATCAGATAGTAAACCACAATATTTTTTTCTACTAATTAATTTAAAAAATTTTGTTTAACAAAAACAAGATATTAATTAAAAAATTTATTTTTGATATTCTGAAAAACAATTTTTTTTATTTAGATAACCTTTAAAAATTGTATTAGATTTTGGTAAACAATAAAATAGTCGTAAAAATTGTTTAAATAATAGTTGAACTTCCAATAGTCTATAGATTTTGCAAAATAATGATTAAACAATTTTAGACAGGATATGTTCATCAAATATTATTTGATATCAATTGTATATTTTAAAATCATTGCCATTGAAATAATTGATAACATTATTATTTGGTATTTTTAAAAATAACAATAATAGTGATAATTAAATAATATTTATTTGTTTAAATAAATATATTAATATTTTTAAACAAACAATTTTAAAATTAGTTATATTTTTACTTAAATATTTTTCTTAAAATTTAATAGGCCAGCTAAGTGTACTGATTATTATTGCAAAAAACGATTTTATTTTTTAAAATTTTTATATATAATTATAAGTTTATTAAATTTTATATTTTGTAAAATACTAAATTGATATTAGCCATTTGATTTGATTTATTGATCAGTTAAGATAATGTTTAATAAAATAGGTTATATAATATAAATATAATAATATACTTATTTCCTATTGAAACACACATAGGTTGTTATATAATACAAATATACTATAATAATATATCAATACTTATTTCCTATTGAAGTACACATACATACATACATACAAACACATTCACATTAATGAAAAATGTATTATTTGATAGTACAGTATAATATAATACATAATTACCGGTAATTTACATATAAATTACAGTATTAATAATAATAATTTTGCTTTCAATTAATGAAATAATTTGTTGTCCTTTATTGGACAGGTATGTGCTACGGGCTAATGTTGTCTGCAATTTGTACGCACGAGATAATCGCCCTGTGTTTGGGCGCCGGCTCTCAACTCATGTTTTGCTTTATAACCGGCATCTTCTGGCCGGTCGACACAATGATACCATTGCTCCGGTATATCAGTTATCTAATGCCTCAGACAATACCAATGGAGGCCTACCGACACATATTGATCCGTGGCTTTGATTTGTCCAAACAAGCCGTACTCAACGGCTTCCTCATCACTGGTGTATGGATCGCATTCTTCCTGATCGCCGCTATTGTGATATTTAAACTTAAATAATAAAAATTGATAATTAATTTTATTTTTGAATTAAACTTAATATGTGTTACTGATATATGCTATAAAAATTAATTTAATTATTGATGTTTTTTTGAAATAGGTTTTGAATTTTTTAAAATCTTAAATATTTATAGTTTAGTTATTTTAGATCAACACATGTTATGACAAATGATATTTAATATTTTTTATCAATTTATGCATCTATAGTATAGTATAATTAATTAAAGATCCTTATTTTTTTTTAAATAAAAACAACAATTGCAAAATATGCCAATTAATATTTTTAAAAATTTATTATAATACAATAATTTTTTACAATATAAAATCAAATAAAATTATATTCTTTTTTTTAATGTAATAATTTATATGAATATTTTGTAACTTATAAATTTTAATAGTAATAATAATAAATTATTTAAACTAATTATCAAAAATTATTATATTGTACATTGTAATTTAATTAATTAAAACATACAGTATATTTTCGTACTTTAAAACAAATACAACACAAATAGTACGACAATAATTACAGGTTACCGTAATATAGTTTTAATAAAATAAAGTTACTTAAAATACGGTATATATTGAATATTTAATAATTTTAGATAATGTATACCAGATCAATTATCAATATAATTTATAAATAAAGTTAATATAATTAGCAAAATAAAATATATTAAATAGTATGACTTGTAGTGAATTGTACCGGTATTTAATTTTTAACATTTATAATACAATTTGTTGCATATTAATGCATAAATTATTTTAAAATATACAATATAATAAAAATTTATATAATACTAATAAAAAATTGTATTTTTATATGTTTTTTAAAAAAATAACATAAATAACTAATTAAAATGAAAAGATGTTTTCAATTTAATTTTTTGACTCTTTTTTTCTATACAAACAAAGAGATAATATTGTATTTAAATATTATTATTATTAATACTTATGAGTGCATTGATAAACAAGACAAACAATAAAAGCAAAAAAGCGATTGACATTACTTCTTGGCCATCGAAATGCCGGCCACAATGAGTCCGCCGATGGCAACGGCGGCGCCGCCGACCATTGCCATACCGAGGAGACCCTCTTTTGTCAGTTTATCTTTGATAAGTTTGTCCAATTCCTGTGCCTGTCTGTTCTCCGGCTCGACGCTCAAGAACTTCTTGATGCAGTCGCGCGCTCTTTGATACTCCTGTGGCCACAACAACAACAACAACAATATATGATATTAGTGATCGACAATTGATTCAATAGCTAATCCAATGGTTCCCACACATACCTTAAGTTTAGTGTTGGCCAAAGCCAGATAATAAAGATAATCTCGACGGGCCTGCGGGTCGCCCGTCGAACACAAGTCCTCCAGTTCGGTGATTCCGCGGTGTATGTCTGTCGGGTATCGCGACCGGATCAGTGCCAACGCGTACTCGAACCGCGTCTGCGGACTAACCAAACCATCCTTAGATTTTCGCCTTTCGTTTTCATATGTTTGCCAAAACTTCTTCAACTCGTCCGGTGAAATGTAGTCCTCGAGGATGGCCTGCATTTCCGTATCGCTGTTTAATCACTAACGGACAAAAAATATGTGTCCAATATTTTCTGTCTTCACGCAAATCTGATTGTAATTATCGTCAAAATTAAGCAAAAGTAAACTCAATCACTTGATATTCAATCTAAATCATTGATCATTTTTTTTAGTGATAATAATAATTATAATATTAGTGTTAATAAACTTTTTTTAATAAAATGACAAACAATTTGATTGTATTGTAATTAGTATTGCGTTTGTCATCCAAAATAATAACCCATTATTTTGTGTCAAAAAAATATAATGTAAACCAATGTATGATTCATTCATACGATTTGTTGTTCAATGTATTTATTGCATACAGTCGTGTCAACCATTGTATGTATAGGTGAACACCAGTTATATGAAACAATATACAAACAAATTTAGCAAATTGTTTAATAAAACAAATTCAATATATTATAATAATGTTATGATATTAATTTGATAAATAATTATTTATTAAATTATTTAATTTTATGTTTATTAATAGTAATTGAAGCTTTAATTTGATGTACTGTTCAATAGGCGCAAGTGGTTTTAAAGTTTACATAAGTAATGTACAGTATTATGTAATACAATATTTTATTACAGTATAAATACCTTAATTTTGTAATGTCTTAATAAATCATTATTTTTTAAAAATATTATTATTATACTATTGTTTTAAATTGTATTGACTCGATATAAATTAAAAATATTTTTTTATATTTGTTTTATATTATTATTTTTTTAAAAGAATATTTTATTTTCTTGACTTTAATTTGTATCTATTAAATAAAATTAAAGTTTTGAAAAAAATTATATAATTATTACCAGTGTTTTTAAAAGGCTTTATAAAACTTAGAATATGTATAGAATTGTCATTAAAATAAAAAAGTGATTTAAAATAAATACAAATGTCTTTTTAAATATCTTTGTAATTACTGTTAATTATCAATGTTTAATGTCATTCAAAAAAAAAACTTTAAAAAAAGTTACATTTATGTTGGCTATAATGACAAACTTATTATGTTTTTTATTTTAATGCACAGCAATCTCTCTCTCTCTCTCTCTCTCTCTCTCTCTCTCTCTCTCTCTCTCTCTCTCTCTCTCTCTCTCTCTCTCCACTACTCTCCTCTCCATCAAAGATATGTCATTATATTATTATTATTTTACTAATGATTATTATAATTATATTAATAAAAATATATATCTTAAAATTAACGTATTTATAAATGTGTAAAATATTGTTTGCAGACACAATAAATAATTATCTTTAAAATTTTTAGAAAATCCTTATTGAGTTAACCTTTAAAAAGTAAAATAAAAAATATATAATATTATCCATATCATTAAAGATTTTATTAATTAAATAATTTTAATGTTTAATTGTTTGTTTATAAAATATAGTCGTAAAAATTGTTTAATTAATAGTTGAAACTCTACTAATATAGATTTGAAAATAATGATTAAACAATTTAAGATAGCATATGTTTATCTAAATAATATATTTTATATTTAAAAATGATAAATCATTGAAAAATTTGAAACAGTAATACAAAATTAATAAAAATAATTAATTTTTATTTAATGTTTTTTAATCAAGGATATATAGTGCCACAAATTGTCATAAATTGTTATAATCAATGACAATATAGTTAACAAAAGTGATTTCTAAATTATAAATGATATAATTGATATGAAATATAATTATTAGAAATTTACATCATTATGAAAATATAAATGTTTAATATGTATTTAATAACATTATTTGGTAGATTGTCTTTGAATTTATATTTTAATTATAAAACATTTACAAAAACAATACTATTGATTTAATATATATTTTATATAAAGTTTATATTTTACTTAAATAATATATTGTATTTTGAATAAAAATTTTGATTTAATTTTGAATTTTTGTAAAATGTAATTCATTATAATGTTAAATTAATAAAATAAATTTTAAAACTTAAATTATTTTTAAACATTAAAATTTAAATTATATAAAATGTTTTTATTAGTATTCAATTATTTAATAACAGTAATTTAATTTATGTTAAGTTTTCTGTTGTATATTAATCATATATAATATATAATAACTAAAATATAAGTAAATATGATATCATATCATATGACACATAACACAAGTTAAATAATAATTGAATGATTGGATATTTATATGTATTGTAAAGTAAACTATCATTAGATGATACCATCTGAGAGGTAACTCATTTCTATCGATACTATATTTTGATATAATTGTTAGTAAATGTTTTTCAGTGAAACAATTAAAAACTATTTTAAGAACATTAGTATCAATATTATTGATTCAATAAGAATATAAAATATTAATTAATTTAGTTAATAATGTCTAGAATATTAATGAATTAATTTTTTTTTTAAACTATAATTAGTATTGAAAAATATAATACATAATATTTAAAAACTTTTTAACAAAAAAAAAAACGCTACTGTTTGAAAAAAAACTAACTGTCCCTCAAATATACCGATAGTTAATCAAATTGTATTTAATTTAATAATAAATTTATTGATATTTATTTGTATAGTAAGTCATTATTTAATCATTAGTACCGGTGCTGTCATCTAATATCTATTGACTGCGACAATCAATTTGAGGCATTTTATACACAACACACACACACAATACATGCAATATATTTACAAACAATTCTATAGATTTAACAATAAAATAATAATTATATAGTAATTATTAAATTGTTATTAATATATGTTTTTTTATAGAATGTAATTCAATACACATTTGTGTTAATAATAACATGGCTTTAAAAACGGCAAACATTTGAATTAATTGACACTTTTTTTTGTTGTAATCCTATTATTATTTGTTTAAACAAAACAGTAATTTTGTTTTCAATAGAATTACTTTTATTTTATTTATAATTTTTTGTTGTTATTAATTGAATCACGCGATGCATAACTTGACCACCAATTGGCCACTGTTTGGCCAGATTTTACCGATTTTAACATAATTATCGACAGACAATAAAATTTAGTGATAATAATAATAATATTAATAAATTTTTAGTGAAATTATTGCTATTTTTCCCCCTCTTTAACCATAAAATAAAAACTGTATTCAATTTAAAACAATAGTTATGGAAATTGAGAGTCAATTAAGCGGTGAAAGCAATGCATTGACGCCAAAGATATACGAAAATATCGGTGATTATAGCGATGGACATCATTTGCAACCCTTGATGACCACCACTGCCGTCAATAGCTGTCATAATAGTGAGACACCGATGACCGCCACAGATGCACATCTGGCTCAACAACATCAGCAGCTAATGAAGATTGAACCGTCGGTACAGACATCGATGGACAACACTTACCACACACTGGACAACAATAACAGGTATTTTAGTATTTTTTGCCGATAATAATATATGACTAATAATTAAAATCAAATTAATAATTTATTTATTATTATTTGTAAATCTATTTAGTGATATCTGTCTCTCTCCGACCATTAATAACGATGATGGCCAACACGTGATGGACACGAGTGGTAACACTACTAATATTGACGGCTCCGGTAGCCCAACACGACCGCTCCTTTCGTCGCGCGACCGGTTTTGTTGGGTGTGTCATAAAGACAAGGGTAATATCCAGTGTCGTCAGTGTCCCCGATGTTATCATCTCAGATGTATACCGATAACCAATGGTGACGGCACTGTCATTGAGTCCAAGAACAACAAATCTATGAATAAAACGTTAATTGAATCGTTTGAGTCATGGATCTGTCTCGAGTGTAAAGATATTATAAAAGAAGAAGAAAACTTACAGTCTATGACCACCGATGATAGCGAAGAGTTGCCTCCTAAGTCACTGTTGGCTCAGATGACCATCGATGAGATGTCCGAACTATTGACGTTCGCATTGCAAACTATACGTCTTTCGGCTGATCTAACTTTCCATAAGCCGGTGTCGCACATTGTGTTTCCCGATTATCACGAGTTAGTTCATTGTCCAATGGATTTATCGACTATCGAAAACAAAATCAATAGCAATCGATATCGATCACAGGCGGCCTTTTTGGCGGACATCAAATGGATTGTTCACAACTGTATTATCTATAACCATAACAATCATCCGTTGACGACAAACGCTAAGTACTTGTCACGGGTGGCCAAGAATGAGATGGTAGAGATGGACATATGTCCCGATTGTTTTAGAAATTTTTATACAGTGACCGAGTCGTCCTTTGCCGAGCCGTGTCGACGGCCACATCAATTGGTGTTCGCTCGGGTAAAGGGCTACCCATTATGGCCTGCGAAGACCGTACGACTCGGCAACAAAAACGAAGTCGATTGTCGTTTTTTCGGCACTCATGATCGGTACGTTTAAATAGTTTTTTGTTAATTAAATTAAAATTATTTATAAACATTCACTAAACTGTTTTTTGCCGGTATTTTATTTTTCAAATACTATTTTTATTTGCACAGAGCTTGGGTAACTGTAGACTCGTGTTGGTTAGTATCTGAAGTACATCCCGGTTCCAAACCAAATAAGACACATAAGGCTAAGTTTGAGGGCGCTATGCGAGAGCTGGCCGTTCACGTGGAACGACTGAACGCGCGTTTTCCTAAAAAGTTTAAATATTCGCCGTCAAAGACATCGTTTTCAGCCAAACAGATATTCATTTTAGATGAAGATAATGACTATTACAACAAATTAATTGATTATCGACTGCAAACAGTAGATGATAAATCACCCAATGGTGCCGCCGATATATCTGCCAATTCAAATGAAAATAGTAATAAAAGTTTGGATAATAATAGCAATGATACCAACGATAAGAGTGGTGATGAAAGCGGTGTTACAAATATTACAAAACCAGTCGCTCCGGGAGTGTTTAGTCTGACCAGTGATAAAGTTTTGGATGAACTCAAATCTGAGATTAAAATCAGTAATGAATCGACAAATCTCTTAAATAAAAGTACGATATTTTTTGAAAAATTATACATTTTTTAAAGTGAATTATTGATAAATTCATTAATTATTAAATTTAGATATCAAAAGCAATTCGCAGCTAAAAGATGACAAAAGCGCCAACGCGTGCGCTCGGACGGCACGTGTCGGTAAACGCAATGTGGCCGAAGCGTTGCGGGCCAGCAAAATAATGAGAACCGGTAGCAACTCATCGCAAACATCATCATTTGCACCGACAGTCACGCCGTCATCCAATAAACAACAAACAAACCAGAGTTCAAATGCAAACAATACATCACAGCAAACGACTACAGCAAATGCATCGGTTGTCAAACCGAAAGGCCAGTCAACTGTCACATCACCACAACTTATATCCAATCAAAATAACAGTACTATTAATAATAATAATAATAGTAATAATAATAACAACAATTTTAGAGAGGAGTTGGAAAGACTCAAAAAACAAATACATTACGAGAATGCTATGCATCGACAAGAGATCCGAGAGATTAAACATAACTCGGATTTAGTTTTGATGGAAATGAGACAGAGTTGGGTCACCGAAAGGGATAAAGCATTGGAGGATCAGCGCCAGAAACACGATTTGGAGCGCAAGCTATTGATGGCACAGTTTGACACTGAAAAGAAGCGATTGTTGTCATCTATTGAGGAGACAAAGAGGAAACAGTGGTGCGGGGAGTGTCTTAAAGAGGCACAACTGTTCTGTTGCTACGACACCTGGTATTGCACTTATGAATGCCAGAAGAGTCACTGGAAGAGTCACGTAAATGTATGTCAACAGATCCAGAGAGCCTCTACATCCAAGAAGTCTTAGATTTTGTTTCTATCCATACAACCATATAATTCATATATTTGTATAATATATCTAAACTTTTTCATGATTTGATTTTCATCAATAAGAAAACAAACATATTTTTGGCGACAATTTCACATCATTTAGTGATTTTAATACAATTCATAGTTAAAAAAAATGAGATTTTAATTTTGAAATTATTAATTAAATAACAAATACACTTATCATTAGTAGTCTATTCCCATCATTAACGAAATACATAATATTTTTTTTACTAAAAAATAATTATTGTTTGAAAAATAGTTATGATAATCTTTTTTTTGTTAACACAATTAGCTAACAATTTATTTTTTATAAAACAAAAATAGTAAACAGATTCTCATTTAAAAAAAATAATAATTTTTATTATTATTCAATTACGCTTATGGTTTATTTATCGGAAAAATGTATAATTCAAATAATCTATTTTTGTTAATTTAAATGATACAGATCATTTTTTTTCTAATTTATAGCATTATAAATGCTAAAATTTATTATTTATAATCCAAGTTTTGTTGCAATATAATAACCCCAGTGCTTAAAGATCTCGTTGTATATTAATTATTTTTTTTTAGTTATTAATTAATTAATTAATTAAAGGTAATTATTAACACAAATATTTATGTAAATTTATAAGTGTAATAAATTACACTTTGTATAGTCATAAGTACTAATTTATAAGCTTTTTTAAAAAAAAAGTTTTATTTATTAATAATTATTAATTAATTTTTTGCGAGCTTTCAAATTAGATTTTCTGGGTTTTAAAGTTAATTATTTTTACAAATGTTTTGTTTAATTTAGTTTAAAATATTTAAAACTACTGATACATACAATAATTTGATTTATTTTTCCGATAAATATTAAGCCATTAAGTTTTTGTAGTAAACTTTAAATTTAACACTTTTATTATTTAAATGCAAATAGTTTGTATGTAAAACTAAATTAATAATTAATTAGACTAATTGCAATTTAATTATTTTGTTTATAATTTTAAAATTTGTTTTAAAAAGCAAACTTTTTTTTAAAAATATGTTAAATGATCAATAATGTGATCACATGAAAACAAATATTATAAACATGTAAAACAAATTTATATCATTTTTGTGAACATTAATAATACAAATATCTAATGATTCATCTATTTGTATAAATTATAATAATATCACCCAAACATTTGATTAAATCAAATAAATTATTTATCACTTAAATTGAAATTAAATTGATTTAAATTTTATATTGTTTTATATACATTAACTTTTTGCATGGTTGTCAAATTACCGCTAATAATATTTATTTATTTTCAATTGTCTGCTAAAAACAATATTTGAAATTCTACAGTATATTAAAGTATAATAACTTTAAAATTTTATTAGAAATCAATTAAAGTTTAATTATTAAACCATATAATATATAATCAATACATTATTATCACAATCTATATTACAATCTATATTCAAAATCATTATAAATATTAATTTCAATATATTAATGGCTTAAGTATTATTTAATTACAATATTGAAGGACAAACAACACATTTTAATGTTTGACAACAAATCTAATTTGGGATTTTTGTTATGGGTTGGATAATTTGGATAATTAACACATTAAAAAAATTTTAAACAACCAAACCGAAAATTAAAAAAAACTAAAACAACGCATAATAAAATGTATTTTTATACTTGTATTATATTAATAATTTTATGACTTTTAAATGTTTGCATAATATGCATATTTATTAACTGTAATCAGTGACTAAAATAACATTTACATTTTATGTAAAAATATTTATATATAATATTTTAAACTTTTTAATTGAAACAATAATACAATAATTTTTGATAATATTAATAATCCATTATTAAATAAGATTTGGATTATTGTATAACAGACTTGAAGTTTAGCCAAAATATTTATTGCACCGATTCTTAGAAAAAATTGTTGTTATTTTTATTATAATTTTTTAAAAAAGATTTTCTAATTATTTTAGTCAAACATTAGACTCAATTCAAGTACATGACAAACATTTTAACACTTTTTACTTAATTTGCATTTACTGTATACACATAATTGATATTCAAGTTTTTGAATTTATTATAATCAAGTTTTTATAATTAATTGGCATTTATTTATTTTTCTAATATTTTTTAAATAATATTTAAAACTATGGGTTTAAAACTACTGTTTCTATCGATAATCATATTGTGTTGGCTGACCATCGACTCTGTCGGCAGCTGTTCCTGCAGTTGGAAACCAAATGATAGGCATTTTTGTGATTCAGATTTTGCCGCTCTGGTCATTGCCAACAACCGAACCGTCGATAACGATAGCACAGTGTATGGCATCGATTTGTGGCGAGTCTATCGGTTCCGCGACGGTGTGGCAAATGAGGCACTGATGCGGCGCCAACTGTGGACCGGAACTTACGACAGTTTGTGCGGTATTGGGCTATCAATAGGCGATCCATATGTGGTGACCGGTTATCTCGTGAACGGTAAGCCGAGAATAAATATCTGCGGTTTCAATAAACTCTGGAATGATATGACAGTCGATGAAGAAAATGGATTCAATTCGGAGTACAGAAAGTTGTGTCCGAAGAATTCGCCATTAATTTTATCGCGAATTCGTTCAAATTATAATTGAATTTAATATTTTGTGTTTGTATTGAATTGTATTTTAATATGAATTAATTATATAAATTATAATTTGTGATCTAATAATTGTATTTTTTATGTCTAATTAATATTATTTATTAGTCATTCAAATATAATTATTTATTAAATTGTTATTTTTAATTAAAATTTATAATGAGATTATATTTAAGTTTATTATGTTTGTTATATTATTTATTTTGATTATGAATAATAAAATTTATTATTTTACTAATTTAAATCTTGTTATTTTTAATAAATATTATTTTCAATTATTTATGACATTGAATATTTAATATATAATTAATTTATCAATCATTTTATAATATGTAGTAATTTATTGATATATGATATAATTTTTTATGAATATTTAATTATTGTTTCATAAAAAAATGTTTAATGTTTAATGTATATATATATATATTATCAAACATATATATATTTGAATTAGCATTTAAATTGATTAAATATGATAATAAAAATATAGTTGTTGTTTGCATTAAGAATTTTGCATAATTTAGTAATAATTAGCTAAAGTTAAGTAATTTTGTAAGTTTTTTTTTGTAATTTTAAAAATTTTATTAATAATAATTTCATTGCAGACATACACTGAAATGAAACCGATTGAAGAGCATTAACGGGACAGTTGTGTGCGATATAATCATCCATAATATCTGACCCAACTGTTCCTCATTGTTGTGATATTTATCCAGTGATTTCAATTCAAATGTATTTAATATCCAAAGAGTTAAATTCAAAATCAGGGCAAAAGTGATGAGTTCCCGGATTCAGTTGGCGCAGTGGTCACGAGTTAGAGCACTGGCGTATGCCGTCCACAATGAACGGCGACTGCACTATAACCTGAATCATAGTCAACACGTAGATCACAATTAATGTCCAACTGGTCAGAGTGTTGTCATTGATGGCGGCTAAGATCAGATGGATGTAGTGATGCAAGAAAACGGTATCGGTTTGAGCACTAGTAGGTCGTCCATAGTCGTAGATGAGTTGTCCTGATCATGATGTTTGACTATTTTAAATTTATAAGTTATTAAATTTGTGAATTTATTTATTTTATCTAATTATTAATATAAATAGTCAAATTCATTATTTAAATAATTTTATAATTTTTAATAAATATAATTTAGAATTATTCTATCATTAAAACTTTAAGATATACCGATAATTAATTTATCTATAAATTTATAATATACAGTAATTTAGATAATTTTTAAAAATTATTGTTTTATGTTGAAAGTTCATATGTTATTAAACACATATCTTTATTTTAATTAGTATTTAAATTTATTAAACATAATAATAATATTAATTTAGCTGTTATTTGTATTAACATGTTTGCATAATTTAGTAATTTGTTTTGTAAAATATTTTAATTAATTATAATTCTATTTATGAATTTTTTAATCTATTAACTCAAATAATTTACAAAACAATAGAAATTAAAATGTTTATAATTATTAGTATTATTAGAAATTTAAATAAGTTATGTTTATGTAAACAATTTGCTAATGATTTTGTTGTGCTGACAATAGATTGGGTTGAATCAGTTGTTGGATTAGTTGTTGGATTAGTTGTTGGATTAGTTGTTGGATTAGTTGTTGGATTAGTTGTTGGATTAGTTGTTGGATTAGTTGTTGGATTAGTTGTTGGATTAGTTGTTGGATTAGTTGTTGGATTAGTTGTTGGATTAGTTGTTGGATTAGTTGTTGGATTAGTTGTTGGATCAGTTGTTGGTGTTGTAGAATCTGAAGGAATTATCAAATCCCAAATGTTTGTGCCGTTCACACAAAATGCATCCCTCACTTGATCCTCATATTTAAGACGATTCTCCAGAAGCCATATAAAACTTTCAATTGAATTACATTCAAAATAATTGTCAAACAAAAAGCTATTGAAACTAAATTATGTACAATAATTACTTTTATAATTAGAATATTTTAAACAAATGAATCTATTTTATTAGCATATAATTAACATTACACATTAAATAAGATTTATTAATTATGTTTTATTGATTTAAATAATTAGTTAGAGCACCCACCTAATGTCTAGGGCGTGACAAAGCACCTAAAATTGCATATATATTTATAATATAAATTATTTATATCATTATTTAATTTACTAATATTATTAGTTTATATTTAAAATTAATTTATACAATATTACTAATAATTGTTTATTTAATTTTATTAATTGTAATTTAGATATATATAATAATAAAAATTTAAAAATAAAAATAAATACTATATATGCAAAAAATGTAAGTCTAGGACACCCGGTATTCCCAGGTGGTCTCCCTCCCAAGTACTAACCGGGCTCGACGCTGCTTAACTTCGGTGATCGAACGAGAACCGGTGCTTTCAGCGTGATATGGCCCTAGACATAAGCTAGGTGAGTTAATTAAATATTTAAATAAATATAATATTTAAAAAAATAATATTGTTTATATACAGTATTTGTAATTTTAATTAAGTTATTTTAATTATTGTTTTTTGTTCACACGTCTATCACATATAAACTAAATACAGTATAAATCAGAAATAAAACAATAAATATTGTCAAAAGTTTTTTATGAAGTTTAAGCATTTTAAGTTTATGAAAATAATATTATTAAGTTATTAAGTTTAGGAAATTAATTTTGTAAGTAATTTTTTTAAACATTATATTTATTTAAATATTTAATTAACTCACCTAGCTTATGTCTAGGGCCATATCACGCTGAAAGCACCGGTTCTCGTTCGATCACCGAAGTTAAGCAGCGTCGAGCCCGGTTAGTACTTGGGAGGGAGACCACCTGGGAATACCGGGTGTCCTAGACATACATTTTTTTGCATATAGTATTTACTTTTTTTTTAATAAATTTATATTATTATATATCTAAATTACAATTAATAAAATTAAATATACAATTATTGGTAATATTGAATAAATTATTTTTAAATATAAACTAATAATATTAATAAATTAAATAATTATATAAATAATCTATATTATATAATAAGTTTTATATAATGATAATTAGTTTATAGTATTATAATAATGTATTTTTTTATCAATTCAAATATTGTTGTAATAAATTTGTCTGAAATTCAGACTCTGAATGTATTATTTATTTGTATTTTTCAAATAACATATTTAAAAATATTTAATATACGTTTAGGTTGTTATAAAAAAGTAGTATTTTATTAGAGTAAAAATAGATTTTTCAATATAAAGAATATAATGTTTATTTTATTAATAAAATCATAATACTGTAGATCTAATATTATTTGTATATTAATTTTGTTAACAAACCTATAGCTAACGTCTTTAATTTGTCGTCTCATAAGTAATAAAGTAATGAATACATTGATATATTTTTATCACTAAAAAAAGTGATATCATTTGTTAAATTAATATACAGTATAATACAAATCTATAGATTGTTGAAAACAATAACATATTTGTTTATTAGGCGTTTTGTGAAAAGTAAATGTATTTATTTATCAATATTTCATATCACGTATCCATGAATTTTGTAGATTTTGAATCACAAATTTTCTAACGATTATCTCAATTAGTATTATAATACTAATACTGTTATAATAATCATAATTCATAGGAAACACATTACATATAAATTCCGGTGCTCTCAGAGACTGAACATTGAAATTGTTTACTTAACGATATATTTATATACCTTATATAAACTGTGTATAAATTATACTGTATATAATATATCGGTAACCAATGTTAGCAATCAAGTGTTAAGGTTTTTTTTCATACGTTTATATAACACTTAAATTCAGACATAAAACAAATTAAAATTATATATACAGTACTAGTCTGGTGTTCATAGTTTACTAATTTTTTTTTTTTTGAAACCATTCTAGAGTCAGACATAAATTTATTTTGTCATTTAATTGTGTCAAATATTCAATAATATTTTTATTATCAATTAACAAAAAAAAGTAATAGTGAGTAAATATTGTCCAATAGATTAATTGATTATATATAATCTATATTAAATAAAACTAGCCTAGATAATATTATATGTATATATATTTATATATAACGTAAATTATAATTTAAAATATTTTCCGGTTTTAACAAATATAAGTCATATATTAATAACAAGATATTGATTGAAAGTGATTTAATATAATTTTAATTTCTATTTTACAGTTATATTATTTTTATTTTTTGAAAAAAATGTCGACAAAACTCATCGTATTGTTTGCCATAATATTTTGTTCGGCTATTTGTGGTAAAAAAAATCTGTTGTTAAATAATTTCAAAAAATATTAAATAAATTAAATGTGTTTTTTTTAAAAAAAAACTTTTGATCTCTAGGCCGGGCACAGGAAAGGGATTGTTTGGCTAACGAGGTGTACAATTCGTGTGGTTCCGCCTGTCCTGAGACATGTGAATCGGTACGCAACCCGAACAGTGCTACACAAGCGTGTACTATGAACTGTGTGGCCGGTTGTTTCTGTCGGGACGGTTACGTCAAAGACAACAATCAGTGCGTTCCCCGACAAAACTGTTTGCCGTCCGGTGCCACGGGCTCGATCAGTGAGTCGCGTAAGACCGCTGCCGGTGATAGAGAGTCGGCCAGCGGTGGCGACAGTGCTGGTCATTCAGCCATTCACGTACACTCATTTGGCACACAACTGATCGCAATAGTGGCCACTTTCCTCCTCTATTTAACAGTTAAAATGCTTTACTAATGAAATAATAATGTATTTGTTTGTCTGTGTGTTGTATCATATTTTTAATGTATAACATTTATAATAAAAATAATAATAATTTTTAAAAATTTACTATTATTAATATATAATTTTTTTAGTATACAGTTAAAAAATAACAAATATCATTTTTAACAAATAAAATTGTGCATGCTAATGTTTTCAATAGTTTATATATATTTCAATAATCAAAACTAAAGTATATATTAGTAATCATTTAAGTCACACCCAATTTTTTATACAATTTTCATTTAAAAATGCTTTGTATGACATAAGAGTCAATATAGCAATTGATAAAATTATGACTTTTGATAGTAAATCTGAAATAAATATTTTATATATAATAATTTACATTAAGATACAAAATCTTATTGATAAATGTATAAAAACTATTATACAATTGGCTTTTATTGCGGATTTTTTTTTTTAATTACCGGTAATAACTAGTTTTAAATTACAATATATATACAAAATTATTAAATTGTATATTACGGGTATATTTATCTATCAAAATTTTTAATTATTATTAACAGATAATAATGTTAACAATAGTGGTGGTAAAGGAGATTTCATTTTAAATTTTTATTCACTTAAAACAATTTAATTTATTAAATTGTAATAAAATTAAAAAATATTTGTATGTTTTATGTGTATATTTGGTGAAATTTTATTCATTACAGTAACAATTACGGGTGATATTTATTTTAAAAAATAACAAATGATTTTTATTAATGATTGAAATAATAATAATTTAAAAAACAATAATACAATTGAATTACATGTTAGCAAATATATCGGTCTCTTCGTAACTGAGAAGACTTCGTTTGCTTTTGACATCACTTTTCTGTGAATATTTAGCGGCAATTGTTGACCAAACATCTACTGTTGATGCAGACGATGAATGAGCAATGGTATCATTACTGATGTCGGGTTTCTTTTCGTTAACAACCGGCTGTTTTCGGGCTAATGATACTTTCAATTTGATACCATTCACTAACTTGTGATTCATGTCGTTAATGGCTTTGTTTGCGCACTCAATGGAGTCAAATGTAACAAAACCACAGCTATTATAATGACAACAATCAATTCAGAAATCAAATCATAAAATCATTTTAAATAAAACAATACTTTTTATCGACTTCAACGGTAATGTTCATTATATTGCCAAACATCGAGAACCCTGTCCTCAATGTGGGTTCATTTATACCGATTCCGTGAACATAAATAGTATTTCCCGTTTGTGGTGTATCTCTGTTGACATAATTTGCTTTACCGTCTCTTCGTTTCTCTCTAACCGTCTCTTCTCGTGCAATGGTTTCGGGATCTCTTGAAGAGATAAATGTCTCATACAATGGCTTCACTCGATTTGAAACAATATTTTCAAGAGGAGCTGAATATTAACAACAAAAAAAAGATAATTAGTTTTCATCACATGTAAAGAAAAAATTAATTTAAAGTTTAAGTTAAGACACTAACCATTATCGTCATCGATGGACTGCGACTGATTAAACGGTTGATAACCACCCGGCCTATCACTGCCGACTCCACGTTTCCTCTCCAACGAAACCGATCGCTTGAAACCCGAGGCCTGTCTGTCCTTAGCCAGCGGTTGTTTGATGGCATGAATTTTTCCCAATTTAAGCAGCTTTTTGGCCACTTCTTTGGCATCGGTGCCGCTCTCGGACGTCCGTTTGATCGGCTGTTGGATTGGCTGTGCTTCGGGTTTTGGTGCTCTCAATGCTTGTAACGCTTTCTTCTGCAATAATAATGACAACAACGACAACAACATTAGCAAAGAATTCAAAAGTTATCATCAAATGATTGTTACCTTAAAAAAACAATAAACAAACAAAAAACAGACCTTTCGTTTAAGTTTCTGATACTTTCTCTGAAGCATCTGTTCCTCATCAGTCAATTGTGTCGGTAATTGTATGAAAACCATTGTCCGCACCACCGATGATATGGTTTGTTGTCTTTGATTGACAATTATTACCGAAAATTACATTAAATGAATGAGTTTTTCAGTAAACAAATTACGTTCAAAACAATAGAAACCCCATAAATGTTATTATTAAATACAAATACAACACAAATCTATGAACACATAAAAAATCATTACATAAAATAAGTACAAATTTATGTTAACGTAATTTATGGTCAATTGTTTATGTATATGTTTATTGCAGTCAATAAATCTAAGTTTGCATTGAATTCAATGTAAATAAAACTTTTATGTCAAACAAAATTAATTAAAAACATATTTTAATAATTAATAAATTATATAAAAAAATATAATTTTGAAAACACACTGTATTTTAAAGTTATTTTTATAATTGATATGAAAATTAAATATATATTTTTATTTCATAACTATTTTGTTATTTTGATATTGATTTCAATTTGATTGACAAACAATCTGTTGTTTGGTTTGGCCTTCAAATGATTATAACTTTTAGCAATAAATGAAATGTTGTTTTGAAAGAAAACTTTTTTTTAGTCATTTTATGACTAATTTATCGCAAGTTTTTTGTTGTAAAAGTTATTTCCCATTAAACAAGTGTTGAGTTCATTGATATAACATTTGTTGTTTACCATTGATTAATATACTAATTGATCCACAGTTAAGATAACAAATCAAACAAAGATAAGACACTAAAAAAATTCAAGTATTTTCAAGTCTTCATAAAAAGTTATCGTATTTTGTTTCGTCTTCTTTCGTCTTTCGTCTTCAAAACAACACTTTATGTATTAAAACATTAGTCTTTATAAGATGTCATCATTGCTGAAGAGTTGTCGTGAATCGTCGATACGATCACTGGTTAATCACAGAAATACAAGAGTATTGTCATCAGTTTCATCGATATATCAAAATGTTGTCAATCAGACTAAAGTCGGTGTAAAACCCGTCAGAATTGGCGATTCAAAGCCAAAATGGATACCATTTTCGCGGCCAAAGTACGGAAACTTTTCGCAAGAAATGCCACGACTCAGCAATCAATGGACTGGCGATCCATTTCTTCAAAAGTATTTGCAAAGAGTTTTACCAAAAGAGGTATAACTTATGCAAACAAATTGCAAGTATTAAACATATACTATATTTTTTTAGATGTATAGCGAGATTAACCAAGACTTGACCAGATTTGGTGATCGCGTGGCCAACGATATCTACGAGTTAGGCGTTGAATGCGACAGACATTTGCCAAAATTGATTCAACAGAACGCTTGGGGACAGACTTGTAATGATCTTTATGTTTGCAACGCATGGAAACAGCAGAAGACGGTGTCAGCCGAAGAAGGAATCGTTGCTATCGGTTATGAACGCAAATATCACGAGTTTTCCCGTTTATATCAGTTCGCAAAACTATATCTATACGCGCCCTCTTCGGGTCTCTATTCGTGTCCCATTGCTATGACCGATGGCGCGGCCAAAACTATTGAGTCTTTGGATCTCAAGACACAACCGATTTATGAAGAGGTATTTAATAATCTGACAACTCGTGACCCGAAACGGTTTTTCACTTCTGGTCAATGGATGACCGAAAAAGGCGGCGGATCTGATGTGGGTCTGTGTTGACCACAAATATTTGTATTCATATGAAAGTTTTAATTGAAAATAATTGCAATAATTTTAAAGCCGGCGGCACTGAGACTGTGGCTGTCCCTATGGGAAGAGATATATTTAAACTTTATGGATATAAATGGTTTTCGTCGGCAACCGATGCGGACATTGCCCTAACTTTGGCCCGAATTGCCGACGACGAGGGAAATGTTTTGCAAGTATTGTATTTATATTTTTAATGCTAACAAATATAACAATTATCGGCATTTAATTGATTTGAAGGGCACTCGAGGATTGACACTATTCTTCCTAAAATTAAGAGATGAAAACAATCGTTTGAATGATATCGATATGATTCGCCTGAAAGACAAATTAGGCACTCGTCAGGTGCCCACAGCTGAACTACTATTGGACGGAACTGTTGCTCATAAAGTATTTTAAATAACTGAATCAAATGAAGTGATTATTTTTTAACAGTTATTTATTTGAATAATAGATGTCCGAAGAAGGCAGAGGTGTTGCTGCCATCGCTAATATGCTTCAAATCACAAGAATACATAATGCCATCGGAAGTGCATCTTATATGAGGAGGTATTGCAAAATCTTGATGTAATTATTATTGAATTTTGATGTCAAAAATCTGTTAGAATATTAACGATTGCTAGAGATTATGCTCAACGAAGAAAAGCATTTGGAAAGCCTATCAGTCAATACCCGATTCATATGCAAACATTGGCCCGAATGGACACCGAAGCTAAGGGAGCTTTTATAATGGCATTTGAGGTAATACTGTAGTTATTACTCTTGAAATTATTCATAATTTGTAATTTTATGTCCTCACAGAACGTCCGACTTTTAGGCAGACAAGAGCAGGGATTGGCTTCTGATGAAGAGTTATTGTTATTGCGTTTATTAAATCCAATATCAAAACTGTTTGTCTGTAAACAGTCGATGTCTACGATTTCCGAAGGTTTGGAAGCGTTTGGAGGACAGGGAGCTATGGAAGATACTGGACTGCCGGTTATGTTAAGAGATTCACAAATTTTTGTCATTTGGGAGGGAACTACTAATATTCTGGCTCTGGATGTGCTGCGAGTTATGGCTAAAACTGGTGGAGAAGCACTTAAGGCTTTTAAATCTCATATCAAAAGCCGTCTGGATTTGGCTGCAAATCACGCCATTCTAAAGGACGAAGCACTTAAAGTACAGACTTCGGTGGACACTATTCTGGACATTGTCTATAATAATCCCAATGCTTTAGAGGCCGGTTCTCGTGATTTTGCATTCAGTTTGGCCCGACTTTTCATTGCGTCGGCACTTCTGGAAAATTCATGTTTGGTTGGCTCTACAGATTTGGATGAAACAACTGCTCTCAGGTTTGGATTTTGTTTGAATGAATACTTTGTTAATTGTCTTAATATTTAATTGATTCGTGTGTTTGTCATCTATAATGTTCCGACAGGTGGTGTAGAGGACAGGATTTGGCGCCATTTATAACCAATTATGGTCTTAACTTATACAACAAGAGTTCAATTGAAATCGATTACAAACTGGTTATGAATGGCTATTCTAAATAAATACCATTACTTGCAATATATTACTGTACAAAACTTGATAAATATTTACCATGGTTATTAATTGTTTAATTTTATTATATATATATATATACCGGTATATAATATCCAAATAATGTATTTATAAATACGGCAATTTAGTAGTTTAGAAAACATTTTTTTATTTATGTAATTTTACATTCATAATTTTTATAGTGCTGTATATTTTCAATTATGGAGATATGTTTTAATTTTATCTAGATAATATATATTGTATATAGTAAATACATCAAGTTTAGTTATCGATAATAAAATTATGATATAAGTAAACAATTGAGAATATGTTAACATATTATGTAATATTGTTAATATTATTAATTTAAAAATTACTAAATATTACCGGCAAAATCAATATTCATAAAACATTTACAACTATATTATTAATAATTATCAATAATATAAATCTATAAATAAATAAATATTTATTATTATTAATATCTAATAAATTAAAAGAATATTCTTATATTTTATATAAATCACTATAGATTGCAGTCTATTATATAAGTTTTCACTCTTAGATTACATGTCTGTCCTCTAGTGTAGACACAGTGTAATATACAGTACTGTATTAATATATGCTATAATAATACAGTACTGTAATATACTGTGTATTTTTTTTATTTACACAAACAAACACATATACACACAAATTGCTAATGTATTAATATTGATTTAAATGTACTAAACAAAAATGTTTACAATATTATTATTAAAATCATATTGTAATATATAGATGATTTTGATTCATAATATTTAGCAAATTTATTATAAATATACTTATAAATTAAAATACTATTATAATTGACCTGTTTTTATAAGCAATTAAAAAACAGGCGCTTTTAATGTTATATTAATGAATGCCAAATAGTGATTGTATTTTATAAATGTATATATAAATAGCAGTTAATTATTTTGAAAATACCATATATTTAGCAGTATTTAGTGTCATATTTAATGTTATGTTATGTTTTTAAAAATATTGAGTGTTAAGCTAATAAATATTTTAAAAAATTAAAGTTTAAAATTAATAATAATAATAATAACGACATTTTATAAACGATAATAAAACAAAAAACAAAATCAATAAACTATTGGATTGTTTACTGTAGTATTAATTTACTACTGAAAGGATATATAAAATTTGTGATAATATAGATATACAGTATAATTATGAAACCCATCTGTAAAAAATTAATCAAATTGTAAGTTTAAATATCATAATATGATATATATTTATATGATATTATATTAATATAATTAATTTTATTTGTATCTATGAATAAACTCTATTGAAATGTCAATTATTAACATGATATTAAAAAAAATTATTAATAAATACATAAATTTTATTATAGCACTAAATGTGATGAATATTTTTTATAGTAAATACTGATATTTTTCAAATAATATTTATTTGATATATTTTTTTCATTTAATATTTATATTTTATATGCTTAACAACCATCTTAGCCATAATATATTATTGAAATAAAATAAATGATAATAATTTTCATGAGATAAATCAGTCAATAACAACACAATTTAGGAGTTCATTCATAAAAAAGTATTAATTAATAAACTAAATAGTATTTTACTAACTTTTATTTATAATAATCACATTAATTTATATATAAAAAATACATATGTAGATGATAGTATATCTCCTAGTTACAATTATTTTTAATTTTCTAACATAATTAGTTTGTACCTTGGTTATTCAGAAAAATTATAAATTATATGATTGATTATTAATAATTTATTACTAATTATTACAGTATTAAAAGTAGTAACTGTAGTAGTATTAATACATACAGTATTGTACATGAATTGAAAGTGTTGGCTAATATTAATAGTTGCCAATAATAATGTTTATTATATATGATATAAATTTACATGTTTTATTTGCTCATATATTTTACTAATTAATTGCGATTAAACAGTTAGATAATTTAGAGTGAGGTTGGTTTGGACCCATTGAGAGAGAGAGAGAGAGAGAGAGAGAGAGAGAGAGAGAGAGAGAGAGAGGCTATAAAATTGGCAAAAGTTTAGAAATAATAATCATATAAATTATTCAAATATTGTCATTACTTAACTTTTATTTTTTGTTTGTTTGTAAAGGACAGGTAATATTCAAAACTAATGTTAGATTTTGAATGTTGTCTAACAATTTGTTAAAATTAATTTTTATTATAATAAAAATATGTAAATTTTATTTAGATAAAAACCCATTTGCTGATGTAGTCTATGAAGATATTCTGTACTTTCTATAACAAAATGAATTATTGAAAATAAAAAAACATTAATTTCAATAACAAATTTGTTTGACATTTATTTGTTTTTGTTTAATAATAAAAAAATAATATTCAGTACTGTTGTCTGAAACTTCAGTCTCATATCTGATTTTAGTTATTTAAATTACTTATTATATCATTTTTATTAGTATTTCAATTTTCAAAGCGATAAATCAAATTACAAGTGTAGCCAAAATGTTATGCTATTGATGATGATTGAAAAGTTGATAAAATATATTTGCATAACTAAATATATATATTTATTTAAATATATATAATCATAGATATATAAAATCAGCCAACATATCAATATATAAATATATAACAAAACACTATTACATAGATTAAACAACACAAATAAGTTTCAAAAAATAACTTTTAAATTTAAATGATTGCGATATTTGCTGACATTATGTTGTTATTGTTAAATCAAATATAATTATAGAAACTCTTTGTTTTAATGAGTTATAAAAAAGAAAGTAAACTAAACTAATAATAATACTTTAATAACAATAATATTATTGTTTTTCAAATGAGACGTTTATTACTCTTATTGTACGATATTTTTAAAACATTTTATTTTTTTAAATATATCTAATCTCCTGTACAAAGCTTACGTAAATTCAACCGAGACTTTCAATTCATGTCAATTAATAAATATGACATTTAATTTTACTTTTTATGTATTTATATTATTTACATTAGTAATAAATATCAAAATCAAATTACCGTATTATAGATATTTTTAGTAATAGTAAATGACATGAAATATTATAACAAATAAATCAATAAAAAATATTATATAATATTTATTAATATATCATTTATTACATAAATATAACTGGTTGTTGTATTAATATATATATAACTTTATATAATATAAAGATATTATAGATAAAGTTTATATCATTTTGACTGCTAGACTGTATGTTCAAATAAATTGATTATTAATATAACTTTTTGCCACAAAATCTCATATTTACTTTTTTTTTAAATACAAACAACTTTCAGATACTGTAATAAACATTATTAATATATAAATGTAAATACATATACTTTAATATGACTTAAATATGAGCTCTGATTTTAATTTGACTTTAATTTTCATCTGATTCTTGTGTCGTATCGTTTGTTGTGTTTGTGTATTATTATTATTATTATTATTATTATTATTATTATTATTATTATTATTATTATACTGTATTATATATTTTAGTGACACTTATCTCACTTTGTATTTATTTTTGATAACTAAATTGAAGCCAAACTTTTGTTTTGTTGGAATTGTTTCAATAAAAAAAATAATTAAAAACTTAAATACAAGTTTAGTGTATGTATTATATTCTTCAATAGTTTTGAAAATTCTTCACACAAACTGTTTTTTTTAAATCAGTTGATTTGTATTATTGTTTGCTGTTATTTAAAACTTTTAATTTTTTATATATATATATTTGTTTAGCGAACTTATTGTCAAACCGTCGAACAGTAGTATCAATTGATCGATACATTTGAAGGGAACAATTGAATGATCTGGACGTCGATGATGACCAAAATGAATGACCAACAGATAGTCTGTAACGTCATTGTCAACGCACACGAGTGCGAGGGCTCTATAGCCGAAGCCAAGGACTGTTTGCGGTCTGTTAGCCATAAACTCGAATGGTTTGAACGAAAACAACTGTTTTGTCCGCATCTCATATCCATTGATGACTCGGCCGAAGTGATGACACTCATCAACAGAGTGGCCACCGAAGAGCTACCGGTAATCGATTACGACCACAAACTCAACTCTGGCCAGGAATCAGAAGTATCCAATGATTTGCATCTCCGGGTGCGAGCAGTGGTCGAAAGTTTCAAACAGATCAAGAAAATGCTCCAACTTTTGTATAACAACATTGAGTTGATTATCAAAAAAGAGAAATTAATAGCTATTTAATTTCAATATATAATGTTGTTATTTATTATACATTATATATAGTGCAACTATTTTTCAGTTTTTTTTGTCATTAAATATTTTATTTGCACTAATTTTGATGTTTTTTCTCACAAATAGATTCTCTATATTTTTGTCATATCTCCGAAAAATACTAGAAATTAAGAGAGACTTTTGAAAGTCATTTATAAGTTTTTTTTTAAAAGTTATAATTACTTTAAATATTCCCTTAAATTTTATTTTGTCTTTTATTTCTTGTATTTTTTTTTGGTTTTGATTTAAAAAAAAAATATTATCGATATTGTAATTATTAATATAATTATAAATGGAAATAATGTTTTGATATATATATATATTGAAATATAACATAAATTATATAAATGTAATATTTATATAATTATTTTTATGTTATATATATATATATATAGTATATACAAACACTGTATACGGCTTTTTCAATGTCTTATTTTTACAGAATTTGTTTTATACATATAATATACTGTAATATGAATATATTGATTGGCCATTAATGGTGCGATTTTTTGAGAGAAAGAAACTTATATCAAATATTGTAAACATTATTATTATTAATATTATATAATCAATAGTTTTTTAATGTAAATAATTAATTTGATTAAACATTGAAGTAAACCACAAAAATAATAGTATTAATTATGAAAACTTTTGGATAATTTGAGTTAAATTTTGACATAAATAATGATAATAATAATAATCGGAAATAAGATGACCAGAAAATAAGAATTTTATTTATATTGTAATACAAATACACAAAAAATAAATAAAAATACTTATTATTCTTCATCTTTATTATCATTCATTTCATCGTCACTTTCACTATCCTTGACGTCCGTTGCAGTTGTGATATCAGGCTTTTCAGTGGTTGTCGTCGTTTTAGTCTTCATATCCGTTTCAGATCCAATTCCTTCGGGTGGTTTACATCTGCACCTTTCTATCGGTGGTTTAGGAGTAGCGGCAATGACTGGCGGTATATTAGATCCCCATTCACGACGTGGTGGCCAAACGCTGCCAATAGTGGTGATCCGTTTGCCGCCTACCAGTCCTGTTGGTTTTTTTCCCGACCATAGCGGTGGCGCAACAGTTGGATGTGGATTAATCAATGGATAGGTGTTGTAAATTGGAGATAATTGATAGGATGGTATGTATCCGGTATATGCATAATCATTGTTATAGTTATCGATAGTCGAGAATACGTTTTGATAATTTCTTTCGGGATAATAGTAATAGAAGTTATTTAGAGCCAAATTTGGCGATAAATTATAACCACTGTAACCATAATTTGATTGCAACGATGATGTTATCATCAATGCAAACACATAGCATAACTAAAAAAAAAAGTATTTATTATATTTTTTTTTTGAAAATTATAATAAACAAAGAAAATTTTAAACTATGTATCTAATGTTATAAATCTAATAAATAGCAATATATATATAAAAATATATATTTAATATATATATACTTACAAAAGTTATCATTTCGACTAAACATCTAAACTATTGTACATTAATCTATACTGACATACATATTATATATAAAATTTATATAATTTATGTATTTGTGCCCCGAAGTCGTGCAAATAAGAAGTCCCTCACAAATAAAAAAATTTTTTTTTTAATAATATATTTTCAGTTTTTGAAAAAATCATAAATATTTAAAGTCTTCATTTAGTGATTGCATCACAAAATCTGTTAATTTAATGTCAATCTTCAATAGTTTATGTAATATTAATTAATGTTCAAATACACTGACAGTATAGCGGAGGGGAAATCCAGAGCTACCAGTGCTTAAGTTTTTTTTTATTAAGTCTAGCTTTTAATATAACATATAATAAAACAAATTGAAAAACTGCCAAAATTTTTACTTTCTCTTAACAAACAAAAAAAAATAGTTCAGTAATTCTCGCACTTAGTATTTCAAGGTTTACTGTATGAAAATGCGTTGAATTAATTGATAAATCACATAAAAATACTATACTTTTGCTTTTTATTTGATATAATTTAAAGTGTAATTAATATTAATTAAATTTAACACAAAGTAATGCATGAAATAAAGTTTCCAGCAATTTTTTTTTAATTTTTAACCCATTCATACTATTTACATTTATTTATATTTTGAAATGTTTAAATTAGATTATTATGTATACTGTATGTTGTATATATGTATCAAATATAATTATTAAACTTGATACTAAACTAAATATAAATATACTACATTATTTAAATAAACAAAAACTAAAAAATAATAATATTTTTTACATAATTAAACTTAAATCAATAAAACATATTTTTAAGTTTTAAATAATATTTTATGATTGCTTATAACTAGTATATAATTATAGTGTATAACGAATAAAATGTCAATTTCATAAATTTTAAATAAATATAAATCTATAGACAATTCTCATATTATTATTTGATATACTAAACTAAAATACTATATTTTAAGTTTCATATTTTATATATTGAAATATATAATAAATAGTTATATATATATATTATAGAATACAGTATATTATACTCATATTTCAACATTTAAAAAAATAAAGGGTTAATGCATTTCAATTTGGACACTACTGTATATAAGTAGATTATAATTTATTATAACATTTTGTTGAAATTCAATAGTTTATAATAGTATTATAGATATACTAAAACAAAAGTAATACTATTGAATTAGACAAAACGTCAAAATGAGAAACAAATTATAAATATTTTGATTTTATAATTTATAATGTTTTTATATATTTTATCGACACATTTGAAAACATGATTTATCACAAAACTATTGAATAACAAAAAAAATTATTAATATTATTATTTCAAAATTGATATAATTTATACAAAACTTTCAATACTTGTTTGGAAAAATGAAAAAGTGATTATTAATGGGAAGTTTGAAATGATTATTAGGAAATCAGTACAAATCCTAAATAACAACAACGACTTAAAAGCCTATAATATACTACAGTATATAATAAGGCTTCACATTTGTCGTCAACTTTTAAACACCAGATTATTAATTGTACAGTAAATGTAGTCTTAAAATAGCTTTCAAACTATACAATGATTTTTGGTAGGAAATTGACTCCTTTATCTATTATTATTAACTTTTAATATTATTTCTACATTTAGTTTAGATTAACACAGGAGTTGTAGTACTACACAGACATCCAGTTCCTTCCCTTTATTATATTTGATAGTTTAGATGAAAGTGTGTTTGTGATTGAAGTTAATGAATCATTGCCTACATTTGATAAAAACTTTTACTGTATTTTAAGTTTTATACTTCAGTTTATTAAAAAAAAGAGAGAAATATTTGAAACATATTTTGAGAGTTGTTTTACTAGTATTTAGAAAACAAATAAAAAAAATTATATTCAGAGAACAACTTCAATATTTGTATGAAAAAAAACTTGTGTTAAACACATCACACCATTTGGTTTATTAATAAAGTAAAGTGTCATCAAATATATCATAAAAAAATATGTTTTCAACATTTAAAACCTCATTTGCCGTTTTGTTGAGCGCACTGTTAGTCGATCTACTAGTCGACTGTCATCCGACGGGTGCACCGGAGAGTGTGTGCGATACACTGGCGCCCAGTCATCGCGTCAAAGCACAGACATCGCCGTCGCCATACATTTTGGCCGGTAATCCAAACCAGGGCTCCATTAAGCTGATCATTGAGAGTCCACAAAACACGGCGTTTCGCGGATTTGCAGTTCAGGCACATAACGCCAATGGTTCCAGCAATGAGCCGATCGGCCGGTTCCAGGCCGAGGATCCCGACAATACACACACAATCAACTGTTATGGCCATCAGGATGTATGTGTGCCACACCTTAATATACATATTTTAAAATAAAATGTATTATAATTTTTTTAAATATATTTTTTAAAGAACACATTAACACATTCCAACCGAAATGACAAGCAATCGGTGACCGCTTTCTGGTTTCCGCCCGAAAATTTGCCAAAAGGTACGGCCATAAAGTTTGTCGGCACAGTTGTCAAAGATGTGAAAACATTTTGGGTAAACCTTTCGTCGGCACCGATTGTTTTGCCGGTTGAGGACATCAAAGGAAACTCTGTGGGAGACGGAGACCACTCACACCATCAACAGGTTTGAGAAAACTATTTTATTAAATTAAATTTTTTTTGGTAATTATTATTTTTTTTTTGGTGACCATCATTAGGGTCATGGAGATGACAACCATTCCGAAAGCAAGACTAGAACTACTGAAAACGGATCCTCTATCTTATCGATGAATTACTTGTTGATGGTGTCAGCAAATTTGTTTTTATTATACAAATTATTTTTATAAATTTAATATTTCGATAAAAATTTAATAAATAAAATATCAATAATAACTTATTTAAATACAATATAACATCAAAAAATGATTTGGTGGTTATTTCAATTGATTTTGAAGCAAATTGAGCTCAAATGTAATACTTTTATTATAAAACTTTATGAGCACCTGTTCCTCACTTGTATTCACTTTTATATCGATTGATGATTTGTCTCATCTCATCATAAATGGTACGCAAATTGATTTTCTGTGACATTAAAATCTGAAAGAATGGATTCAATTGTTTGAAACCTTGTCTGCGATGTAAATGATAGGCCACTTCCATCGGTACGATAGCTGTGGACATCACTGCAGCCAAATGTTTGGTCAGAGATCCGCTGTTTGTCGGCGACAACAAATGTTTGTTATACTCTGCTATTCTATGGTATTGACTTTAGTTATCTATTTTATTAAAAAATTACAGAAAATATTTACATAACTTTACTAAAATTACTAAAATTTTATTATCTATTCAAACTTATCGTAATATTTAATAAATTACTCTATTTGTTAATAAATTTGTTAATATTTTCAAAACAATTGCCAATATTATATGACTTCAAAATAATTAGTATACTCTACACTAGTGTATAATATCAACAAAATTTATTATTTTACTTAATATGCACATTATTCTAGACAATATTGATTACAAATTTGTTTATAAAGTTATATTAATAGTAAGCGTACAAAATTATCCTCTCATTACTTATTACTTATTGATATAGCTTTTTTTAAATAAAAAAAAATCTATACATCACATGTTATATATAAATATTAAAATCAGCCAAATAAATATGCTTTCATATGCCAAATATATACTGTAAATGTATATATGATTTTTTACACCATTTATTTGATGGAAATCTTGTCATTTTTATTTGAGTACTTAAAGTCGTCTCTCTCTCTCTCTCTCTCTCTCTCTCTCTCTCTCTCTCTCTCTCTCTCTCTCTCTCTCTATGCATCATATGTGATATATATTAAGCAAGGCCATTTCTCTGTTTTAAGCGAAAATTTTTTTCAATTGTTCAAAAATGTCTGGGGGGAGGGTAAAATCCGAAAATCTCGATCTAAGGGGGGTTGTATTAGCCAAACCCAACTGACCATTTATTTTAGATATACAGCACTTTTCAGAGCCCTTCCTCCAAATTTGAACACACTTTTGGTCCTAAAGTTTCAAATATTGTTTTTGAGAAATCAGTTTCAAGTATTGTTTGTTTCAACTCAAATCGTTAAACTATGTATAAGTTATTATTATTTAATTTGATTATAAATTTTTCAATCATTTATGTTCAATCAGATGATAATCAACGAGGCTTTAGATGTAAATCAATTTATATCATATTATTTTTAAGAAAATTATTTATATATTTTTGTTTTGTTTAGCCTTTCCTTATTCACTATTCAGTTCCGTTAGTGTCGATACTACGGAGTGTATGATTAGTAATGACAATAATGAGACCATCGCTTATGGGACCTGTTTTACACCGCAACAGTGCTCCCAATATAATGGCATAGAAAGCGGTAAATGTGGCGATGGGTATGGCGTTTGTTGTCTAAGTGAGTCCCAAGTTTTACATTGAAATTATTATTTAAAGAAAACAATCAATTTTTTATAATATTTTGGTTTTTTCCAATATTAAGTTGAGAAAAGTTGTGGCCAAACAAACACAGCCAACGTATCATATTTTTTGAGTCCCAATTATCCCAATGGCTTTAACGAACCGTTTAGTTGTACGCTTAAAGTTAATAAACTCGACAATCAAAAAGTATTAGTTATTTGGTTTAAATATGTATTTTTTAGATAAAAAATGTGTAATATTTTTTTGAATAGATATGCCAAATGAGAGTCGACTTTATTGACTTTGAAATCGCAAATCCAATTGAATGTAAACCCGAAATCAAAGACTTCAACTTCGGATCAGTTAATAGTGAATCCAATTGTAAGGAAGATCTGTTTGTAGTGACACAATCCAATCGCAATCAACCCATACCTATATTATGCGGCAATAATACTGGACACCATTGTATGGATACTGGCAATGAAAACTTAATGAAACATTAATTTGATTTAAAAACAATTTTGATTATTTGATTAACAACAGTGTATATACCTGTGGATGAATCAGACAGTATTGCTATTTCACTGACAGTGTTGACAGGTATCGGACAAATGGATCGCAAATGGAAGATCAAGATAACACAACTTCCCTGTTCATTACCACAACACTTACTAGGTTTGGCCATACATAAGCTTAAAGGCACTTAAGTTTATGACTTTCAATAACTTTTTCTATAATATCAGCCCCACAGGGATGCCTACAATACTATAACACTAACAAAGGAATCATAAAATCATTTAACTTCGATGGACAGCATTACCTACAGAGTAGGTGTCTCCACATAAATACCTGACTTTTGACAATTTTGACAATTTTAAAAAAATTTACTTAAAAGTAAAAGTGATTTATTGAATATTTATCTATTGATGTCAGACACTGATTACTCGATATGCATACGAAAGCCAAAAAATATGTGTTATATGACTCTTAAGGCGACACAGGAGTCACTGAAATTAAACAACAGTTCCCTAAACGCATCGATCACTGCAATAAATAACACGGACTCGGATTTAGTCGAAAGAATCGCCGCATTAGTTCAGTCAGAGGCACAACCTCTAGCAGAGCCCATACGCGTTGGCGGCGGTGACAGTGGTCAGCCTTTATCGTCGGTACCATTTGTAGACACATCGGAAGCACTGTTACCACTACGTGTACGAGCTTTTTATCCGAGACATCTGTCACGGAAGGGCAGTATATGTCAGTCGGATCACTACTGGATAACATACCCGGGCTCTAATCGTATCTGTTCCTATGATTTGGAGCCACTGGTATCACCACTGATAAGTAAATCTATTATAAATGTTTTTTTTTAGTTCAACAATAAAATGTAAAAATTTAAATTAACATTTGAATAGTTGCCACAAACTCGCATCAAGTGATCCATTATCACGCGTCCACTTGGAGTCAGTCGTCCACATTCACCGACACCAAGACTATACCGAAAGGGTTTGCCTTAGAGTTTGCACACTCGCCGTGCACTCACCTAATTGTTTAACTTTATGTGTATTTTCAAACATATTATTTCAAAGATTCAGATTTTAAAAATATTATGTTTTACTCATTAATTTTATTTAATAAAACATTTACTAATATACAGTATTTATTTACTAAAATAAGTAATAGTAATTTTTAAAAAAAATAGTTTATAAATAATACGTAATATAAATTTAATTAAAACTCATACTGAATTAAATTACAATATTAAAGTACTAATACTTAACACAAAAAAATAATAATCAATCAAACAGTATACTACTATTGAATAATATGATATAAATTAATTAATTTACAATAAATGGTGTATTTGTGTTAATTAAATATTGAATTTTTCTTATAAAACAAAATAATGTATTTAAAAGAAAATAAAGATTTTTTGGTTAAACTGGTTTTGTTGATCATCTCGTTTGTCGGGTGCAGTCAAGCGGCCAAACATAACGATAAATATGTAACTTTGGTCACCAATAAGGGTGAGATCACTCTCGAGTTGTTCTGGTCTTTGACACCCAAGACATGCAAAAACTTTGCAGAATTGGCTAAAAAGAAATACTACGACAATACTATTTTCCATAGAGTTATCGATAATTTTATGATACAAGGAGGCGACCCAACCGGCACCGGTAGGGGCGGTAAATCAATCTATGGTAAAAAGTTTGAGGACGAGTTCAACGCTAATCTCAAACACGACAGTGAGGGTATACTTAGTATGGCCAACGCCGGACCCGATACTAATGGCAGTCAATTTTTTATAACATTGAAAAAAACTAGTTTTTTAAATGGAAAACATACTGTTTTCGGTAAAGTAGTCAAAGGCATGGATGTGGTCCATGCTATCGGTAAAGTGGAGACCAATGATGATAAACCTATAGATCCCATCACAATATTGAAAGCTAAAGTTCACAATGATTTGAAATAATAAATAATTTTCTCGATTAATAATAAAAATTTTGACAAAAAAAAATATTTTTTATCTAAATGTTTAATTATTGAATAGTATTTTAGTATAGTATTTAATTATAACTTATAATTTATAAGTTGAAATTGTAAGTTAGTCAAAGTTATACTGTATATTAGTAGTAATAACTCTATTCATAATTATACAGTATTATACTGTATTATATTTAGTCACCATATTTGTTAGTAATTTGTTAAAGTTAATTAATTTTGTAATTAAAAAAAACCCTAAATAATATTAAAAAATATTAATGTAAATTATATATACAGTAACTACAAAAATATGTTGAATTTAAATAGCATAGAATCTAAATTCATAATAAATTGGCTATTATTTGTTGTTTCATTACAACAAATCTATTGTTTTAATAAAGAATATAAATTAGGATACAATGATGGATATAATGATGCGATTGGAAATCTAAAAAATAAATTTGATAATCAAGTGGGTAATGGACACCACTTAAAACTGTATCAAAGCGATTATGAGTTACCATATAAAGGACCCAATTTTGGTAAACAATTTAAAACAATAATTTCAAATAGTTTACATACATTAACACTTAATTTTTAACTAATATATATATATTAGATGACTATGAAACTGAACAACCAACAGGTATTTAAATTGTAACAAATAATTTTTATAAATTAATTCAATAAATAAAAAAAATACTAATAATTTTATTTTGTATTTAAAAAAACTAATTTTTAGACAAGCCTAATGTTGAAAATTATGGTAATTATTTATAAATTTTATTAAATAATTAACAAAACAACGAAAATTGTTTAAAATAAAAAACATTTGTGAATTGCATTTACTTAGCAAAGATGTTTGGTGTCGACGAAAAAGAGTTTACCGAACGTATGTCAAAGTTGGACGCAGTTTGTCGGGAAAAAATACGACCACATTTGGGCCCATGTATTGAAAGGGCGACCAATACTTATAAACTCAATACACAACTTGAAAAGCTCGGAGAAAACGAGTGCAAAGCTCTTTGGGATCTAATGTGTACTTTTAAAAACAAAATTTAAAGCTTTAATTTAAAAACAAACAAAAATTAATTAACAATTATTGTGACCATTAGGTTGTTTCTCTGAAATTGTCACAACTGAATGCAAAGATGTAGATCAGAAACTGATGAAAACGGGTTTCAATGCCATCCAGAATGTCATCGAACAGAAAGATTGCAAAAAAGTCAAAAGAGGAACCGTTAACTGCAAATCATTAACTACAGACACAATGGCCATCAAGTTTTATAATGTCTAATATAATTAAATGTTAATTAATTAATTAATCAACTATTTTATTCAATAAATTAATGCTTAAATAAAATTAAGTATAAAAATGTCACTTATAGTATTATATTTTGATAATTAAAATACATTTAATTTATTAAAAATTAAGTAAAAAATGCTGTGAAATGCTGCCACTTATGTAATATTTTTTTTAAACAGATATTTAAATGCTTTTATACAATATTTTAAATTCTTATAAAAACCGGTAATAATAATAAAAAATACTTAAAATAAACTGTTTGTGTCTCAAGTTTATGATTTAATACTTAAAAGTGTTTCATCGATATGTGATAACTCATCACAAGAACTTTGTGACATTGATTGTGACAGCGATAGGGATTCAAAGTTTTCAATAGTCGACACTCGCGACGAATTTAATTTAATTAAATCCATTTGTTTATCGATTTTTGTTTTAATTGTTTGCAACCGATTCATAGTCAGCTTTGTTCTGCTTTTCGATTTATTCACAAATTTCTCGATCCTCTTAATCAACAATTTATACTCTTTGATGTCATGTGTGGCCATTTCATTCAAGTTCAACACCGAAAGTATTCTTAAGTAGTATTTATTTGATAGAAGATCATTGAGATCATTGGCACCAAAACGAGTGATAATCCTGGAGTAATACAATTGAAATTTTTTTAATAATAATTGTTATAACAATCAAATTATACTGATATTACTGATTTGCAATAGATTTGGCCAAATTTTTGTGTCCCTCATATGATAATAATTGTAACAAAAAATTGATCAAATTATCCAAATTGACATAATTAAGAGCCTCATTATAGACCGTTTCAATTGTCTTAACGAAACACTCTTCAAACGCATTCTCGCCTTTCAAGTTGGCCTTCATTTGGACGCCCGAATAAATTGGCAAAAATACGCCTAAAAACTGTCGCAACTCCTCACCCGAGTCCGGGTCGTACCACATGATCAACAACCGCGACAACAATTGTGGCGAATACATGCGTCCTATAATGAAAACATAAAAAAATCTAAAATCGGATTACTTTTCATCAATAATTACCCAAAAGAAACAGTTTGGCGATTCCCTGTCCAGTGATTAGTCGAATAGAGTCCAATTCGGAGACCAAATTTCTTTCAAGTAAATCGGTAAACAAATTAATAAACTTATCTTCATCTTGTTCTTCATCATCGGAGTTCTGGTCCTCGGAATCGCTGCACAAAACATTGGTTTCATTGTGCACTATAACTGTGCGATCATTATCATTATCATCTTCTTCTTCATCGTCACTGTTGTCAACTGAGTTGCTATTATTATGTATACTATTATTCTCTTTATTGTCATCTTTACAGACAGTAGTGTTATTTCGGCTTTTATTTAAATTTTTTGATTTCGATTTCTCCTCAAAACAACTCAAACCATAAAAACATAAAATATCGAAAATACACTTCAATGCCGTTTCTTGTGGTAATTCGGAATCCAAATTGAAAACTTGTACAATGAGTCCGAAATATTTTTTGGCCAAATCTTGCGATAAGAGACACGACAAACCCAAACACTTAACCGCAAGATTCCTAACAATAATCTCTTGATTGGGAATACTAGGCATAACCTAAGTATAAGAATTAAAATGAAAAATATTTTTAAAAATAAAATATATAAATAAATAAAATAAATAAATTACAAGTCGTTCAATAAGTGTATATACGACAGCATTAACCGATTTAAAGCCACCAAATTCAAGACAAGAAGCAAATATCTGTAAACATCTTTGGAGAGCTATCGGGTCGTCCTAAATGTGTAAATTAAAATAGTTATAAATATTTTATAACTAAAAAAATAATACTAAAACTAACAAATAACTAACCGTTAAATTTTGTTTTTCATTGTTTTGCTGTGTCTGTTGTAATGGTGGCGGTTGTGCTGAACTCAGGTTAAGTCGTTTGTTAAACACTTCCTCTTTCTTGGCTTTCAATTCGTCGATATTTGCCTGAATGACAGCTATCATCTCTGCCTTTTTATCACTCAAAAAATTATCGTTTTGTTCGGTATCTTCAATATTATCTTTGAGTTTTTCTATTTGATAACCAAGTTTTGCGTATTCAACTTCGTATTGTCTTAGTTTTTCTACTATCGTTTCGGGATTAATCTCAACGGGAACTGGTGTTTCATCGATTTCCATTGAACTAGAATTTATGACATCAATAATCTCTAGTGTCGTCTCCAAAAAGATATTGGTGTCAGTGTTTTGAGCAAATATTTTCATCACATGCGGTACATAGTTGTGAATGCGCTTAAAGAGATCTTCATCGCTCAGAATATCGTTTACACACTTACGTAATATTTGTCTAAATATTTAATTAAAAATTATTATTATTATTGTTAAATGAATTTTATACAAACAAACCTTTGAGCCTCATCTCCAATCTCAATGAGTTCACCCATTGATAACAATTGATTTAATATGAACTCAAACTCTAATAACTGATGCAATTCGTATCGCTGAACAAGAATCTGCTTAACAAATATAGAGAGATATCTACAATAATGAGGTAAATCAGGTATTATGAGATCTAATGCATCGACAGTCTCTTCGTTAGACTCTATAGGTTGTGAATCAGTCTCTTCATTGTCAGTCATTAATCTTTCATTATTAATGGTTAGAGTAACTGATATTTCGTTATCTTTACAATATTTGGCAATAATATGCCAGAGAAATGAATTTTCCACTGTTAAGTCCTCTTTGGTTAACAAATTAAAGTCTGCAAGAAATCTGTTACGGAAATCATCTATGAATTTATGAAATCCAGTTTTTCCGGTACTTTCATCGACATCTTTGTTGATAAAATCAAAATATAAATAAAACATTCGTTCGATAAGCTGTGGATCCGTTTGAATGTCGAGTGCATAGAGTAGTGCAGTAAAGTCGCCGTTATATGTCTTCACCCAATTGGGCAACAGTTTGATTTCGATTACTTTCTTGACGGCCGCGTGTCGTTCATTCAGACCATTCTTTAAAATCTCAAGCCTTTTATCGATACCAATGTTTCTGATATCAAATTTTTCAGCAATCAATATGAATGCTATATAAAAGAATGGGTTAAATATATTTATATCGCATTTTAAAAATCATAAATACCTGTCTTTCTAATGATATCTTTGACATCACGCGTAGCGTTAATAAAATCATCGATTGAGTTGAGAGTCGGATGTAATGCGAGAAGACATGACTGTCGGACTCTGAAGTCTGGATCGCCCTTCAAATGAAACTTGAGTGCATCGCTAGCCATGTCTTTATATTTGTCTACTTCTTGAAACCGATGCAAAGCTAGTGCGGCCGCACTTCTGATAGACTTATCTTTGTCTCGCAGTCTCTCTAACAAAGCCTGAAGTAGATTATGGAAACATTAATTGCAATAAAAAAATTACCAAAAAATGAATTATACTTTTTTAAGCTTTTCGTAGACCTCCATATCCATGTCCTCTAATTCGGTAAAAAGTTTGCGAATAAGTAGACAACAATTGTAACGAATATGTGTTGACTTATTATTCAAAAATCTAATCAAATGTTCTTTGATGACGAAATCGGCAAATGTTGGCTCTTCGGTAACAATAGTCGTGTTAGCCATCGATCGGTCCTTATTTCGGGTAAACGACTCACTGCCGAACGTTTCCATACCCAACTCGTCCTGTGATTCGTCGCCGTCTTGCGGCTCCCGATTCTCAGCATCCGAATTATTATTTGCCGATAGATCGGCCATCTCGTCGTCAATGATGGTCGTATCGCCATCAGTGTTGACCACTTCTTTCGGGGCCGAAAACGATCTTAAAAAGTTGGCGACAAACTCAATGGTATGCTTAGTGTACGGACTCTTCGGGTCGCAGTTCAACGTAAACAATATATCTCTGCGGAGTTCGGCCTTAAAATCTGAAAACCATTCGTCAGATGACTCCTAGAAGAAGACATAAACAAAACAATTGAACAATCGGTTGACAATAAATTGTTGACCAAAAAAAAGAAAACACAAAATACGGACACATTTGCGGTACAAATCCATTATCTGTTGCAAACATTTCTGCATTTTATGCAAATGCTGTGAATTATCAAAAATGGTTCGCATTTTGTTCGCATCCATCACTTCTTCAGTTGTTGTCATCAATTCTTTCGTATCAATCAAATGATAACAAAAGTTATGTAATTATTATTATTATAATAATTATAAAACATTTGATTTAATTCATTCAATCAATGAGTCAATCAATTACTATACAGTGTTTGAAAATTTCTAATACAATACTGTATTCTATTTTACAGTTTATAACACAAACTAGTATTGCATTTATTATGTGTTGTTTTATTTGCCGCCAAAACTAATGTCAATGTATTTCAATTGTACGCTAATTTAGAATACAGTATTCAATGCATTAAATACAAGTAGAATATGTTTTACAATAATAGTCATCAATAGTGACATCTATTTGTATTTAATGAAAATAAAATAAAATATAAAACTTTTTTATAACATTTAAAACATTATAGTACTATTTCAATAAGTGTTTAATAATTGTTTAAATAATTAATTGCTAAATTTGAATAAACAATTTGAACATTAAATTCAAATTAAAAAAAATATGAAAAAAACATTAAACAAATAATTTGTTATACACTAAAAATTTTATTTAAATGTAAATTAATTAATAAAAATTAGTAGATAACAAAAAAAAGGAAATATAATTAAAATTTTACATTTATTTTTTTCAAATAAAACTAGTTATCAAAGAAATTCATTTTCCAAATAATTAATCAACAATTAATTAATAATTATGATATATATATATACATATAATTTATTTTATATTATTTATTTTTTATGATGAATATATTTATAAAAATGTAATATATATCTTATATTATATTTTTGACTTTGAAATGTAATAATATATAAAAAAAACAACAAACTAGAAATAGAAACAAAATTAATAATTATATTATAAAATCTATAATAATTATTGTAATAATATTAGTAGTAAAATTGATGTAACAATAGTTATATATTTTTTTCTTTTTTAATCTTATAATAATAGAAATAATTGCAAATAAAATTAATAATAATAATAATGTGATACATATTATGTGTATGTGTTTTGTCAAACAAGATCACTGTCATCCTGTGGGTCGCAATAGTCCGACTCGTAATCGGGTGGCTGTGATGTATATCGCGAACCACTATTACCGCCGCGTGTAGTATAGTCACCAGTGATAACCGTTTCACCGGTAAAGTCCAATAAACTTTATAAATATTAACAACACATTATAATTAATAACAATTTGTTTGTTTGCTTTTTAAAATTGAAAGATATATATAGAGAGAGAGAGATAAGTTTAATCACTTTGTTATAACTATTGCATAATCGTTATTAAAAAATATTTCAAAAGTTTTAGTTTTGATATCAGCTTTTTTTGGTTTAGTCTAATACAGTAATTGACTAGACATTCAGCAAATTTATAAATTTTTAGTTTATATTATTATTTATTATAGTTTATACTTATTATTATTATTATTAAATTTAGTAAATGTTTGACAATATTTTTTTTTAAAGAAAGTAACTTTGATTTTCAATATCTGAAAATTACTTTTGATTCGTTTGCTGAACACTTTCTTCGGCGACCAACAGTTCATACTCTTCGGCCGCAAACCGATCCCAATCAGACATTGTTAGTCCGTCCTCATCGCGACTCGAGGCAAACGGATCTCTCTGTTCGTGGTCTAAGTATTTCTCTAAATTGAAGAAAGTATCGAAAAAGATTGGCGTCAGACGACACCTCTTCAGATCGGATAATGAGATTTGTCCGCAATGTTTAGGTCGGACCAGATCTAACATCTGTTGATAATAATTGGTTAATCGGTTAAATTAAGATAATAATAATAATAATAAATGTTTAAATATCCGATGACGGGATCATTAATACCTGACACAAACAATCGTTGAACGGAAGCGCTTCGATACCAATGGCTTCCATTCGTTTGGTTTGTTCACTATAGAAGTACTCCAATTCATACATCGATAGATATCCGTCTCCATCCAAATCCATACATCGGAACCAATACTCTATAGACCTCGGATGGCGTTTGTCTTCTTCGGACAACAAAAACCAGACGAACTCAGAATATGATAGCAAACCGTCTTTTCGAGTATCGCCTCGAGTGACGGCACCCGAGAATATGCGGTCAATCATTCGCGACGATATCGCTACAAGAAGTTAACAATTTTTGAAATTAGTCAAACCTTTGATAGAAAATAATCAAATTATATGTCAAACCGGAATCATTGTGTCGACTGAGATCTGTTTTACTGATGAACAGATCGTGGTCTTTGTCCAGTTCCCAAAACTTGCAATAAATCACATAAAAGTGTTCGTAAGAAAAATAATCCGTTATCTGATTGATATCGTCTTCCTCTTCCAACAATGACAAGACTTGTATGAAGTTTGACTTTTTGAGCTCCGGTAGTGTTATCCTTCCCGTCCACGACTTATTAACACAATAGTAGATTCGGGCTATAACTGTATGTACGTATCGCGAATGAAACTCTTCAGCTTCCTTGAGAAATGCCAGACCGGGATGTGTGTCGATCACGTCCTGAAGCATTGGCACAAAATCTTCGGGCAATAAGTAGTTACGCTGACCGCCGGTCATAATCTTAAAAAATCGTGACGTATTATCATAACACGTTGAGATCAGTCTATGAAAAATATATAATATATCGGTATATCAATAGTTAAATTGTTAAACAAATTTAGAGAAAAATTAATAATATTATCTAAAAAATTAAATAACTTTTTCCAATAGTCGACGAATGCTTCGCAAGTAATTAATTCCTTCTTTCCGTTTCCATTATTATTATTATTATTATTGATATTTTTATTACCGTTAGTATTGGCCGCTTTATTAACGGCCCGAAACACTGGTTCTTTCCAATAGAGGGGTAGACCTACTAATTTGAGTATTGCCGCCAATTCTTTACGGCCCACTATTCTGGTGGGAAATCGATCAAAAACTGAAGTTATTTTACGTATCTGTGTTTCCACTTCGTGTGATGAATAGGGTCGACCCACCGGATAGTAAAACTTAGGCAACTGTCCCGCAGGTGTGGACGTCAATGAGTTACTTCGGGAAAATCGTCGCCCAATTATATCATTCTGTATAATAAAATTTAAATTCAATTTATTAATAAAATATAAAAACATTTTTTTTTAATTTGTAGTTTATTTTCAATTGTTATTTTAGCAAATTACTACTGTATATAACAGTTTAATAAAAAAATGAATACTAATTATAATTAGCATATAAATTACAAATCTTTATATTATAAAAATTAATTTTTTAAAACTACCTTAATTGATAAATGATAATGTGTTTTTATATTTAAAATTTACTTACTGAATTTTATAAACTAAATATTAAGTTAATTTTAAAATGTAATCATTTTGTTGACAATATATTAATTTTAATTAGCTTAGAATATAGAGAAAGATTAATACTCGTAAAAAGATTTGGAAAAGATATATATAATATTTTGTAGTATATAATGTGTATATGTTATAGTACTTTATAATTTAAGTAATACATATATCATATATTTTATGTTGTCTAATAAAAATAATATAAAAAGTTATATTTATAATGAGAATTTTGAATTTTGTTTGAAACTGTGTATCAAATTACTATACTATGTTCTGTACATAGAAAACATATATAAAGTGTATATCAAAATAGTATTCATATTATTTATATATATATCAAAACAGATCTTTTTACTGATTATAAAACATTTCCCTTCAAATGTTTCTCTCTCTCTCTCTCTCTCTCTCTCTCTCTCTCTCTCTCTCTCTCTCTCTCAGTATTTTTGAAAATAAAGTTTTATATATTTTTTGAAGCCATTGACAGACAGTACATTGGATCCGATTAACGGAAAAGAAAGCTACAGTTATATTAAATTTAAACTCTCAGCAAATGAATGATAGGATCCTCTCTTTTTTTTGTCAAAATTAGTAATACAGAAAAAAGTAGAGCTAATAATAAATACAACTGTATTACAAATTTATTTTTTGTTGCCATTCAAAGCAAACTTTGAGTGATATTTGCAGAGATGGATAATATTGGCTTTTTTTAGTGAAACGGGAGCTTAGATATTATTTTTTAAAAATAAAAGTCTGTCTACTAAAAAGTAAAAATTTTATTAATAAAAAACTTATTATCAAATGTTAAAGAGTTAAAGAGAGAGAGAGAGAGAGAGAGAGAGAGAGAGAGAGAGAGAGAGAGAGAGAGAGAGAGAGAGAGAGAGAGACGACTTCAAGTACTCAAATAAAAGTGACAACATTTCCCTCAAATAAATGGTGTGAAAAATCATATATACATTTACTGTATATATTTGGCATATGAAAGCATATTTATTTGGCTGATTTTAATATTTATATATAACATGTGATGTATAGTTTTTTATATGTAAAAAGCTATATCAATAAGTAATGAGAGGATAATTTTGTACGCTTACTATTAATATAACTTTATAAACAAATTTGTAATCAATATTGTCTAGAATAATGTGCATATTAAGTAAAATAATAAATTTTCTTGATATTATACACTAGTGTAGAGTATACCAATTATTTTGAAGTCAAATCATAAACAATAATATTGGCAATTGTTTTGAAAATATTAACAAATTGACAGATTATTTATAATAATATATTATTTTAATATATATATTTTTAAAATTCTTAAATCTATTTTTTTAACTTTTTTGTCTTATTAGACAACAAAAGACTATTATTAACTGTTGGACTACAATAACATTTGACTTTATAAAAAAAGTTAATTATATCATATATATACATATACTAGAGAGGTAGTATAGCTAAAGAGTTAATTATTGTATTATATCATTACAATATAACGTATATATTCAATAATACAGTATATGTGGGTTAAAGATATGGTATTATGTTTTGGCACAAAATGTTTACTTTTCGAGAACAATGAATTCAAAACCATTAAACCGTTAAACGTATAGTTCTTTGGGGGATAACTTGTCTGATAAATCATAACAACGAAAAATGTTTGGCATAAAACTTTTTTTTTATACAATATATATTTTTTTTGCATTATAAGACTATATACAGATACGGTATAAACTAATTTTTCAATAGTTTTGCTTAATTCTGAGAAAATTGCAAAATTTAATACATACTGTATATTCAAAAAATAATAAGTCAAGTCATACTGTCTTTTATTTTGTAGGACTTCCTCATTGCTATTATTAGGTATCAGTCATAGTGCATATGTATGTATGGTTTTAAAAATGATGAAAATTTATATAACTTCAAGTAATTAAATTAAATTAAATGTGATGACGAAGACGATGATGTCTACTAATTAATGAAATAATTACAATATATTCTTAATAAGCAAAAAATTAATTGCTTTAAAATCATAAATATCGCTAAATATCTTTTTAAAAATTTTTTTAAAGCATATATATGTTGATTAAACGTTTGCATATAAGTAATTAAAAAATGATTAAAAAGCAAGAGTAAAACAAAAGTCAAACAAAAACTAAATCATAAAAACAAAAAACAAACTTTATTTGTGTGTAATTAGCTAAAGAAAAATAAGTGAAGGATTATGGGGTAATCCAGTCAAGGAATATGGAGTTTGACTTATATTTTTACAAAATAATAATCGTTAAAAACATAGATAAATGTATTCATACACACAAAACAAAACTGTATATAAAATTTTTTTTCAAGTATCACTCAATTTCTAAGATTTTCATCCATCATTTTAGTGCCAAATTTCAATGTCATATGTAATTAAACTAATTAAACACAACGTTTTTCAGATATGATACACATTTTGTTTATAAAAATTTAAATACATAGCATATACAGTACAGTATAGTCTATTAAGTATTAAATAAAATCTAATTTTGCATACATAGAGAAAACAGACATTAGTATGTTTTATGGTGTATATTACACACTGATGTGTACAACACATAAGAATTTATCTGTTAATAAACTTAGCATTATTTTCATTATTCTGTTGATTATTCTGTGATAAACTTTAGTAAAAAAAATTGTCGTAAAATCTTTTATTGATATACTGTTAGCTATGTTATTATAATTATTTTTTTTTGCATATACATGCAAATAGTATTCATATATTTCATGATATATATATATATATAAAGTATATATAATGTATTTTGTAATGCACGCAAAAACTGCAAAATCAATAGATTTTTTTCTACTTGCAAACAAAATAATATACATTAATTTAAATTAATTATATAGATATATATATGACTATTTATATTACGGTTCATTAGAATTGTAAATTTGAGTAATATTTTGAGTAATATTTTTTGTGTTGAAAATTTCCACGAATTATATAACACAAATAAATCTATTTTTATCTATATTTATTAATAATTTTTAAAAAATCTAATATTTTAAAACTCTACAAAAAATATATAATATATAATTGATTAAAAAAAAGTTTTAAACTTTAATCTTATAGCTTATTAGTGTTGTAAACTTGAACCTACATTTTTAAAAAATTAATTTATAATCCGGATTATTAATAATTTTTTACATCCTATTTAATCCTATTATATATATATACATTATATATATATAATTATTTATTTACGTCTATAAAGATACTCTTTAGTCAAAATTAAAAAATAAATTTTAGTAAAAAACAATTATTCTTAGAAATAACGAGTCAATTAATACTAAAATAAAATACAGTAAAATCGATAAACTAATTAAATTTTTAATGAGATGTTTAATTAAAAAACTTATTAAAAATTTAAGATAGTTATAAATTTAAAAAAAATTGCATACCTGCTTATTAGTAATATTATTATTATTTGTATTATTATTATTATTATTATTATCATTGAGTTTCATCCATTGTCCCACTTTATTGTAAGTTATCTTTTCACGTGTTTTGTCCGACACCTTAACTTTGGTCACAGATGTCTTTTCCGGACACTTTTCAAACAATAACACTCTCTCGGCTACCGATCCTTTACTAAGTACAGGCTTAACAGGTATTTGTCCGAATACTAGCTTTCCGTTTACACATTTAGGTTCTGGAGCTTTGGGTTCCGGTTTTGGCAACGGTTTGGACAACGTTATGATTCTAGGTTTGGGTTTATCGATGACCGGTTTAGATTTAAGACCGTTCCCATTTAGGCCGACCGACAACTTATCATTTATAGTATTATTATTATCCATAACTAATTGTCCATCTTTGGCACCACTGATCCGCGAGTTTTTCTGTAATATAGCCTTTTCGTCGTCAGTCAACTGCTGAACAAATATATCCTCTAAAGTGGGTTCGGGTGCCGACAGTGGTCGCGCTTTGACACCATTTTTACCATTACGTGAGTCAGTTGTGTTCAATAGTTTGCCTGTAGTCGGTGTCTTCTTAGCACTGGTTGACACACTTTTGACCGGTGAGGGCGACATTTGAACATTGGATGCGACGACTGATGCTTGCGATACAGTTTGCGGTTCATATGATGATAAAGAATAAGATGCGGTGATCTGTCCTGAGTTTGACTTACTTTTAGAGTCAACAACACTTGGCGTTCGCGCAGAAGTCGGTTCTCTTTCTGGCACCGATACGAACGATACATTTGTTGGCGATTGCGCTGACAATAAGCCATCTATTTTGGTGACAACACCACCAACAGGTGTATTATTACTATCTCTCATATATGGTCTCACGTGTATTGTTTGATGTCGTTGTTGCTGACGGTCAGCACCGGTAGTCAGCAACTCATTGTCTTCTAATTCACTAAACAATTGACTATTAATAGGACTTGTTGTTATCGATGATGATTGCGATGATGAGGAAGAGGAGGACGGCTCATACCTACGAGACTCTATCAACGTTTTATATCTGAAAATAATTTTTAAATTATTAATTTAAATAATAGATAAATTATATTTTGGATTTTTAAAATATTTAAGATATATTTAAAATCATAAATTATATATTTTTTTCAAAAACTTTCATTCATTACAATTAGTCAATAACTATATAATAGATAAATATTTTGATGTAAGTGCGTGTGTGTGTGTGTGTGTGTGTGTGTGTGTGTGTGTGTGTGTGTGTGTGTGTGTGTGTGTGTGTGTGTGTGTGTGTGTGTGTGTGTGTGTGTGTGTGTGTGTGTGTGTGTGTGTGTGTGTGTGTGTGTGTGTGTGTGTGTGTGTCTATGTCTGTGTATAATATTTATGTGTATGTGATGTCAAAATTTAGTTAAATTATAAAACCATATGAGTAAACAACATTAATATGATTATGTACATGTCAAATTTTGTTATTTCGCTTAAATGATTAATTATAAGTTATATATAATTATATCAAATAGAAATTGTTATTTGATTTTAAACACCAAAATTGCTAAAATATTTAAAATTTGTTTTATAAGTGAAATTAAAAGGTGGTGACTGATCCGCAGACCTTTCGCAGACCCCATTTATCTCGAGAACCGATGGTCTGACGACAAAATGATCAAAAGTAATCTTGTAGATATTAGTAAAACTAAGTTGCACATCATGGTCCCGATCGGATCGGATCACCCGTTCCCGATATATAGCCGAAAAACAGGTTATTTTTAACAAATTTTCTCTGCAGACCCCTATTATTTCGAGAACCGATAACAGGACAACAAAATTGTCAACACATGATTTGTAGATATTAGTAAAACTAAGTTGCACATCATGGTCCCGACCGGATCAGTTGTCACGTTCTCGAGATATACCCGAAAAACGGGTTATTTTTAACAAATTATGTCCGCAGACCCCTATTATTTCGGGAACCAATGACTATACAAAAAAATGACTAATAGTAAAAATGTAGAAAATAATTATATAAAGTTGCTCGTATTAGTTTCGGTCAGATAGCTATAGCCGTTTCCGAGATATATCCGATTAAGTTTTTAATATATTTAAAATATATATTTATATAAGCTATGTCCGCAGACCCCTATTATTTCAGGAACCAATGACTGGACAAAAAAATGACCAATAGATAACTTGTACATATTAACAATATAAAGTTGCACATGTTGACTTTGGTCTGATCCGACTACCCGTTCCCGAGTTATACCCGAAAAACGGGTTTTTTAAACAAATTAAGACCGCAGACCCCTATTATTTCGGGAACCGGTCATTTTACAACGAAATGGCAAACAGTAAACATGTAAAAAATAAAAATTTAAAGTTGCACGTATTAGTTCCGGTCGGATCTGTCTACACGTTTCCGAGATATACCCGAAAAATGTTTTAAAAAACCCCGGTTTTTCGGGTATATTTCGGGAACGGGATTACCGATACGGCCGGGACAAAGATGTGCAAGTTTATATTTTAAAAATCTACAAGTCTACTGTTGGTTATTTTGTTGTCCATTCATCGATTGCCGAAATAATAGGGGTCTGCGGACTTAATTTGTTTAAAAAAACCCGTTTTTCGGGTATAACTCGAGAACGGGTAGTCGGATCCAACCAAAGTCAACATGTGCAACTTTATATTGTTAATATGTACAAGTTATCTATTGGTCATTTTTTTGTCCAGTCATTGGTTCCTGAAATAATAGGGGTCTGCGGACATAGCTTATATAAATATATATTTTAAATATATTAAAAACTTAATCGGATATATCTCGGAAACGGCTATAGCTATCTGACCGAAACTAATACGAGCAACTTTATATAATTATTTTCTACATTTTTACTATTAGTCATTTTTTTGTATAGTCATTGGTTCCCGAAATAATAGGGGTCTGCGGACATAATTTGTTAAAAATAACCAGTTTTTCGGGTATATCTGGGGAACGGGTTAACCGATCCGACCGGGACTATGATGTGCAACTTAGTTTTACTAATATCTACAAAATATATGTTGGCCATTTTGTTGTCCAATTATCGGTTACCGAAATAATAGGGGTCTGCAGAGAAAATTTGTTAAAAATAACCTGTTTTTCGGCTATATATCGGGAACGGGTGATCCGATCCGATCGGGACCATGATGTGCAACTTAGTTTTACTAATATCTACAAGATTACTTTTGATCATTTTGTCGTCAGACCATCGGTTCTCGAGATAAATGGGGTCTGCGAAAGGTCTGCGGATCAGTCACCACCAAATTAAAATTAAAGCGTATAAATGAGATATTTGTGTGTTTTAATTTGTAATCAAGCAAACCATTAATTTTAGTATTTTTGTTGATGTTTTCTAATAAAAATAATAAATGGTGTAAAATATTGAACTTAATTTACATTTGTTATATAGATATATATATATATATATATGAAAAAGTTATGTTTATAAGATTTGATGTCAAAATAAAAAAATGTATTTGATGATTTTTTAAAAAAGTAGATATCTATCAAACGTAATGTACTGTATCTCTATATACTGTATATGACCTCAATATTTATTAAAAAATAAATAAATAAATAAAACTAAATTATTAGATAATTTCTTCACTATTCATAACTGACATATTTTTGACGTTTTATTCTTCAAAAATATTATTTTTGTTTGTTTGTATTTGCAATTAAACTAATATATATTTTTAAGTTTTGACTAAAAAATTAAAATCCCAGAAAAACGCATTTAAAATTACAGTAGATTTATCAAAATATAAATAATATATATAATTAAAATTACTGTATAAATTTTAAAAGTTAAAAACAAATAAAAAAAATAATTTTTCTAAAGCAATAATTCATATATAAAATAAATAGTATTTAAAAATATTTTGAAAGAGAATCGGTATCCTCTCATAACTATAAGTGAAAATGTTATGTATATATCATAAGTCCTACAATACCTCGACAGTGAATTAGACTTAGGACTGATGCCAAAAATTACTTTCTCTGCCGATGATGACTGCGATGTTGGCGATGAAGACGATGACGACAACGACTCTGACAACTGTAACGACTCTACAGATGGCGGACCTGTTAAGTGTTGGCGTTGTGTGGATCGGTTGGTGGACGGCGATGGAGACAATGATCGGCTCCGGTCGGTGTCAAACTTGGAGAGTCGCGATCGCACCAAACTCGATGACAATCCATCGTTTGGTAATGTAGTCGACCCGTCAACTGTGACATCGTTGCGATAATTGTTTAGCACATCTATCTGGGAATGGGATCTAATGATAATCTTTTTGCCGGTCTTCGAGTCCAGAGTGGCGGCCGATGACTGTCTCGCTTCTTGACGTCTTCGGTCTTCAATCACAAAATTTCTGTAAAATCATAACAAATATTTTAGTCATAATTAATAAAAAAAAAAATTATATTAATTAAAACATTAATTATTATTATTTTTAATTTTAAAATTACATTTCAGAGATTTGTGTCACAAATAATTTATTTAAAGTTTTCAATAATAACTCTAAACATTGATTGACGAAAACATTTTTTAAAAATACATTTCAGAATATTCTGAACGCTAGACTTAACACAAACAATAATATATGAATTGGAAAAACAAGTTTTTTTCGTAAACCTACAAAATTCCTCATAAATTCCTAAAACAATATATAGGCGTTTAATAAATATTATAATTATTAAATAAATTATTAAAAACTAAATTATATCAAATTTTAAAACTGCTGTTTTCAATGATGGTTTATTATTATTATTAATAATAATAATAATATAATGTATATAACGGAATGATAAGTTAAGTGTATATATACAGCATATATTGAATATATCACTAATATAATGTTAATATTGTACTCTACAAGCAATTTATTTTTATTACACACAAATTTTTAGCATATAATTCCGTTGTAGAGTATATTATACTGTATATTATATTTTAGTGGCACTGGTATGTCGTTGGTGCCAACAAAACAGTGTCGCAATCATTTGCACACACATACAGTATATCTATACACACCAATTGGTACCACTAACAAACCGAAGCGTTTTTTTCAGTCAATAGACACGGTGTACGGTATTATATACAGTATTATAATTACGTATATACCGTACTATTAATAAAACTATATGTTTGTTGTAATTAATTTTGATCCACACGTTTGAATACATGGGTTTGCATCGAATCAGTCCATAAACTCATACAATAGAGTATCGGTTAAACAAATATACTGTATATTTATAAACATTTTAATATATATTTCTAAATGGCGATGTCGTCAAAAAATAAAAAATAAATTTTAACAAATCAGCAATATCATTGTGTAATGTATAAGTTAGTGAAAATTTAAATGCAATGTCACACAATGTAATAATAATAATAATATTAAGCATTTGTTATTTAAATTTTATTTAAATTGTTAAATTATTTTATTTTTCATTCATAGAATTTTATTATGTGTAGGTGTCGGCTCAACTAAAATTAGAAAATACTATAAATTATACAATTGTATATTAACTATTATAAAACAATTATGATATAATATGGTAGATATATTTGTTATAAAATTAAATAATTAAATATTAGATAAATTAGCCTATAATGTTTGAGCTAGATTAAATAGTATTTTCTAACTAATTTAGATAATATTTAATTAAATATGTTAAATATATATAATAATAATAATTACAATATTTTATTATATAGTATATATAACTTAATATATTTTCACTTTTCTAATAATCCAAACTTATTCAGTCTAAAATAATTTTAATTCAAATTAATTAATTTAAATCATTAATAATAAAATTATTCGATTAAAATATTATAATCTTTAATTATTTAATCTAAATATTTTTTACTAATTAAACGATAAAATTTAATTTTACATTTAATTTTTATTTATTTATATAAAAATAGCTATAATAATATAGTATATTATATAATAAATCATAGTAATATCATAGATTGATTTATTGAATTTTCCATTTACATTCATTGATTAATTAAGTTTAGATTAAATCATTTTGAATAAAAATATTTTTAGTAAAAATATAAGAAAAAAAGTTTTATATTACAGTAAAACCAGTTATTAAAATAATTGTCTTATCTAATCAAAAACAATTATTGATACTCATTTTTATTGAATATTTTAATAATAATTATAGTTTAATAAAATACTTAAAAGTATTTAATAAATTTAATAAACAATAAAATTGTTCCAATTTATAACATAAAATTTTTATTTATTAATAATAATGAGTAAACTGTTTTTTTAAACATTATATGTTAGTAATATTATATTAATATTTAGTTTGTCTAAATTATTACAAATTAAACCAAATTATACTCACAATAATTGTTTTATTTTTAAATTATAATTTAAGATTAATCTACAATACGTGTAACTAAATAAACAGTATGTAACAATTTTAATAATTTATTTTAAAAATATAATTGTTATCAAAATATTGCTCACTTTAATATTTGGATATCAATTTCAAAACTGTTTATGTATTTAATAATAATAATGTCAAAATATATATCTAATAAATTAGAAATTATGATAAATTGTAATATTTTGTAAAAATATTTTTCATAGATTAAAATTTTTCAATATTAACACTTTGTTTATAAATAAATTGAATTTTTACTTCATCAAAATTAATTAATGATTTTAAGTATAATATTGTAAATTATTTTAACAAAACGATCAAAAAATTTACAAATAAAAGTTAACAATATTTTTTTTTGTTAAAATTTTTACTATTGATTTGTATTCTTGTTTAATATTTTAATTTAATATTTATTATTTACAAAAAAATACAACCATAAACTACAATATATATATATTATTTAATATATTTTTGTTATTTGCTTTAAAACAATGTAATGCTTTTATTGTTTGAAAATAAATATTTTATTAAATTAAAACTTAAAAACTAATTTAATATGCATTAAACAAACTTATAGTAAATGTTTATATTGAAAGTAACATAAATTAAATTGATTGTTCAAATAAAATAAGCAAAACAAACATTGAAATTATTATTCATTAAACACGAATATAAAGATTAAGATAAATTAAGATAAAAATTGTTAAATATTATGACTATTATGACATATATTCAAATAATTCAAATGATAATTAAACTCAAAAAGACAATTAATAAAACAAATATAAATAAAACTTTTTTTTAATAGTTTTTGACACCAATTTCCATTCAAAGTAAAAAAAACTTGTTTTTCTTTTTTCATTTCAAATTAAAAAAAGAATAATATTTTTTTTTGTATTAAATAAAATAATTTTATTATTAAATACCTGAGCAATGTTTCCAAATCTGCCGGTTCCTCTTCGACAGCCAGGAGCTCAATGGCGGCCTGGATTTTGTCGCGGAAACTCTCCGATTTGGCCACAATTGGTGTCAATGTGTGCGCCGACTGTGTCGGCGACGACGGCAGCACTGGTATGTTGACGACAGGCGGTAAAGTCAGTGGCGAACACAATCCGTAATGAACTGATCCGCAGTCATTACCATTGAGATTGCCGACCAGTTTCGGGTCAATAATACATGGACAGTGCTCTAAAGCGTGAACGGAACGGACGGCTCTCAGATCTACGCAAACCGATCGGTGATAAACTGTTCTCCGAGTGACTACTTTACGTGACGGCAGTACCTGTGATGTTGTCGGCCCACTCGCACACATAACATGAATGACAGTTAAGGATTAACTGGAAATTAACTTTATCTTCTAACCCGACAACGCCTTTACGGTATATATATATATATATACGATATATTAAGACCAGAAAATACTTCCGTATCAATAGTTTACATAAAAATATTATTTGTAGTCAAATGTGATTATTATTGTTATTAATATAATATTTTTTGTGATTTTTTGAAAATTAACATAATATATATTGTTATATACTATCGTTTAAATTTGAACAAATTTATTAATAATAAATATTTAATTAAATGCACTGTTAATGTTTTAATTGATGAACTAAACACTAGAAAAATAATAAAAATTACTTTCATATAAACTTAAATATATTTAATATGTAATAAATTCATACAACTTATGTTTTACTAAATTAGCGGTAATTAACTTATATATATATTAATACATATTATTTTATAATATTAGTTTATAAACTATAGTTGTAAATTTTATGTGGAAATTTACAACACTTTAGAAACTATAGTTTATTAATGCTATACTATACTATTTATACACAAATATTCAAACTTAAACTTTAAAACTTACATTAAAAGTTTCTAGATGATGTATATATATATACTTGATGTTAAACCTATAAAAAATATAGATATTGATGTATAAGTTTGTTTTAAAATAGAAAATATACGATACAGTCAAAAGCAATTTCATTTAAAGTAAATAAAAATTTCATATAAATATTCACTACTCAAAGATTATATAAAATACAAGTGATGTATGTTTGCGATAGGAGTATCACCTTTTGATAGGAGGAGAGCCCCGATTAGGAACTTTACCGCCAACACAATAATGGCATCAATTTGACGGTCATTTTTTTAAACTATGTCTGATTTAAAATATATTTAGAGAAACGGAAAACCGGTTTTCATAAACAAATTAAGATCTATTGATAGCTATATATTTTTTATATATTATATTATATACAAATATATTTTTAGAGCAATGTATTTAATAAGTCATTTATCATATCATAATTTGGATTATCGCTTGAATAATATTTCTTTTATATAATATATTATATACATATATAGATATTTACTTATTATACACGATAATAGAAACTAAATGATATTCTACATAAAATATATTTAATAATTTAATATATTGATTGTAAACTTATAGTATATATTTGCCAAATAGAAAAAACATAACATACAAATACTTTCATTTATTTAATTGACGATCAATTTATTTTTAAATTGATATAAAATGCAAAAAATAAATAAACTGTTTTATCAAAATTCTAATAAAATATGGATTGTTTAATGGTATATAAAATAAATATTTTATTATAATAAAATATCTTATATAATGGATAATATTATATAATAACACATCAGATATAAATCGGCATCGTGTCTTTAAAGTAATTATTTTTTATTTATTTTATACAGTATATATAATTTATATTTATTATAATATATATATATATATATTAAATAACCAAAAAATATCTACTAAAAAATTAATGATAATAAACTATATATCTAACAATAGAAAAAAGTTTTTTAAAAAGTAATTTTAAGAAATTTTTTAAATAATGCTATAATGATATCCATAATAGTTGAATAGTTAGCTATATTTCCATAAATGGTTTGCACACTTATAATGATATACACATGTAATACAATGTTTTTACAGATTTAAAGGGCTGTCAGTTTTTAAATTTTATAATAAAATAATAATAATAATAACTAACACACACACACACTGTTTAAGTTGTTTTGAAAATATTTCAATGAGATATTTCAGTTTATTTTAGACATCAGAGACACACCAAAAACCATAAGCCTATCCTATCCTTTGCTTACAAAAAACGTATTGAATTTTTATTTTGCAAAATATTTTTTCTTCAAATAACTATAGAAAATATATTTCATGGTTTCTATAAATATATTACATAATCTGCTTTATGTAAATATGAATGCCTTCCATACATTAGTTCTCATCCTTGACCTGACATATCTATCAATTCATAATTATGCAAATATACGGCAAATACTAATAATAATTGATTTTATTTTTTTGAAAATATCAAACTCCCAATACATTGGTTTTTTGTGGATTTTTAATTACCATTTTTCTTAAACTCTTAAACAGCCTATGATTTATTGGCACTTTTCACAGACATTAGAAAAGACAAAAAAATATTTGTATATTTATATGTTATCCTAACATAAAAATAGGAGTTAAGTGATGATTATGACTATTATTATTGGCTTAATTGAAATATCATTAAACATTTTATGACACACACACATACACATTACATACAGCTTAATGTAATATTTATTTGGATTTAACTAAAATGTCATAAAAATGGGTTGACTGTAGTCTAAAATGTATTAATCTTAATATTAACAATACTGTATATGTGTGAATAGTATTTGAGATTTTTATCTTTATTTTTATAAGATATATAAAACAATTTATGAATTACACTAAAACTACTAAAAGCAAGTTTTTAAAAAAAGTAATTAACAAAAAATATAAGCAATAAAAATGATTTTTCTGAAATAAAAATAATTTTATATAAAGTTATAATTTATGACAATTCAGTTCAATGTTTGTGACCTGTTATTTAAAAAATCTTTATATCGTAATAATAAAAAACAATAACAATATTTATCTAATAAATTAATTGTCAAACAACACAATACTATATTAGATGGCAATAATTGATTGTTGTTATAGCAGTGAAACTAAAAAAGATTGTTATTATAATATTAATAAAAAACTTGATCTAAATATCATAAATGGTATGTATGTTGATTTGGTTGGTATGTTTGAAATATGTAACAATTTTTTTTAATATATGATACCATACATGAGCTTAAGTCATAACAATTATAAGCAATGATAAACAAAATAAAAGTTGCAATAAATGTATAGGAAATTTGTGATATTCTATATATTTGTTTTGTTCGACACTTTTTTGTTCAAAGATTAATATATCAAATAAATTATTGTTTATATGATATATTGATAATACAGTATATTATACGTGTGTATCATATAAACACCTTATTGCGAGAAAAGGATACATATATTATATAAATTATTTTCTATAAAAATAAATAAAAATTTTCGTTTTGTTTTAATTGTAATCACAATATTTGTTATCTTATAAAAATATTTTAACATTAGTTGCATTAAGCTATGCCAAACAATCGTATGATACAAATCATTAATATTAATACAAAATAAACTATGTTAAACTAGATTATTTTTAAAGTGCCCCCATAATTAAAAATCTAAATATAAAATCCCATAAAGCAATTTATTATATATTATTTTTGTGATAGATTACTGTAAAAAAGCATAATACAAATATAAATATTATGAAAGTAATTTATATACGCTTTACCTACCGTTTAAATGGCATTAAATAACAGTCGAAAAAATCACTGATTGAGTCACACCAGAGGATTACATTACAAAATGTAAAGAATGTGATTATTATTAGTGGAAAAAATTTATATACTTTTACTGTTAATATGTTTTGTAGACACAGTTTTATACAAATATAGAGTAAATATAAATAGTATATATTTATATAATGTAAATATATATATATATAATATATTTTATATATATATATTTATATTATAAATACGTGATTGTAGTCGGATTAACAAATATTAGAAAAAATAGTTTTCAATATTACATAAAAATGTTTTTTATCATAAGCTATGAAGAAATAATTTCATTTATGCGCTCATATGTGACACAAACAGTTACCACTTGTTATTATTATTATTATTATTATTATTTGTTTAACACATATGTAATAACTTTTTTTCATTCAATGATTTCAATAGATAAAAGTCAAATGTAATAAAAAACAAACATTTTTTGATTCAATATGATGTGTAGACACAATAGTTGTAGTGATAACAAAAGTAGTGTTGCTTTATTTTGACAAATATCATGACAATCAACAGTTTTCATTGAGTGTTTGAGGACAGGGAGATAGAGTGAGGCAAAAACATTTGAGTGTACGAGACTTAGAGAACCGGGAGTTCACATCAATTGATGAATAGAAGAAACAGAGAGAAAGGTTGTGCTCTTTCACTCCAGTCGTCGTGTTTTTGTGAGATGAGAAATAAGTGTTGCTATTAATAGAAGTGACAGTAATTTTTCATACTATTTCTTCATACCATTCCCTCAACAAAATAAAACCATACATACTGTACATACATATACTGTAGTCAATGGTGTTGTATTAGTTGATTTGATGCCAAATATTTAGACTATGAAACTCCAGCAAAAAAAGAGAAAAAGTGAGACAAACTTCTTTCTCTTTCACTATATCTAACTTTCCTCTTGACTACTATTCCCCCAATAATATACTGTAATATAGTTTGTTATAACTTGTCGGTGGCAAAGGAAAGTTGTGTACAACAAAAACAACAACAACAGTAACAGTCACTCACATTAGTCGTTTGGATAACTTTTGATGCAATTGTGAGGTAAGACTCGCTCAAACAGTCACCCACTCCTCTCAGCTCACTCTTGAAGGCACTGTTCGCATGTGTCGTTCCCCTAACTTTATATATCATAACTTTTATGATATAATACATTACAGAATTGAGTTTAATATATTACAATTGGTTTATCATTTATAATCTGTTATACTATATATATATATACTATACTTAAATATTCATAATATTATGTTATACTATATAATCTACATAATAATATTTATTCAAATAAAAAAATTTTAATATCTTTATTATTAATATTTATTAAATGTTTGTTTATTTAATTAAATACTGATAATTATTATTTTTTAATTTGATATATCATTACATGTAAGTTAAAGTTAAGTAAATTATGTAACTAATACTTTATGTAATTATATTTTCAAATTATACAGTAAATAAAAAAATACAAACATTGATGCGTTTATAATTATTACTATTAATAATGAATTTTATATTTTAATTTATTTTATTGAAGTAATATATTAAATATTTTTTTATAGTGTGACAGCAAAATATTAATTTTATTTAAACAAATTATATATGATTTTTCATTTTAAGAAATTACTTAATTTAATATTATATTTAAAGCTTTACTTAATTAAATTATCAGACTATTAAATAAATTACATTTTTAATTTTTTGTTACAATAAAAAATTTTATAACATACAAAAATTTAATGTTTACTAAAAATAGATGTTAACTTTTGTAAATTTAATTTAATGTTTATAATATATTATTTCATTAAATAATGTTTTTATTTTCAAAAAAGGAAATACTTGAGTTAAATATTTAAATTTCAAATATTATGTGTAAAAAATTCAACAAACATTAAGCAATAGTTATAATTTACTGTATAAATAATGATATAAACTGTTTATATATGAATATATAAATACTGTATGTAATCAAAACATAAAAAGACCGCTTTTTACTATTATTTATCAAAAAAAAAAGATTTGATATAATAATCAACTAAAATATAAACTATTATTAGATATTTTTGTTGAAATTAATAAAATTGTCATATGTTGAATGTATTAAAAGTTTAATTTTTGATTAATTTTTGATTAATTATTTAACATAATATTGAAAATATTTATTTAATGATATATGATATAGTACTTTATATCAATTAAGTAACAACTTGATATTTTTGATCAAATTTATCAATTTTTTAATAATTTATTTTATCATTTCCTAATAAATTATATATATATATATATATATATATATATATATAATAGAAATCACTATTACTAGGTATTTATACCAAAATTATCCCCCTAGACATTGCCCTTCTAATATAATTTATAATAATTATGTGCCAAAAAAATTTCACTAATTAATAATACTTAAATTAATCGATTAAATATTATATCTATTTTATATTAACTAAGAATTTTATTTTAATTGAATTAAAATAAATTAATTTTTTCTCTATCAAAGAAACCTAATTTAATAAATGGCATTTAAATTGTGAAATCGCATTACATGTTTGGCAAAACAAATCATTTATATGTCTAATTCAGTTATTTATGTAATAGTGGATTCTCTCTCTCTCTCTCTCTCTCTCTCTCTCTCTCGCTCTCTCTGTTAAATATATTTATTTACTTAACATTTGAAAATGTAGGGAAAGTGTATTTTAACTACATTTCCGCATTCATGTTCAACCCATAGGAATGTCTACTCATTATATTTAATGCAATAATTATTTATCATTGCATATATTTTAATCTTATTAAAATTAATTTAAAAACATTAAACAGTTTATTATTAAACAAAAAATGTTTTTTTAATAAAATTATAATTTAAAAAAATATCATTTATTAACAAAAGTAATTATCGTTTGAAAATTTAAATATTTATTAATCTATAATATATAATAATAAAAACAATGTGCATAATATTTAAATGGGAAATTGTATAAATTTTTGTTTTTTAAAAAATATTTTGATCTTTAAAAATCATTTATGAAACACACCGGTTATGTAATCGATTTATGTTTATAACAAACTTATTTCATATAAGTTATAAATTATAGTAAATATTATATATTATATATACTATCATTTTTATACAAATTATTGGCGTTTTTACTAACCTATATATATTGTAATTTCAAAAATAATAAATTATAATAGCCTAATATAAAATTTATTTTAGATAATAATGTAAATGTAAATTGTTTGATATATATATTTTGATTATTATGTATGTAATTATAAAATTGACAATATGTTTGTATTATAGTTGAAATTTACTAATTTTATAAATAAAAACAACCAAAATATAATTATAAATCTTAAAACTAAATAATTTTTGAATTGAAATTAAGATTTTTTTTATATGTATAGAAATATTTATGTACCGTAATCTTAATTAATAAATAAAAAAACATTAAAAATTTAATAGTTTGTAATAGGTAACCACAAAAACCTATATATAATTTTATATAAGTTAATAATTTGATTTTACTTCTAACAAAGTTTATAAAAATTGCTTGTAATATACTTTTAACATAATTTGATTTAATTACCAAACCATTAGATCAATTAATTCATTATTATTTAATAAAAACATCACAGTTATCATAATAATATACATATATAAAAACAATGTACAAAATAATCTTAACAATAACTGTTAAGTATTTGTACAAAAATTATAAAAAAGAAATAATTTTTACGATTGCATTGGATAACAAATGTATGGATTATTTAGATATTAATAATACGGATAAAGTTATGAATGCATTGATTCGGACAAATCGTTTTTATAGCTTTTGATTATAACAAAAGCAAATGACTTGTTTGACAAATCGGACAATTAATCAAAAGTTTCAAAATAATTATTTCAAATCTAGTGTACAATCTATGTGTCTAACAAATTGTTAATTTTCATCTGCAAATAATTACTGTTTTTAAAAATTACAGTAATATTTTATAAATACAAAAATCAAATGAAAACATCGTGCTTTAAATAAAAAATTTATGATAAAATTTTTTAAATAATTAATACTGTCTATTAAATAAAAAATTATATTAATTGTGCAATTAATGTGTATAATTAAATTTGTTTTATGAGAAATGAATAACAAAAGTGATAATTGTATTCAAATATATATCGCCTAATATTTACAAATAAAAATAATTAATAATTATATATATATATATATAGATTTATAAAACAATTAAAAAAGCAACTTTAGATCATTGAACAAAAACAATTGGCACTAAAATCTCTTAAAAATAAACTTTAAAAATCCTATATATTAATTCAAAAATGCTTTGATTTTCAAATAAAATTTGTGCAAAAATAATATATTACCTCATATTAATAATAATAAATTAGATTCAATATACAATTATATTTATAGAAACCTTTTTTTTGTCGAAAAAATATAAAATAAATATTAAAACCTAAAAATTGGTTAACATTTATAGGACATAATGCTTAATAAAAAATTGGCACCAAATCAATAAAATGGCTCTTTTTATGAGATAGTCGGTAATTATGGTAAAACATGGATTTGTCACCATCAACATTATCAATGATCACCTCGTAATAGTTCCATCAATAGATTAAATGATGGCACATCTCCTTCTTTCTGTTTCGATGCCAGCGACTCTTTGCCTACTTGTGAGGTGCGCTCCAAATCGGGAATTCTTAACAATAGTTCGCCAAACTTTGAGGGCTGACTCGGGTAATGGTGACGGGTATATGTTTGCAGGGCTTCGAGCACTTGTTTTTGACACAACCTTACTTTTTCTATTTCTTTAAGACCACTTGCATCTATATATCGTAAATATATATATATATATATATAAATTACAGTATAAAATATTTATTGTTACCGTAATTATGTTAAAAATACAAGAAAAGAGTAAAACTTATAATACCTGACGTGAGAAGTATTATGACTTTAAGGCAACAATACTCGTATTCATCAAACTCTAAACGACGCAAATGATCGGTAAGATTAAGCATTCTTTCGATGACTGTTCCGAAACCCAATTCTCGCGATTCGTTTAAAGTGATTGATTTGCCGCTCGAAAGTCGGATCTCGTTTGGTGTTGATATTGATCGATAGCAACAGCTTAGCAAAAGAAGTTCACACCACGAGTTGATCAACAATGATATTTGGTCGTCCATCTGTATGACAATTAAATATATTATTAACATCTATTACATACACAACTCTAATAAGACAAACCTGAATCTCACGAAAGAGTGGTAAACTCTTACACCACTTTACTATCTTATAAAGTCTATGATCAGCGATATTACACAAATCTATTTCACTTGACTCTTGACTAATACTTGTGTTTTGCTGTTTATCGGATTTATTATTATCGACCAAACTATCGGTCTCTTTGTCTGCATTATGCCACAGGTGTTCAACAGATAGTATCTCTTGTATTAATCGTGGAATGGGTTCAACGGTTTTATTCTCAGACGTATCCATTAAGTCTAAGTCTGGCTCACGTTTGGTCAACATATTTGTTGAATATAGAGATTCGTTATTAACAGTATTTATTTGAACATCTGAGTGACCGCTTGACGCTGAGGTCATATCCAGCAAACGAGTGTCGGCCAATGATTGCGGCGATAAAGTATAAGAGCATTGGTATGTACTGCGACCACCACGAGTTCGGTCTTCGCGTATGGCCTCCAATTTCATACCCATTTTCAAACACTTATCGAACCGACAGGCGGGACATTTCTTACGAGTGGTCATCGAAACGTGACAATTAGCGCCACGAAGACATACATAGTTCTTCTTGTTTTGAACGGTACGCTTAAAGAATCCTTTGCACGATTCGCACGAGAAGATACCGTAATGGAAGCCAGATATACGATCACCACATACAGGACAGGGACCAGACAGTAGCTGTTGGCGACTGAGTCCAGCTCCCGGTGCCGAACCAGAAATGGCCATCAAATGTGCGTTCGTTACAGAAGATTGATTATAGTCAGTGGCCATTGAATTGTTATACGTTTGCGAATATCTATCGTCATTGTTGTCGCTCGAGTGTCGTCGCGAAGGAGACGCAAAATCCGATGTATTGGACTCGTCTGAAGCGGAAGAGATTACTGATGCCGAAGATGTGGCTGTTTTTACAATTTATTTGATACATAATTGAATTAATTAACATATTTTAGTCTAATTGCAAATTATCACTAACTGTTTGATCTGAATTCTGTTTGAGAATGTGGAGTCAGTGGCGATGTCTGCGACAATCGGGACGAACTGTCGGTCACCACAGGATGATAATCGTGTGCTGATAGACATCCACTGTCACGACTTACTAACAAATGATGAAATGGTTGAGACATTGTTTGCATTGCTATAAATCGAAATCAAAATTACATTAAGATATGATATGATATATCCAATTAACTCAACAAATAATTTACCGATTTGTTGACCATTCGGGTCGTTAACATTGTTTATCACAGAGTGTTGTTGAAAATGTAGGTATTGTTGTTGTTGTTGTTGTTGTTGTATAGCATTAAAGCCATTCATTTCGGGTGTCGTCGACTGACTTCGCGATGACGGCATTATTTTGACGGACGAATTCGGCAAACAGTGGCCGCCAACTGTTGTCATGAGTGGTGTGCTGACCGGCCGCGCGGGCATCGGAGACGGTACCGACCCGATGACCGCATTGACATCTATTTCAATAAATAAAACACAAATTGTTAGCAAACAGATGACAATCAGATGAAGATAACAATAAAAACAATTTAAACCTATATTTTGATAATTCATTTATCAAAACATTGTTGCATTCAGTGACGTTTGTGTGTATATGGATCAAGTGATGGTGATAACTATGATGACCATTGATGAGACATCGATGTTGTGGACAACCATTGATTTTGCATAACTATTGTATACTAAATATAAGTATCACTAATAGTGACATTCAATTCGTATGTTTGATGTGTTCGCCATTTTTAACATTATGTCATCCATTGAGGGGCACTACTAGTGGCACACATATTGTGATGACGGACGTCGTGTATGTATTCTAACATTGCATTTATGCATTGCATGCATGTGTTTATACAGTAATATACACTTTATTTTTGTGAGTATTGCAGATGCATAGATTATTGTTAATATAGAAATTAAATTAATGTGTATAAGCCTTATAATGTAGATTAGGCTCCGCCCATCGTAACATTAATTTATATAAATGTGGCGCACATATATGTATTTGACAGCTGCATCGCATTGTGAAAACAATTATTGTGTAAACTGTTAACCAAAGACATAACTATCCAGTAATTAATAATTACTACTAATTTCTGATTTACAATTGAAACGAAAAATACATTTAATTATGATATAACTTGTGTATTGTGTTTATATACGTTATTACATTTACAACATTAAATAAATAATTGATAATAAAAATGTATTCAGTAATTTTTAAAAATATGAATTTTATATTATTAAAAACATTTTTAAGATATTGAAATTTATAGAAATATTACATTAAATGGTTTTATTTGTTTTTATACTGCATTTTATGATTCCGTTTATAAAAAAACTTAGGTCTCACAGTAGAAATTGTAGGCTTTATTGACTATTTTTCTTTGATAATCAATTTGGATTTTCCTAAATAGTTGAGTCTTTAATAATAATAACAGCAATATTTATAACAGTAATACTAGTATTATTGATAGAGAATGTAATTGACATTAAAAATATTCTATTATTATATTTATTATAAATAGTGTAATAAATATATTGAATAATAAATAAAATATGAATTGAATTGAATGACAGTGTAATGTATTTATAGGAAAGTCATTGTAAGTTATGTTTTACTTCCGATTATTTTTGATTAGTATTACTATTTAGAAAATTTTCATTAAAAAAATATTAATAGATTTCAATTGAAAACGATTGAAATCATATGATATGTGCTATTAATTAATGTGATTATAACGGTTGCGATCATCACTATTGATGACAATACCGACAATACATCAGAGTCTCAAACAGTATGATCTGATTGGTTGGTCATCGCGTGTTTGGCCACCGATATCAGCGATGACTAACCGCAAACGTTATCTTATATTACTGGCCATTGTCTTAGCTGTGATAATAGTCTACAAATTGAATAACCAATTGATCCCATACTCGACACTTCATATTCATCAAAATTATCTGTTGAATAAAATTCAAGAAAAGTCATACATTGATAGTGTTGTCGATGACGATCAAGACGTCGATCTGAGTTTTCATAATATTTCTCATTTGTCAGTCAAAGAGTACCAATTCATAGTACTTTTGTGGACCAAATACTTTGGATCTGATAGCTGGTCGGGTGTCGATCTCAAGACATTAAACTGTAGTCATAGTAATTGTTTGCTCACTGATGACAGATCCCGATTGTCACGAAGTGATGCCGTGTTTTTTCATTGGCGAGACATTAATCCTCGCGATTTGCCGCATATACACAAATCCGGTCAGAAGTGGATACTCTATAATTGGGAATCTCCTCACTATTCACCCGAATATCGTATTCGTCGTCTGGCCAGCGATATAGACTGGACAATGACCTATCGTAGAGACTCTGATATCTATGTGCCGTACGGGTCAGTTGATCGGTGTCGCCGCCAATGGCTCAACGAAGATCTATTTGACGGCAAACAGCGAAACGTAGCGTGGATTGTGTCCAACTGTGATACGCCCGGTAATCGGGAACAATATGTTCAGGAATTGCAAAAGTATATCGATGTCGATATTTACGGCTCGTGCGGACAATACAGTTGTCCGCGTGACGACTCTTGTCTGCAAATGTTGGAAAAGAAATACAAATTTTATCTATCATTTGAAAACTCGGTTTGTTTTTTGTTATATCCAATAATTTTAATGAAATTGTTTTTTAATGTTTTTTTTTGTTTAAATACAAATTATATGTAGTTATGCAAAGACTATATCACCGAAAAGCTGTTCCATATTGTAGAATATGATATAATACCTGTAAGTTCTTTAAGATAATATGACTATTTAATGTCTATTATATATAATAAAAATTAATATTTCTAACTTATAGGTGGTTTATGGTTCGGCAAACTATATGCAAATAATGGCTAACCGTTCGGTAATAAATGTTAATGATTTCCGATCGCCGCAAGAATTAGCCGAATATCTAAAAGAATTGTCAAATGATAAGCAAAAGTATAATTCGTATTTTAAATGGAAATTAAGTTATTGTCCAAAACGGACACAATTTACATATTTTTGTCAAATGTGTCGTAAATTAAATGAATATTATGGTAAACGTGTCGATCATTGGAAGCGAAATAAATTGATTAATTGGTGGTTCAAAGAGGCTTATTGTCGAAATCCGAAATATACTTAATTTTTTTATCATATTTTACATAACATTTAACTATCAATTAGCTCATAACGGCCTTAATTATGATTATTTATTTTATATACTAATATTTTGTTTTATTATATATTTTTTTAAAAATCAGTTGAAATTAGTTTACCTCAAATGTCACCTGCTCATTTTATAATTATTTTACTATTACAGTATATTTAAATAGTAGTAAATTAATTATTTGTATTTTAATAAGATTAAATTAATCCTAGTTAAAGTATAGTATACAATGTATACTATACATATCACATTTTTATTTTATTTAATGCAAAAATATTTATAATTACGGTAACAATAAAAACAATAGTGCCCATAAGGGACTTTAACCTACACACTCACAGATAACTCACCTAAAGGTCAGTTTCAAAAAATATTTTCACCTAGTTCATTTGTCAATACTCCCACTAAAAGTTGTTATTTGAAGATATTTAGTTTGAAAACTTTGTAATGATATTTGTTATATTAATTGTTTTTTTTGTTTAATGCTATATTATGTTAATAATTTTATTATGTTTTATATTACATTGTAATTATTTATAATATATCTAATGTCAAATTAAAGAAATTAGTTGTTTTATTAATTCAATAATAATAATACTTACCGTAGATGTTATGCGAAGTTGTCATATAAACATGAATTTACGGTAATATACATTAATTACAAAATAATTGGCACATAAAAAATAATTAACAAAGTTTACCATTACATTAAAATTAAATTAAATATTATAATACATGAAAATGTCAAATAAGAAAATTAAAATTAAATTAAGATTTTTAAATGCAATTATTTAAAGATTCATATTATTATCGGTTCTCATCTCTATTGAGGCATACTTTTCATTGCGTTTGTCTTTAATATATTTTAACCAAATGTTTAGCAAATTAATTACTGGATATTCAAACAGCAATGAAAACACGAGTCCTAATGTATAGGAAACGCATATGTGTTGTAAAAATATTGTTAATGTCGAGTACATTGTGGTGTCGATGAGGTACCTCCGGGTGCCGATAAAGGCATATATAGACCAGGCGTGAACCAAAAATGTACAATAGGTTAACCGGGCAAATGGTACCAATATTTTGCATGATAGAAATTTATTAATAAAACCTCCATTTCCTATAAAATATATGTCACTAAAAATAACTAAATTTAAATTTACAATATAATACCTGTTATACATAACCATATAGTGGCCGCCAAACATACGGCATATAATAACCGCGATGAGGGAAACACTACCGCAGATATATATTTATTAAATGGTTGTCCATAATTGTAAAATATTGTGTCCGATAGTGTTATTTCAAAACCAATGATAACAGCTATCCATGCGATAAATGAAGACATCTATTAATAAATTTAGTTTTAAAAATATATATATATATATATATATATAAATTTTAAAAAATTATTAATTATGACAAAAACCTTTGATAGTTTGACAAATCTATTGGTATATATATAATAACCCAAAACAAATCCCACAAAAAATGAGATGCCGTGAGGTGTCGGACGAAAGTATAGGACATTTGTGAAGACATTTACATAAAATTCACTGAATAATAATAATTTAATATAAAATCATAATTTTAATAAATGATTAGATTTAAAATATTTGTTAAAATATATATACGTTCGTCCAGTATTTGTATAAACAGGTGGAAAGTCATTAATAAAGGTTACTATAGCTGTTGAAGTATAGAAGCCAATGATAGCCAATATAGACAACCATAAGCCCAGTCTAACTGATCGTAACATAACTACTATTATGATAAATGACATCCAATGCATTTGCATATCAACCGCTAAATACCAGGTATGAAGTAAACACTAAGTATTTTTTTAAATTAAATATTTAATAAAATAAAAAGATTGTAATTTTTCTCTTATATAATACAAACCATATTTTCAACATCAATGATATTTTGTAAGAAAATAAAGTTTTGCCAAAAATTGTTATAACACTTGTCCATAACGGGATCTATAAACTCATGCCAAATAGGACCCGAACCTATCTATAGAATAATTGTATTTTATTAACAAACAATATTTATACTGTATATATATGCATATATATTAGCAATTTTATATAATAATTATACAGATATAATACCAATGGTATGAGAAATGATATTAACATAAATATAGCCATTTGTGGTGTTAATCGTAAATATCTGGTTATGAAATATGCAAATCCATTGAATTTAGTTGAGTCTCCATTTGTTAATTTGTATGTTATATATGATGTAAGTATACCACTAATTTAAATAAGCATGATCAATTTATAATACTAATCAAATTATTAAATTTTTATCAATAATAAACGATTACCTAATTAGGAAAAATGTGTCCACACTATTGCCGGCATTGAATATTGGCTGAAGTATTGGATTTGTTAAATGTTGTTTAATATTAAGTGTGCGACCTATGATTGAATGTGTGGCACAGTTAGCATAATTTTATATCATACAGAAGCCTCTGTAATATTAAAGTAATACCAAATAAGTTAAAGTCATTCCATAGGACAGTATGTCCGTAGATAATCCAGATTAGTGTAAAAAATCTGATCCCATGAATACATGACAACTCCTGACTGGTTTTAACAGTAATTAATTTATCAAAATTTATTTTCAATGAAAATATTTTCACAAAATTGCGAAACCATGTCTTATCTAAATAAAACAAACAAACAAATAATATTTAATTATTCATATTAATAGTATAGTATATTTAATTAGTTATAAAAGTATTATAAAATATAAATTAAAAGTTGAGAAAAAAAATAATTTACACTAAAAATGACAAAAAATTATTTACTGTAATAAATGTGTAGAAATCCACAAATAGATGCTATAGTCGAGCATAAAATAAATGTAAATATCGTAAAACTGTAAGAATATGGAAATAAAAAAAGTAATAATATTTATTTTTACTATAATATATGTATTATAAAAAAAGTTAATTGTTATCAAATATCATCAATTAGTTTGCTTACAGGGCTACCAATTGTGTTGAATTAAATTTAATTTCTGTTTTGATTTCACACCTAATTTTACGAACATTTAGACCCATAAGCGATGACTCTTTAAATGATATTTTAGTTTAGTTATAATTAATGATAATTAATTGATAATTAAAATTTAAAACCTCTTTTGGTTAACAATTTAATGTCACTTAATGTACACTTATTTGGTGTACAAATACCAACACGAAGTGCTAACCAGTAAAGTATTGAAGCATTTTTTGAGATCTTCACTAAAGCATTGTTTGTATTGTTTATCAATTCATTAAGCAATACATCGATTGGATGAAACAGATTGTGATGAATGGGCATCGGTTGAGGTAAGGGTAGACTCAGATCAAGCAAACAATACTGTCCTTTACCTATAAGTTTATTGCCATCAATTGCCAAACACTGGTCATAGGCTCCCAAATCAGTGAAAGTACCATCAAAAGCACCTCATATTATATATCATTATAAATATTAGATTTTAAAAAAATTATAAATAACTAATTATTAATTACCATTTGGGGGAAACTTTGCCCACGAATTAATCATCTGTACGGCCCAGTCGTCTAGTCTACCGATGCCATCAAATACAGAGTTTATGGCTTTACGACAGTCGACCGATACATTAGCCTCTTTAGCCAATGTTTGCCATTTGTTTTGATGAGTTTTGACATAATCTTTGGACCAAACTTTTGAATAGTTATAAAACTTTTCCCACAGTTTGTACTCATTATGATTATGATTGTCAACTATAGATGCTATACATAAGCTTTTATTAAAACTAAATATTACAATAATTATGATTACAATTTGATTAATATTATTAGATTGATATCTAGCCATCACTTTGTTTAAAAAATTAGAGTTGAAATGTTTTATTCAAAAGATCTTTTTTCAAAAAATATGATTAACTTTTTCGTGAAAAATCTTGCAATAAATTAATCAAATGAAAACCCAATAGTTGTTTGAATCAACAATTGTATGACAAAATCAGTGGAGCCCTTGAAATGACACTCAAATAAAAACTTTATTATTTAATATTATAAATTCATTTTTAATTCAAACAGTTATTTACTCTTTTTTTTCTTTCCCACTAATTCACTGCTAATTACATTAATAACTGACTATTTTCTCATATTGATTGTCTATTGATTGAATAACTACTAACAAAACAATATATATATTTAAAATCCAACTGTTTTTCGGCCCCAAAAAAAAGTTGTACTAAATTTTCTATAAAATTATTTTGTTATTGTTTTTGTTTTCCACTGTATTAAAAATGATTGATTTATTATTACCTATAGTTAGACGATTAAAACAATAAGATTCACTAAAAAGTTTTTTTTGTATTTGTAAATATTGCAAACTTAAAATATTTCATAATAAAATAAATAACTGTGATTTATTAATATACAATATATACAGTATATAAATATATAAGTTATAAAGTATATATTAATATTTTTATAATGTTAAATTGCATAATTTTATAATGATTTTTAAATCATTGGATTTAAAAAAAAACGCATAAAAGTAATTTCTAATAATTTCTAATTGAGAAATTTAAGATAGTTTTTTTATTATAAAAATTAATAATGCTAAATTTACAATAAACTTGATTTTATTGTTTTTTAGGTCATTTACTAAAAAATTTTTGTTTTTTGTTTGCTCACCACAATTATCAAACATATTTAATAATTTCACTTTTTAAATTGTTAATCTAAAAAGTAAGTGTTATAAAAAATTAAAACTGTAAAATAACATTGTTTTAATGTGTAAAATGTTTATTATTTTCAATGTTATTAAATATATGTTAAGTTAGAGTGTGCTCAACAAAAACAAATATAATTTAAACTTAATTTATTAAATTTAATTGTCTATTCTTGTCTAATAACGTCATTTTTTATTACTTTCACTAATATTTTTTTAAATGAAAATATGATATTAAGATATTATTTGTGAAAATATAGTATTTATTTTAATAAATATTTTGTATAAAATATTAGATATAAATTATTGTTGTTATTATTCTAAAATTATTATTTTGAGTGATTTTTTATATTAATTTTTATAATTTATTATTTATACTAAAATAATATTCTCATCAAAAAATTATAACAATTAAGACATGCATTTGAAACACAAAAAAAATTAATGACATATTACAGTGAACTTCCTTTAAAAAAAAGTAATCGTCAGGAAATTGATTAACAATTTTTTTAGACATTTTATTAAAACAATATTATTAATATTATATAACACTAATATCATATCATATAATTATGTAGTTATTAAAAAAACTTTTAATAGTTAGTTAATGCTTTTTAAAAAATGAAGTTACAAATTAGTTTTGGATTTATATTATTTTTATGCACAATATTTTTACAAAATTTAAGTAAATTATTTTTATCTCATTTAAAACAAATTGATTAATAATTGATTTATTATAAAATAACTTTTAACTGTTAACAGATGTTAACTCAATATTTCCTGATTTGTCTAAAATAGCGGGCAATGCGTGGACAAGGATTGATAGGTTGGCCAGTGGTGTAGCCAATGGCATCGCCGGAGCCATTAATCCAAATAGAAATGATCCGAATCGTGAAGTTGACTATATTGGCAATAATGATGGATATATTCACGGATTATATAAAAGACATCGAGAAAAACATCGCGAAAGGCTGAGCCGTTTGTGCGAATTTTTCAGACACGGAAGACTACATAGGAGACCATGTCGTGGAAAAGATGAAAGGGAAAGGATTAGACAGGAAGAACAACAAAGAGGTCGAGAAGGAGATAATACTGCTAATGAGGTTTATCCACCTAAACCTAAACCTAAACCTCAACCACAACCTCAGCCATCAGGTTTAGATATGTCAATGAATTGACTTTATTATACAGTAGATATAATTATAATAAAAATTGAGACTATATTTTTGGTTTATCTAATTTAGTCACTGGAAAGCCATGTAAGACAACTGATGGTTTAGCAGGTGTTTGCGAAAGTGCCACATATTGTTTCAGTCAATACAACGATGTGAAAGATTTTTTGGCCAATCGTTGTCCACTATCTAACGGTGCTTTTGGCATATGTTGTCCAAAACAAATCAGAAAAGTATCGGAATCTTATTGTAAGCTAATTATTACCACAAAAAAATGTATTTTATTTCAAACGTTAATATCATATTTCTAGTACCCATTCGGATACCACAACCATATCGACCGTCGGCTAAGATCAAACATATCAGTCTTGCAGATATCGACAGAGCAGCCGCTGAAAGTCATCAATTTATTGAACAATTTATCAAAACTGAAAAAGCACTCATTTCTAAAGGTTTAGTATTATTAGTTCATGTATTATGTATTATATTAATTAGTAATTATTTTATTAATATATGTACGACTGGGACGCCCTAATCAGGTATATTTCAGAGACACGGGTCAACCCAATCACAACATCAGGCATTCTTTGGACCGTTCGATGAGAATCAGTTCCAACTGACAAAAGGGGGTTTCATAAACTTGTTGACAACACTTAAGATTAGAGATCGGTTAGAATTTTTGTTAAATATAATTTTTTTTTTATAAAATCTATAATTGGAAAATAATTGATAAAAAAAATTTCACAATTATTCTGGAAATGTATGTTTGACAGGACTTCCCTTTGACTCAATTATATAGACCCTCAACAATACATTAGTAACTCTTATATCATATTACATGTTATAAATTAAGAGAAATAATATAAAATAGCACTCTATTGTTAATTGTTTTAATTAGTAAACACTTTATCAATTAAATTATTAATAATTTAAATCATTATAAATCAGATTCAAGTTATCCAATGAAGAGGCCAGAGATGGACTGTGGAAGTACTCATTGGAAAACACAGATTTGGAAAAATATTGTATTCAAGAGCCGGTATGCAAACAGTCTAAATATCGTACGGCCGACGGTAGCTGTAATAATCTTCAGCGACCACTTTGGGGCAAATCTAACACACCATTTGTCCGACTATTACCGCCGGCATATTCCGATGGACTCAGTAATTGATTTCTAAATTAATTGTTTTATCCAAGACTTTAGTATAATATTAATATAAATTTTAAATCTTTTTATTTAAGGTGTTTCTCGTATATCAGTGACAGGCGATGAGTTGCCCGGTGCTCGAGTAGTGTCATTAGCGGCAGCAACCGATTCAAAAATAGCCGACAAAAAGTTTACACTATTTGTTATGCAATGGGGACAGGTATGTTCATACTTAAAAAAAAATATATTCACTGAAAAGATTATTAAATTTTTTTCTTTTATTTAACAAAGTTTATTGATCACGACCTAACTCTTACCGCATCGACCCGAGCGTCCACTGGAGAGGGTCTTATTTGCTGTCCCGATGAGTCCCGCACTGGCATCAGAAACATCAACCATCCTTCATGTTTGCCAATTCCTATTCCTCGAAACGATCCATTTTATGCTAAACATAGACAATCTTGTATGAACTTTGTACGCAATGCTCCCAGTCCTAGAGCTAACTGTGCTTTAGGTAAGAAATGTTATCCAAAAAAAAAAAAATGAAAATCTAAATTTTAATTAAAAATATACTTTATTTTTTGTTAGGACACAGAGAACAGATGAACACATTGACACATATTATTGATGGCTCAATGGTCTACGGATCAGATGAAGATAGGATGAAACATCTGAGAGAATTTAAAGGAGGTATTAATTGATGATAATCTGGAAAATATGTTTTAACCAAACACTTAAATATTTTTAATTTATTGCTAAATTATAGGTAGACTTCGGGTATCACTGGTTAATAGAGTTGAGTTTTTGCCTTTTGATTCGGAAAACCGGTCGGACGAATGTGCTGTACCTGAACGGGACAGACAGCGCATCCAGTGTTTTGTCGGAGGTCTGTATTAATTTAATTATACATTATATTTCAAGTACAGGTATAGGAACTGTATTAGTTTAAATGTTGATTTATTATTACCGTACCGTAATTGCTATTGAAATAATATGATTATTATCATTAGGTGATGTTAGAGTCAATGAACAGTCGGGTCTGGCAATGGTTCACAACCTACTACTTCGAGAGCATAACCGTATTGCCGGTATTCTGTTAGCTTTGAACCCCAACTGGTCCGATGAAATTGTCTATCAAGAGGCCCGACGTATTGTGGCCGCAGAGATACAGCACATCACATATAATGAATGGGCACCACTTATAATTGGTTTGTATTGATATTTTATTGTTGTTATAAATATCACTTAACTTGTTATGTATTGGATTTGTATTTTGTTTTTAGGCCGAACAGTGATGAAGGAGTTCCAGATTTTGCCCAAATCTTATGGCTATACCTTTGATTACGACCCTAAACTCAATCCTAATATAATCAATTCATTTGCAACCGCAGCCTATCGTTTTCATACATTAATTCAAGTTATATCTGATTTTTTTAAAATACAAAATTATGTTTATATATATATTTTTTTAAATAGGGTTTCATTGAATTAATGAATAGTAAGGGTCAGGTCACTGAACGACTTCAGTTGAGGAATGTCTTCAATAATCCAAAGTCATTGTACAGAGAAGGAGCTTACGATGAATATCTGTTGGGATATACGGCAGAACCGACTCAAACATTTGATAAATTTTTCACTAATGAAGTAAATATTAAACAAATTTGTTTAAAAAAATTTGTTTGTTTGTTGTTTAAGTGAAATTACAATTTAATTGTTTTATGATTTTTTTCTATTAATTAGTTAACAGAACATCTGTTTGAAGAACACAATACAGGATTTGGTATGGATTTGATAGCATTGAATCTACAGAGAGGTCGTGAACACGGACTGCCCGGTTATAATGAGTACCGAAAGATATGTGGTATGAATGCCATCCGATCTTTCCAGGAGTTGGACACTGTTATGCAGTCGGGATCGGCTCAGACATTCTCAAAACTCTATAAGTTAGCCAACAATTGATTTCTAAGTTTTTCTTTTATTTGCTACAAAAGATATAGTTGTTGTATTGTTTTATCAGAACCGTTGACGACATCGATCTATTTATTGCCGGTAATCATGAAAAACGATTGCCCGACGCAGTGGTCGGACCAACGTTTGCGTGTATTTTGGCCGAACAACACCGTCGGAACAAATTAGGTGACCGTTTCTGGTATGAAAACGGAGATATGGCTCACTCTTTCTCAGAAGGTATGACTTTAAAAAACAATCGTTTATTTTAATATATATCTTAATTAATGACATTTTAATATCCAGAGCAACTCCGGGAGATACGTAAGACTAGTTTGTCGCGACTTATTTGCGATAATGGCATCAAAATCAAAGATATGCAACCTTTGGGTTTTCTACAACCATACGATTGGTTTGATTTTTTTTAAAAAAATAAATGTTATTAATTTTATTATAATTTTATTAACATTTTTATTTACCGATAGGAATGTCCGAATATCTTGCGATAAGTTAGCAAAAGTTGATCTCAACTTCTGGAAGGGCGAGAAAGTCTTCAGCAATTCTGCCCGAATTGAGTACTAATTGACAACGAGTTTGACAAACATTTTGTTTAATGTCATAAAATATTTTTTTATTAATAAATTAAAAACATCTTATAATACGAAAACTTCTTAAAATTGTTATAATATTTATTAAAACTAACATTCAATATGATTATAATTGAATAATTAAAAAAATAAATTTATATAATTAGTATCTAGGTGATAGATACGATAATATAAATAATTAATAATATTATTATCATTAGCACTAATTATTGCTAAAAAATTTATATATTAATAGTTTATTGATATTTATTAAATATCATATAAAACTTATAAAAAAACTTTTCTATTGTGATAATTTTATTTGAGATATTTATTAGAAATACATAGTCGTTAAGCCACACAATGTATTGAAACGGACTGATAGGGTGTTTCAGTTGAGTTAGTTTTGATAACATCTGTATCACAATTAGATGATGTCTGCAATCATTTGTGGAAAATTTAATTTATTAAAAATTATTGATTAGTTAAATGAAAAATATGTAAAACATGTCTTACTTTACATCCTTTTGGTGTCTTAATCACCCAAACACTGGTATCATTTGGATCGCATTGACGGTAGTAATCGATGCGAAACTCCAAGTGATAGATAGTTTGATTGCCATTATGTTTGTAAATGTGAGTCAAAACGGTCTCTTTGTTGGTAGTATTGGCATCAAAAGCAAACGCCAAAACTTCCTTTACTTCATCCAACTGACTATCGATGGCCACAAATGTCTGATTGCGATCATTGATATAATCAGTGATAATAAACCCAACAAACAATGATAGTAATATTGTCTGTAAAAACATTTTCTTTTGATAATAAAAATTTTATGAAAAATATAACTTTTGATTATTTTTAACTTGTTTTTTAATCATAAACTACTATATATATGATAATATGATATCCAGTTAACAACAAATGATTCATAACTTGTTTTACTGGTTAAAAAGTTTATTGAATTTTGTCAATCATTTATTAATTGTTATTGAGATGACATTTGGTATTAAATATTGAATTAATTAATTTTTTTCAAAATTATTTTTTTTAGTAACTTTAAAATAGTAACTATTAATAGTTATCAAATAAAGTTTATTATATATAAAGATTTAAGAAAAATACCAATTCGTAGAATTATTTATTATTTGTGAAATTATTTATTAGAAATATTAATTTTTTAATAACCTTGAAATAAACAAACAATTTTATTTATACTATAAAATCATTGATAAAATTTATAGATTCTACTTATTTATTATACTGTAATTTGTAGTATTCATTTAAAAAACAATACAATATATAGAATAAATAATTTATATAATTATTTTTGTTAGTTTTGTGTAAATTTAGATAATACTAATTATATTCATTTTTTATTAATATTTAAAAATTTATATATTAATTAAAATTGCAAAATAATGATTTTATAGACGCGTTTTATTCATGATTAATTATTATGTAAATTAATATAACTAATATAACCTAAACTACTTTATATTAATACTAATATCAAAAAATATTGTGAGAAAACAGGTATGGATTCCGACAAAACAGGAGTTCATAATATTTTATATAACAAAAGTCTTACATTTGAACACAATTTACTTTAAATTAAATAATATGCAAATTATTATTTATTTATTTTTGTATATATATATGATACTAATAGTTTAGATTAAAAATTACTTTTTAATAACATAGATATAAAAATTAATCAATAAGTAATGCTAACAATTACTTTTATTTCAATTATAATAATTCAAAATTTTTTAAATAACTGTCAAATAAAAAGTTTTTAAAAATTATATTATTATCGCTGTGATAGACAACAGAACAGATACTATAGTAATAATGGGTAACTGTTGTCACTGTTGTCATACAAATGATGACAATCTTGATATTCATCAAAAAAATGATACAAAACTTACTGAAAATCATATATCAAATGATCAGTTTATATGCAAAACTAAGAAACCGATTGAAACAAACAATCAAACAAATGATTTAAATGGTGACCAAAAAAGTAATCAAATGAAGTCATCGGTGATTACCATTAGTGACAATCAAATCTCGTGTGAAGATACTGTCGACAAAACAGAAGAAACAATAGTCATCGACAACAGTCACCAAACAGATGATAATGAAGAGCCACTTGTGTTGCCCGATGAACTGATTGTTGAGATCTCAAGATATCTTTCACTTGAAGACCGGTTGCGATGCGAAAGAGTGTCCAAACAATGGCAACAATTTATATTTTACAATAAAAAGAGTCTCATTCTTAACAGACATTTGATACAAAAAATGAAGAACAAAATGAAGAACAATACCGATAAACAAGAATTTAAAGACCTTTTCTGTCAACGTTTTGAGACAATTCTTGTGAAGTGCTATAATATCAGACATTTTACATTTATTGACTCTGAGATCAGTTTAGACTTGACGGACGACATCTTAAGATTAGTGACTCAATTCTGTCATCGTTTGCAATCAATTGATTTAAACATCGAAAACGATATTTCAGTGCAAAAAATAGAAACATTTTTTGATAAATTTGCGAATCAATTGATAGGAATTAGTCTGGATTTTGATGATGTAAACGATGAAACTGAAAATTGTTTTCACAGATGTGTCCATCGATGTCATCAATTGGTATATTTAATCTATTGTTGTACTGAAATAAATATGGCTCCGATTGACTTCTTGAATAACTTGATTGTGGACTCACAGACAGATAAACCGAGTTTTGCACGACTCAAGCAATTGCATATTAGTTGCGATATTAATACAGTCGCCGAACCAATTGTCGACCATTTGAAAGAAAAAATTGAGACAATTGCCAACAATTATGGGAAAACATTAAAGATATTATGCATCGACTTTGGTTTAACTCGTCCTCTTGAATGGCCACAAATCAAACCGATTTTCATAGTTATAATATCGATGATAAAACTTCAGAGTCTAGACATTAGAAACATTAGGTGTAGTTCAGAGTCCAACAAATACCTCAAACATATCGGTAATAAATGCAAACAACTCAGAGAACTATCTCTCCAATTGACAGTCAATAACATTGAAGTGATGACAGACCTATTGTCGACAATTAATAATCACTTTTACAAATTAAAATGGTTGTCATTAAGTGGCTATTCTCCCAATGATTATGTGGTACCCGACGATACATTCAATCGGTGCAAACAATTGAAAAAATTGAGTTTAATTTTTTGTCAGCCTATTTGTTATCAATCGTTTCTCTATAAAGTTGGGCATAATTTACCAAAACTTGAGGAGTTGTCCGTCTCATGCAATTCAATCAATAAACAAGTTTTCGACTCTTTATCTAAACTAACAAAACTAAGATATCTTGATTTGTATGGACACAAAAATTCTGACCAAAAATACATTGTTTTGTTGAAAAAACGGATTAAAATTTGTAGAATTTAATTATTTTTGTCAATCAATTCATAGAAATTATCAAAACTTTACATATTTTGCTAAAAAAATAGAATAAATTTTCTAAATGTAATAAAATATTAACTAATTTGTTAATATTGTTGAGTATTATATTAATACCTATAATTATAATAGTTTTAGATTAATAAAAATTTCTTTATTATAGTATTTTATTATTAATACAAATATTTTATAAATATTTTTTGTCATAGCCTTGAAATGACTAATAATTAACTGACAAACAGTATACTTAACATAGGTAACAATTTTTTTAGTTAAAACGAATCATTGAATTTATTTGAATTATTTAAAAAAAATCCTAAATGTAATATTTTAGGTGCATTTTGTAATATTCTTAAAAAGGTATTTATTAAATAACAAATTCAATGCAAACTACAGTATTTTATTAATTAAAAAAATTTTTTGAAAGTTATTAAAAACATATTTTACAATTATTTTGTAGAAATTAATAATTTTAATATTAAATATCACATTTTTTTTTGAAAAATTCTACAAAAACCATATTTTGTTAATTCAATCCTTTAGTGTTATCTACACGTAATACTAGTTTTATATTTTAAGACCTGTTTTATTGTTAAAGGCATGGAATTAATGGAGAAAAGTCTTATTGAAGAACTGAACTTAACGTTGGATAAGACATTGATTGATAGGATAGAAGAAACGTCACAATCATTGCTGGAAAAGATCTACGAATGCGATGCTATTAAAAATGTTGTCTTCACGGGAGAGATCAACGACAATAGCAAGTCGTTTGGCCAAAAAAGACTTAAAGATATCTACGATTTGAGACCTGTCTTAATGGATATCTATACTAAAGCCGCAGCACTTGGCAAACATGAATACGAAGACATTTACTTTTTCAAGCAGTGTTTGGGTGTTTTTGATGAAACGGTTCCCGAAATTGTTGAAGAAATGTCGAAAGAGTTTGGTTCACAAATCATCCAGGATTTAGACAAACCTATGAGTGAAACAATGGCAGAGTATAAGAAACATTTGTTGTCGTCGGCAAACAGCGGATCTCTGACCAAACTATTGGCTGCAGTGATGCCCACAGCTATCGTACCGATGGAAGTGGCCTATCATTTACATCGCAGACAAGGTTTCAAACAATTGAATCCATTCTTTCAGCTTTTAATGTCACAGAAAATCAATTTGCGTACCATTTATGATGAGATGAGACAAATCATCAATGGATATAAAGTGAATACAAGTGAGGAACAGGAGCTCATAAAGTTGTATAATAAAAGTATTACATTTGAGCTCAATTTGCTTCAAAATCAAATGAAATAATATTCAAATTTTAATTAATTTCTTTTAAATGTTTAGTTTTAAAATGAATATTACTGTATTCTCAATTTATGTATACTTTAAAATTAAATAAACTATAGATAATAACAAAAATATACTTTAATTATTTATTATATAAACATTAATTCAATAGTTGGTAACAATATAAGTTATAAGATATTTATTATAACTTATTATAAGATATAAGTACAATAGTAATAATTAATTAATTGAAAGCCAACTAATATTTTATAATTGCAAATTTAATATTAATTACCGGTAATAAATTACTAAATATTTAGCTCTACTAAAATTAAGTATTAAAAATTATTTTATTTATTTAAAAATATAAACTTACGGTATATCTAAAAAAAACAAATTGTATTTAAAAATAATAATTATTATATAAATTAATATAATTAATGTGACTAACGTTGCTAAAAAAACTATTAATTATATAAACAAAATGAAAATGTTTTGTGTGAAAAAATATATCAAAACTAATTTGAGCAGTCATTGAAAATAAATTATTTATAATCAATAATCACATTTTAAACATATATACAATTATCTATAAACTAGATTTAATTTTATTGTTAAAAATAGTTAACAAATCAAAGGGTTCTTCAAATAAAATGGCCGGAAGTGGTGTGCAATGAGTCGAGTCGTAGTGTTTCATGTGTTTCTTCGCCTGATTTCAATTAAAAATCAATTATTGATTAAATCATAAATCTATTTGTTATTTTCAATAATAAATAACTTACTAAAAACAAAACCAATTTTATTTTCATGTCAATAGTCATATCAATGTTATCCCCAATATTCAAGGGATAGTCGACACCGTTTTCCTTCATATAAGTCAACAATTGATTCAAACACAACTCATCGGTAACACCGTAACGCATCATAAGTGTGGCTAAAAATTTATTATATAATTAAACATAATATTTAAATCAATTAAAACATTAGACTTTAGACTAAAGTATTAATTATCAAACCCTGATCCGCTGGATTAGCTAATAGCCAACTCGCAAGTGTTTTTTTAATCTCATCGCTGGCCATTAACACCGGAAATCTGTTGCTAAGTAGTTTATAAAGCATATCATTGCCACGATTTGATCTCAACTGTTCCAATCTATTAGTACTGATAATCTCATCTCTAAGTCGTCGAATCAAAAGTATTGGTCCATTAAAACGATTAATGTTTTCCGATATATTTAAATTAAAGTATGTCCTGATTAGGTTGCGTACAATGGGATCTAACAAATGTTGATAACAAAATCAATTACTCAATAAAAAAATATATATATACCAGTAATTACAAGTTGTAAGACTTACTAAGCGCGGGTGGCATTGCATTTTCGGCCAGTGGTAACACGTCATCAAACGATGCGTCCAAAACAAGTCCTTTCACCTGTTGATAGCTTTGTGCGGCCCAACTAACGGGAAAGCCACCAATAGACCAGCCATGCAATAGTACTGAGTTCAATGGAAAGCCTAGACGCTCGATAGCAAAACGAATGACAACATCCATGGCGTTGATCACATTTTGTGGATAAGGAAGTCCAGTACTTCCACCAAAACCTGGATGATTCCATCCGAGAACCGAATAGCCAATATCTAATGGCGTTCCCATTGTACCGAACTCATAGAATCCAGCGTTACCTTCGCTACAGATGACCAGAGTCTTGCCTTTAGTTGTATTGCGATTTCTTCGGTCGACAAACATTGTGTCGATTTGATTGCCATCTCTGGCCAACAGTTTATATCTTTCGCCATTATTCTCTTCAACCAATTTGGTTCGGCCTTCAAGCATGGCTTGACTTACGGCCAAATTAAGGAGACCAACTGAACCGGGATATAGCATACGGCGAGCAATAGTGTGAACCAAAACATAACTCAATAAATCGCACGGAATGGCAATCATTATATTGCGTTTCGAGTGTCGACCGGTAACGACCAGTTCCGGAGGTTTTTTCGGATCAGTAAAAGTTGATTCATACCATCGAAAATCAATTGGCCAGTGATTGAAATCAAATTCAAAGCGCGAAAGTGCCAGACGTGACATATCATCCTTTTGTTTGGCTTTCGTGAGAATTGTGGCAAAACCTTTGTATTCTCTGTTCGCCGATCGGCCGATACCTCTGACCACAAGAGCGCCGACATATGCGAAGGTAAATATAATGGCAAATCTCATGATAGATGGATTCAACACAGCGTACGGATTAGCGGTAGACACCCATCCCTTGCGCCACAAATAACCAATGATTATGGGACTCGAGTAGATGGCCACCGATGACATTACCGATATAACTCTGACTACAATGTCTGAGTAGATCTCCACTCGATTGGCCGCATATGGCCGACCCTATAGATCAAATGTCTTCATTAATATCAAGAAAATAATAAAAAGTCAATTACCGGTTGATCGCGAAACCTAAAGATACGGTACAATCGGGGACCAGTCAAGTGATGCCAAAATTCTTGGAGTGACATTGTTTTCGGCAATTGATTGATCCAATTGTTGGTTATGTCTGATTGTGGACAACAAGTGATTTCTTTTGGTTATTATATTTGTCACAATTTTTATTAAAATAATATACAGCTATTAAAATAAAAAATCAATGCATTCATAGATAACATAAATATGCGCAAAGTTTTAACTTATTGTCGTTAATTAACAATATATACTGTACTGTATATTATAACATAAAAGTGCAAATGCGCTCAATATATGAATCAAATTGACTCAATCTATGACAACAATAACGTCGAGTTATACATTTAGGCCTTTATAATACTATAGAAGTTTTTTTTATACATTAATACTGTTTTGGTGTAAATTTAAGATAAATTTATTCTACAGTAAAGTATTATTAATAAAAATAACAATCATATGATTAAATGGTACCAAATGTAATAAACATTATATGCATTGCATTAATGTATTGCATAATAAAAGTTTTGACTTTTAAAACCTTAACTTTGAAACTATTAGTCATTCATATGAATTAAATAATTATTTATTTAAATTATTAATTGAATAAAAATTATGTTTAAATAAATTGTTTTTATTTAATAAATGATATAAATATATATGTAATTAAATCACCACTAAATCATACCTACCTGTGCCCTAACAGTGCACACTATCACCTGAATAGCCATTCAATACTAACCGTAAGTTCAAATAATTTAATAAAAGTTTATTAAATGACAACAAATTTAAACACATATTCAATGATAAAATAGTTTTATTTATTAATTAAAAACAAATTTTTTACAATTTGTGTGACTTTTGTATTTTATTTTTTCTCTCTTTCTCTCTTAAAATAAAAGCATTTTTTCAAATAATATATATATCATTAACTGTATAATACATAAATTAGCTATTTATAAATAAATTGATATTAAATAATAATAATTTTTATAATTAAATTACAATTAACAGCATTTGTTTGTTTTGTACAATATATATATAATTTATATTTAATTTAATACATTTAATGTCATAAATTATCCTAGATGAATTAGTGTAGCGCCAAAATATATGATAAATATGATATACAGTATCATTACTGTACTGTAGTATTAATTAATGTTAATAATTAATATTATTATTATTACTGATTATTTATTATTAATAATTAAAGTGAAATTATGGCAGGACTTTGATATTTGGGCCGCGCCGAAGGCGCGGGTGGGGGCTATAGGTAGGTAGTGCTTGAGGTCTACTATACATATATAAAATATAAGATATCGCAAACAAAAGGTTAAGGAGTTATGAACATTTTAATTAAAAAATTCAATATATAGTAAATATAAATAGCAGTAATTTAGTATATTTTCTTTGTAGAGCCTCAGTAGGCTAGTGTATATAAAATAACGTATATAAAATACTATGTATAAAATAAATTGTAATTTGAGTTATTAAATAAAAAATTTTTTGTTAGGTTACTTTATATTAAATTAAGTTCGTTTAGTTTAAGTTTTAAGTTTAGTTTAGGTTAGGTTAGGTTAGATTAATGGCGGCCGGTAGGCCGCTAGTTATTTTAGTTTAGGGTAGGTTAGGTTAGGTTAGGTTAGGTTAGGTTAGGTTAGGTTAGGTTAGGTTAGGTTAGGTTAGGTTAGGTTAGGTTAGGTTATGTTAGGTTAGGTTAAGTTAGGTTCAAAAAATAATAAGTCTTGCAATAAAAATAATTTTTTAAGTTTATAACTTTTGAACCTTTAGTTTGCGATGTCCTATATTTTACATATGTATACTAGACATCAAGTACTATCTACCTATACCACCCACCCCCGCCTCCGGCGCGGCCCAAATATCAAAGTGCAGCCGAAATTATTAGTTAAGATAAGATTTAACGATAAAAATAATGACACAAATTATTATTTAAAATAATTTTCAAAAAAAATTAATTGAATTGAAATAATTAATGAATTAAATTATTATTATTTGTGAAATTGAAACTAAAATATTAGTTTATTATTTGATTTGTTGGTCAGTGTATGTGATGTGTGTCTGTCTGTCCATCCGTTAGGCGACAGACATAGTGGTTGTCCTCGAGTCCGACGGTACTATTGTTAAGTGTGTCGATAGGTCTGAATTATAGGTGAGACTATTATCCGGTGGTATAACCTTTTTGTTTAACGACTGTATGTATTGCTATACCGATAATAAAAAAAACTATTAATTAAGTTTCCAACAAATAAGTTATCGATCGGGTGTTACCTGTGATATGACGTCTCCATGAGCTGTCCTAACCTGATATAAGTAACGATACTTTCGTTGTCTTTGTTCCAGTTTTTGTTCCTCACGTCTGATCCGATTGACAGCACTCTGTGCGTTGGCACTGGTCGTTGATGTGACCACACCGTAGTTATAGTCATTTTCATAGTTAACACCTCTTCCAGTGAGACACCACTGCACGATCAGACCTTTGACGACACATATCGGCCATAAAGACAACACTATCCATGAGATCAGACATAAACTGGTTGTTTGGGTCACACCAACCGATTCGTACAGTGTTTGGCCGTCTCTTAGTTTATCGCGAAACCAATAAATGAGTTTAAAATTTTCAATAAAATAATCCAAACAAATGAGTGTCAATGAACTGCCATAAAACACAGTGGCAAGTATTGTACAGCCTATAAGTCAATATTAATCAATTTAGTTTAATTAGTTATTAAAAAAGATAATAATATTTTAATTTGATAAAAATTATGACATTTTTTGTCAATATTATTATAAATATTTAGATAAAGATTTATATTTATTTAAATATTAGTCCATAATATTTGCATATTATATCAAATGTTGTTTTCCTAATATTTATATTTTCTAATATGATATCATTATTAATAATTGTAAATAATGTGCTTAAATTGTGTTATTAATGTTTGAATTTTGATTATAAAAAGCTATTTATTTATTTATATATACTGTGCAGTATACTGTATAATATTGCAATATAATTGACGATAATAATCGCTAATATTATCTAAATAGTAGTAATTGGGAAATTAAAAATTTCCAAAAATTTTACGATAATAAATTATTGGCATTTATAAACAATAATGCATAAGATAATATTAAGTTTTTTTTTGCTATTTTTAATATCAAATAAAGTTTTTACGTAAACTTTTCTAAAGAAAATATTTATCTCATTTTGGGTGTTAACTAAAAAGTTTACTCAAAATTAGTTTCATTTAACTAATTAAATATCTTTTAATTTTGATAGCATTTTTAAAGTATTTTTTTTAAATGTAATTTATATCAAATGAAAAAGTAATGTAAAGACTAGTACTGTAGTAGTAGTAGTACTGGACATACCTTTTTGAAAGTATAGCGTAGAACAGGCGCCGGTCAGACCCGACGACATAAATAAAGCGAATAAAATCCATACAGAATTTGGCGGATCCACTGAATCGATGTATGGCTCCAATAGGTATATCACAATAAGGATCGCACAGTTAGCTATAAGTCCCAAATGAAATCCCAGCATAAATAGACCGACGTATACGACTAGAACAGTGATGAGTCCGAACAGTAGTCCGGCCACTACTGACACACCGATATTGCCATACATTGGCAGCAAGTTTTCCGCCGTACATATCATGTATATAACGGTAGTCCCGAAGGCAAAGCCAGTCAAAAATAGTACGGCTTTGAAGCACCGGTAGCCGTATATGAGATAAATAATACCGAATACTATAAGCGACGAACAGAATACTGATGGTATCAGTTCGTAGTCATCGGGAGTGGAGTAGCAGCTGTCGAACGGTGTGATTGTCTCAACAGTGGTATCAGTAGTCGTATAATTGTTGATCGTCTCGATGGCAGTGGTACTAGACTTAGATATGTATGACATTGTGGTCGTTGTGGTGATAGTGGCAGCGCTTGTATTGAGCGTAATGTTAGTCACCAGTGAAGTGATATTTAGTGTCGGATTAGTTTCATCAGTATTTGGCAGTCCATCTAAACCAGTGTTTACTCGGCTTATCGTTGCGTTTGTCATCTTATCAATGACCAGATGTTAACCAGTGGTAACTCTCGACAACAGTTCACTGATAACACCAACATTTGAATCAATCAGTTGTTTGACTTTTATTTGAGTGTTATTTGCATTATATTTAGTTTGTCTGTCATATAAATTAATAACAAATCATTGCACCAAAAGAGTAGTCGACTTTAATTATGAGATGAGCTATCAAATTGAAAAATATAAACTTTTATTAAAATTTTGAATGACATTTTATTTATGAATGTTATTTAATTGAATAATAAATTACAACTATTACTGTATATAATATAAGCTAAAAACTACAGAAAGTTAATATACACTATACTCTGTTGTTATATTTTTATACAAATATATAAATCATGTAAATTAAAATAAATTTTTGTGACGAAAATTATTTAGGAAACCATTAAACAGATATTACAACAAAACTCAATTAATATTTTAAATATTAAATAAATAAATATTAGTTAAATATTTGCATAAAGTTGTATATTATAGCTATTATACTGTATATATATACATATTTACAGTTTAAATAATTGTAGCAAAAAAATTATTACATTTATTATTAGTAAATTATAAGCAGTAATAACTAAAAAATAAATGCATTGTATTTCTTATGATTTATTAACTCAAGGAAATTACATTTTTAAAAACATACCGTACGCTTAAAATAAATTAAAAAACTAAAAATTATAAAATATGGGGAAGAATTAATGGATAAAAATAACAATTATATTTATAAAAAAAATAAGAAAAATGAAGGCATATATTAATTATTAATCAAAAATATACAGTATATATATAAAACATTAAAGTCATGTATGCAATACTTTACTGTCTTATTTGATATGGTATTATTTGATATTTTTTTTCATTGAAAAAGTATAATCAATTATGATGGACAACATTAATGATTAAAATGTAATGTATTTTCATAAAGTGTTTACTGCTATGAATAAAAAAACAAAAATAGAAAGTTATATCTCGTAGTGTTGTGTTTGAATGTCTCCTAACATTACATATCATCTCTCATTGTAATGTCATTCACTTATTGTTATGGAATGGTATGTATCGATCCGTATGTATGACCGATATATGCCCTAAAAAAAGACAGTAAAAGCATATACAGTATGATATAATGTCTAGGATTTAGATGTAAATGACATATCAAACAACAAAATAAATTAACATTTTATATATCATATATTTCTAAATGTCTATAATAAATGAGTCCATACAATAGATAATACATTACTGTCTCTATAATAGCATAACTGATAAATTAAGCGAAAGTTGTCGATAAAATAGTATATTTAACGTAATATTAATAAATGATAACTGCATATATGTTAATCATATAATACACGTTTTAACTGTTATTTGTATTCATAAATAGATAATAATAATAATAATATAAATGCCAACAACGGAAGGTATATAGTCTAACAAAATTGAAGACAACTATCATATCATCTCATAACACTATTTCATAGCATTTAAGTTACCGGTAACACAATAGTAATGGGTTTTATTAGAGAGAGAGAGAGAGAGAGAGAGAGTCTGTGGGAAACTGGAAGATCCTTAAGTTATTATAATAAGAGATATCGTGATAATTATAATGCATTTGACTCTTAAATATGAGAAACACTTTTTTGAAAAGCTTTTAGATTTACTATATATAGTGAGAGCAAAAATATGTTAATTTGGTGTACAATAATAATACTATAATAATATAATAGTAAAAACAGCCACTTATAATATATTGGATGTTATGCACTGTATATAATAATGTAATTTTTATTAATGATTTTATAAATTACTTGAAACAATATGTAGGTTAGTATTAAATGTTGTGCACAATGTGTGTCATACATAGACTGAAAATTAACGATAAAATTAGATATAATTTGGGAAATACATAAAAATATAAATTATATTTTTTTGATAGTAATGATGTTATTTTTAAAAATATGATATTTTCGTCAAATTAAAAATGTTTATAACTTGTAAAACGTTTTTATAAATGTATAATAAATGTTGAATAGCCAAAAGCCAGTAGATTTTAAATTAAACAATTGATTATAATTGCAAATAAATATTTTTTGGGTAAACTAATTATACAGACACAAAACCACAAATAATTTATTAGTAAATTATGTGAGTGTTTACTTATATTTGCATTAATTTATAATTTAAAATATAAAAATTTGATACCTGAAAAACAATATCTCTATAAAATTAAATTATAATAACTTGTTTTTATTTTTTGTTACTTCAAATAACTGTACATAATATATTGTATATCCAATAGTTATTATAATGAATAGTGATGTTTATGTAATAGTTATACCGTTATATTAGGTAAAATGCATAATAATAAGATACAGTATATGCCTATTATATGATAGGTGTAGTAAACAAATGCCAGAAGTTAACATAAAATTTTATGTTATATTTATAATAGATTATTATTATAATACAAAATTTCACAAAATTAGTTTGCTTTTTTGTAAAATGATTTGACTGATTACGAGTATTGTATTGTTTGTTGAATTTGTTATGAGATCACATGAATAATAATAATGCCATGTTTTGAAAATATATTTATAAAATAAATAAATGATATAAATTATAAATAGAAAAAAATAATAAGTTTTTAGTAATATTATGTGATGCTATTGAACTAAGACATGAGTTTTTTTTGTTTTGAAAAAAATGATTTTATAGCACTATTATTATTATTTAGTTCAATGAATCAAACATTTTTATGCAATGAATTTGTTGTTTTATTTGATTTGATTCAAACTAATTTAATGTCAAAAGTTTATTTTATTCCCTATATTATGTAACTGATTGATAAAGAATTAGTTTTTTTAATTAAAAAAAATTATTCAAAAAACTAAAATATTGGAATTTTATAACATATAAAATAAATACCATTTTTTTATCAACAATTTTTTAAAAAATCATTACATACTGTGTATATCAATATCAGTCAATCAATATTGGTAAAAATAATTTTAATATATAAAAAAAATTTAAACTCAATTATAACCATAATAACTTATATTAGTTGCTAAAGTACACATTAAAAAATATTAAAAATAAATTATTAAAAGTATTATAAAAAAACTACAGTTTATAAGTAGTAATCTATTTAATAGACGTATGTATGACAAATTGTATATCATTTGTGCAATGATTTTGTAAACAGTGATACTTATGACATAAGTTTAAGTAATAAATAATTTGGTAATTTGAATGAAATTATAAACATTTAAAATTTCTTAATTTCGATGTGAATGTAAAAAACACTATTTAGTGAATAAAAAGTATATGAAAATAATTACATAAAAATATTTTTTTAAGGAAGTAAGGAATTCCTGATAGTGTTAGTATCAAATGTTTTATTTTGAAATAAAACATTTTTTATGATATAATAATAATAATGCTAAATAAATAATTGCATATTTTTATTTAAATACTGAATTTTGATGTTTGAAACATTTTTGTCAATTATTATTCAACACATGAATAAGTGAATTAAATTTTCTAATTAAGGAAAGGGAGGAAAAGGGTTCAGTATTTTTATGTTTTGGCGACCAATTCAGTAGTCAAGCAAATGATAATTATTTGCTTATCATTATAACTAACAAACAAAATATAGTTATATTATTATTATTATTTTAGTGTTGATTATAATATAAGTTTAATTACTTATTTATCCATAAATTAGATTTGAAATTTTGATAATTTTTATACTGTTATTATGTGCTTATTGTTATGTTTTGTTTACAGTATATGTAGTACATATTGTGTAACATAAAAATCAATAATTTTGATATTTTCAATATTGTCTAGAGTTTCAATGTAATAAAATTACAGTATTATTATTTGTAATATAATAAGGGTATATGTGATATGTGTGTGTTGTGATAAATACAAAACAGTGTATTTGCACTTTAAAATAGTGTATATTAAATTTTTATTATCAAAAATCTGTCACAAACTTCTGTATATATATTTTGGCAAAAATAAAGATATATAGACTTGACTTTATCAGAGATTTTATAGTCAAAATGAAATATAAAATGAAATAATAATCATATATAAAATATTACAGTATATGCTGTATACTTTTAGTAGTGAATATTATTATGTAAACCGATATTTTAAATATAAGAAAATGTGTTTTATCACTGAATTTCATATTCAGTGAACATTTAATTAATTTCATATTATTCAGTTTATATGTATATACATTTGATATATCATACATATATATTACTGTATATATACCGGTATATATATATATATATATATATATATATATGTTATTCAACTCAAAAATTTTACTTAAAACTACATGTATAGTAGCAATAAAGTTAATATTGTGTATTGTAATATATGTAATATTATAATTTATATACTATAAGTGTACTTAAATTACTACAACTGTTAAGCACTATTATTTAGCATTAAATATATATTATTTATATTTATCTGTGTATAAAGTATTAAAATAAAACGGTAGACACAAAAACATAAATGCATCCATTGTTTAGTAAGTTTAATATATGATATACCGTTACTAATGACACCGGCATAACAGCAAATAGTAATTTTCATTATATTGTCACGACTATACAGTAGTTTACAATTGATATCAAAATATAAATTTAGTATTTTTTCAACTATCAAACACTAGTATAAGGTATGATTCATCCATTTAAATAAAGCACTACTTGTGCTTAACATTAACAATAGTATAGCAAAATATATATCTAAACCAATTTTTTTGTGTATCTCATAGACACTTATGTGAATGAATAAGTAGAAAGTGATGGAAAGTTAGATGGATAGGTTGATAGAGGAAAATATAAAGAGAGAGATGAGTTCAGTTTGGTTCAGGGATCAGTAGCTAATGAAACTGGGAATCCAGTGAATACATTAATGCAGAGTAAATGCATATACTGTACAATATAGCAGCTATACTATAGCTTAATGCCAAAAGTTAGGGCCAGATTACTATGTATGGGTTTTATGTCGGTTTCAATAAATTAATGGTAATAAATATGAGACACTGTTTTTTTAGGCATCGCATCCATTGCCATGAATTAAGTCATGCATTTGACTCACCATTAGATATATTGAAAGACTATGAATATTATCAATTGTGT